TAACTGTCCATTTCACTTTTGTTCTTTGGAGAAAAAAAAACTTTAAAAGAAAATGAATCAACAGAAAAAAAAGAATAGAAAAAAAATCATAAAAACTGAACATCTTCATCTTTTCTTCTCATTTTTTAACATCTTCATTTGATTTTCCATCTTCCTACTCCCATGATCTTCATCATCTTCAGCTTTTCGCCATGTAACATAAGTCAATAGTTCTCTTCCTATTCCATGTTCCTTGTGATTTTCTTCTCTCCCCTGATCTCTTTCTCTCTCACGTTTCTCTCTCATTCTATGCTCTACTATTTCGATAAAAAAACTGAACCTGAACAATTTTGGGAAAAAAAGTTCTGACAAAAAACAAACAAACAAACATTAGATTTGAAAATATAATCAAAAACACAAAGTTGACAGAGAAGAAAAAATTTGATTGTTGATTAATCACAATTGTAATTAAATTACATTTGCAAATTGATTTACCTTTTTGTTGCTGGGAGAATTGAATTAACTTTTACTCAATTGAATTGGTAAACAAGGGACCAAAAAATCAATTGAAATGATTACAATTAAGATGGAAACAAATTTGAAAATTGATTCCAATCATGTTACATGATATTCAAAACAACTCGTCTCACCAGAGGAAACTCAATGTTAAATGGAAAAACAAAAAGAGAGATTAAATCAGAACTAATTATTTCATTTGATTCTGAAATTTAATCCCTATGAAATGTTTCAACTTTGAGATTAAATTGAATTTCAGTTGACCAGTTGATTGGGTGAAATTCATGAGGTGTCTGAACTTTGATTGTCTATCAGGTTGAATTGATAAATGATTCTAAATTATTAGCAATAAATAGTTTGTGACACTTTTTTGTCTGATAATTCAATGTTCACACACTTGAAGAGTTTGGGATATGATTGATTGTGGCACAATTTTAACTATTATCATGATCAGAATGTTCATCCTGACACTTTACAGAACTTTTTTCTTCCTCCCTCTTGATAACAAAGACAGAAGCTTAATCGATAACAGTTAACAAGATTGGTTACGAGATAAATTAAATTGAGTTAGAACTTTTCCAATTCTTTCCCCTTTTTCCACTTTCTCTCACTTCGAACCTCCTTAGCATCGTTAACTTCATGATAATCATGATAACAATGATAGAACTTTTTCATCTTCACTCTCAATCTGATTCTCTCTCTCTCTCTTTCCATGATAAGTATTACTCACTTGGAAAGACTCTGATTTGTGGAGAAATAAAAAATTAATATAATAACTAGAAATTTCGATAAGCTACAAGATGGAGGAAAATAACAAGATGCTCAGGGTGAACATGGAAAGAAATACATTGAAAAAGATTAATTCGAAAAAATTTGTTCCATTCGTCTTCATCTTCATCAATGTGAATATTTTTTTTCTTCTTCTTCTCTTTGTACATTTCGAATTCATAGATGATGAAGATATGGATGAAAATGAGGAAAAAAGATTATTCAGTCTGACGAGAAAAAGAGAGAGAATTATTTTTCTTCATCATCCATATCTTCATCTGTCATGAAAGGGATGAGAGATTCATAGATTATCATGAAGATTGTGAGACATATAGTAAATATCATTTTCTAAAAAAGAAGATTCTTTTTTTTTTCGGCAGAAAAAAGTTCTGACCAATTTCCACTCTGAATACAACTTATCATGAAAGTATTTCCGTTTCTCCCTTATAAAAACACTTTGAATCTGCAAGTGACATTTTAAACGATTTCAATCAGCAAGATGAATGAATAGAGAGAGAGAGAGAGAGAGAGAGAGAGAGAGAGAGAGAGATCATGAATTCGAAAAGATGAAAACTTTAAGATGCTAAGAAATCTAACTCATGTAAAAGCTTACAAAATGCTGAGAATATCAGATTAATCTGTTAATTAATTGGAACATTTTCTCCACGAACAATGTTTAACATTCATGGAGAAAGAATCACTTTACCTCATGTTGAAGCTCACGATTCATGGAAGTTTACAATTTTTTCATGAAAAGATTTTGTTCCCATGTTACCTTTTTTTACCTCTCAGGGCAAAAGCTTTTGTGTCCATTGAGATGACAAGACTCAAGTGGACGAGAGAGAAAAATCCTCTTAGAATGATACAAAGTGTTGAGACTGAATGTCAACCTTGAGGGTGGAAAATATTTCACCATGAAACATTGAAAATCTTGAGAATTTAAATCTTCAACACTCAGGTAACATTCAAGTGAATAAATGGAATATAATTTTTTTAACTTGCAAGTAAATTGGATATTTCATGGAAATTTGATTCAATTTCAATTGAGTTGGAAAAGGAGAGAGAAAAAAATTTTCCATCAGAATTTTCAGTTACTATCACCACAAAGTTTTCCAATCTCAAAGGTACGAGAAAATTAACCAACCATAATGTTCACCTTTCAATCCCCTGCACCCAAACCACCATCAGTTTTCCATACCCTGAAATTCTGGATAATATTTAATATGCTCAGAATTATGATTCCATGAGAAAAAAAAATGAACGACTGAACAAACTTGTGATTTCCAAATGAATTTAGAACATTTTTCCACTACCTTTTCTCATGTATACATGGAGAAAATATTTTCAAGCTCATTTGAACTCAAAGAATGAACCAAATATTAGAATAATAATTTTTCGTTTTTTCATCATAATAAATTATTCCAAAATCTTATTAATCGATTGATGGATAATCAACTTGTAGAGACCAATCATTAGGTGAATATTAATTTTGTACGAGAAAAAAAATTCGAAACTTTATCAAAAGTTTGATAATAATAATGAACTTTAGGTTGGAAATTAAAGTTCAGGGATTATCACCACGAATCAATCATGAGTTAAACTGATCCATGATTAACCCTAATTAATAATTTCATCAACCATTAAGTACAAATGATTGAACCTGACAACAAATTGAATTTGTCACATTGTTTCAAAGCTCGGAAATTCATTCACTAATCAGGTTAATCTAATCATCAAATTAGCTTTGATATTTTTCTCATAAATCCAATTAGCTAAATGATAACATAAAATTGAAACGATTATCGATTCAAGTTTAACAAATACAATCAATTAATTTCCACGATAATTAAGTAAATATCATGCTAATTATCATGGAGAAAAATAAAGTTATATCAATTTCTCATAGTTCTCATTAAGTGTTTACATTCAAGTATCAATTGTGAATTCATGATTCAAGTGGTTCCTCAATCTGGTTATCCCATCATCATGATTACAATCATGTTTATCCTCAATTAATATAATGATAATCAGGTAAAAATTGCAACTCAGTATGATTATACATGTACAACAATTAATTATAATGATAAGATAATATATTGAACTTGAATGAATGAGTTGTGGTTATGGTGGTTTTATTCAAGAATCATTTCAATGCAACTCAACAATTTACATGATAAAAGGAATCTCTCTGAATTGTGAAACTCAATTACCATCAATAGTGTTTTCATATATATTTAATTGACCGAAAAAATAAAATAATCAAATTGATTTAGTTGATGACAGTCAATTGTTACCTGATTATTTATCAGTTTTGCCTGCGATTATCATGCAAGAATTTGAATATATATCGATAGGGAAAAATCGTAGATAAACAACATGAGACATTATTCAAGAATCTTCAATATTGACAAGGAAAATGTTGCAATATTTTCTCAGAAATTTTCGCCACCATGATAATGTATGTAGATTGAGGGGGAAAATTTTCCATTCTTCCTGAGAATCCATGAACAGTTGGAAAAAAGAAGGAAGGAAAATTCAAATGTTATCATGAAGATATCATGGTGATCAATTTGTGAGTCTTTACTATTATAACGTCTTGATACAATTCTGAATTATTATTGAACTTTCATAATGAAATTATTTATTTACATTGGATAAATTTCAATATGTATCATGTTAAGAAATTGTATCAACCAATTTTATCAGAACTTTTTCCTCCCTGAGAATAAGAAATCTGTTCAATTTCTGTGTTTATATTTTCACCTCATCTTTTTTTCAAACGTATCATTTTTGCTTCATATTAATATATAAATAACATATATATAGAGTAAAGGTTATCATCATCATGATTATCACCATGTTATTCATATGGGTTTCCTTTTATATCATGAGATTGATAAAAAATATACTCTTGTCATCATGAGGTTTATTTTGAAAAACAATTTCATTCAGGTAACAATTGAGTTAAACCTTGGTTATCCTTATGAAATATTTTTCTCTCCAGGTAATCATCAAGATGATGATTTACCTGGGATATAAAATATTTATATTATATCATGATAATCATCATGGTGAAATGAATGAGTAAGAGAGAGAGAGAGAGAGAGAGATGAAAAAATAGTTACAATAAAAATTATGAATTACGAATGAAACTAAAGGAAAATCTTGTTTGCTCATTAATGAGAATCTGAAAGTTTCCAATTATAATATTTATCTTTTCCAGAAAGAAAATAATATTCATACCTGGAAAAAATATTCCATTTCCTCAGCATCCTCATCATCTACTGGAAATAATTCATTTTCACTCAATTCTCATTACAATTCATGTGTTTACACCCAAAACTTTTTCCACATTCATGATAATGTAAATATCGGAAGCGAAATTTTTTTTTCCATCTCATTTGAAAATTTCTCAATTCGTATAATCATTTCAATCATTTCTATCAACAATTATCTCAATTATAATTACAATTTACTGAAATCTTATCGAGTTAATCCATTATCACCTCAAGATTAATTTTCTAATCGTTCATCTCTAATCTCTATAAACCTTAATTGTCACCTTGAGTTAACCATCAATGTTACACTTTGATCAGAAAGGTTAATTGTTTCAAGGTGAATCTTATTAAGAATTGTCATTGATTTGAATCAATTTAAAGCAATTAAAAGGTTGCTGACCATTTGATTAACGTTTTCATTGGGATGGATTAGTTAATTGTTACAATTGATCAACTTACTTGAGGTGGTAATTTGTTGTAATCGTTTTGTCATTGATTCTATTGATGAAGATCCAACCAATTTGTATGAACGTTTCAATCTTGTTAATCCATGATTAATTGTTTTACTCTTGATTAAATGTGTTGATTGATTAGTACGTTGATTAACTATCACATTAACTGATGAATTGATCTTAAGGTGATCCTTAAATTGTTGTTGACCGTTAGAGGATAAATCAAATGTTGAATAAAAGTAACTTTGAATTAAAAGTATCCAACTGGTTATCAATAGATTCATGATTTAAGTTTACAATTTATTTACACAATTTAATTAAATTGTCACTGGATTGGAAACTTCAATGGAAAAGTTGATTCGGCACAATTTTAATCTTTGATGACACAAAACAAACAAAAACTATTGTAATAATTGTTAATTACTCCTCTGATTGACTCGTTTAAAATTCATGACAATTATTTGATTGTTGGAAAGTAACAATCAACTTTCATCACAATACGATTTGGGTAATGTTAATCAGTCAACTCACTTAGTTCAACTGATCAGTTAAACTTTAGTTTAATGTTGATACCAAACATGATAGGGGAAAATTATCATTCCTCTTGCTGCCATCTATTGGTAACAATCAACGTTTTATCTTAAGATTTAGTTTAGAATCCGTTGATTTAATCCAGCAATGGGATTATTTAACTTTGTTTTGATATTTTACATTTGATTTAATTTTTACTTTGATTAAATTTAATTTGATTAATTAGCAAGTGAAAAGTGAAAACGTTTCAACTTATTGTTGGTTTAGTCTTTTTTTTCAAATAACGATCGTATTGATTTATTTAACTATAATTTCCTAATAATCACATTGAGATATCATCATGTAATGATAGAGATAGGGCAGGGAGGAGTAGGGTGGGAATGAGGAGACGAGGGAAGTGGTCAATTGACCACTTAAATTGAGTAAAGTTTCAGAATTGAGTTGAGTTTGGGTTAGATAAACTTAATCAGCCAAATAGAGAGAAAGCAAAAGTAAGTGAGTGAGTGAGTGAGAGAGAGAGAGAGAGAGAGAGAGAGAGAGAGAGAGAGATAAAATGAAGAAGATGAAGATGATGATACTGATGATACTGATGATGATAGAAGTGAATAGAAGATTAGAAGATGAGTTAAATAACATAAGATTTATTTCAACAATCAACATGAAAAAAGAGCAAACATCAACATGGAGTTTTCATGAGCAAATCAAACCATTGAATAGATTCCAATGAACTCTCTTAATGGCATCTAAATAGTCTTACAATTGACATTGTCAGTACTATGATTAGGAAGATATTCAAACGATCATGGAGGGAGGTGATTGTGGTGATGAGAGTGGAAGATAGTTAAGTGAAAATGAATAAAGGGTGAAGAATAAATGAGAGCGAGAAGACGAAGACGAAGAAGATAAATTGAAAGTATCAAAGAAAAGGAAGGAAAATATTAAGTGGAATCAATTTAATGCAAAGATTATCATTATTCATTCAATTGAATTGATCATGTAAAAGGATTAATTCTGAATAGTAGATGCATGTAATCACGATTAACATGTTGAAAATTGACAAAAAGGTGACATTATATCTACTCTATTATTCGTGTTAAAATTAATCACAACAACAAAAAGTTCATTACAATTTCATTCAGTTGAATATTATGTATATCGATAAGAGAATTCGTAATATTATAGATCATTATGATATCTTTTCCAAAGAGATTAATCAGCGAACTTGAATTATTCGGAGAATTGAAAATCTTCGCCTTTCTAATTTGTGTGCACTTTTTATCTCCGATTATCATTTCATCTTTACCATGAGTTCGAGTTGACAAGAAGCAGAACTAAGAAAGAATAAAGAAAGAAATTCTCAATAATATTACCATGGAGTGACAGGGAAGGAATAAGAATAAGAAGAAGAAGAAGAAGAAGATGAAGATGATAATGATGATGAGATGGAATCATCTTTCTGAATATTCCATTGAAAAAGAGAGATCAAGATGATGAGAAAATTAAGTTTCCATCTTCTGGTGAATTCAGTGGTTTTCAATATTATCTCTTCCTTATCATGTCTACCCTGTCAACTGAATCTAATCTGTTATATTTCAACTTTAAACAGCAAATGATGTTTGAAATAAATTCAATGATAAAAGAAATGATTCTATTCAGATAATCATCATTCTCATGATTACATGATTATCATATAACATTTTTTACTCTTCTTCTGAATCAAAGAAACGATTCCAATAGAATTGATATTTGATTCAATTTTTTTACATTCTCCTGATTTTCTGTGTTTATCCAATAGCCTGAAGCATTTGAAACTATTATTTCCATATCATCAAGCAAAATTGTTTCTAAATAGAATCTGTATTTATCGTTGATTGTAACTGATATCCGAGTTTATTATGTTGGTTAAATTGTTTTCAACAATTTAGTTTCAATTACGGTTTACAATTTAATCTGTCTTTTTGAATCATTTAGGAAACTATTGTCATGGTAATGAACATGATGATGACGATTAAATGAAACACAAAGTGGGAGGAAAAATGTAATAATACAGTTGATTACAATCAACTTAAGGAAATGATGATTATAATGGTTCTATCATCATCATCATCAGAATCATGATAATACTTGAAATCTGAGAAAAAGGTTATCTCTGAATCTGTTTCATGATGGATTACATGTCTTACCAAGTCAACTATTATCATCAATCAGAAACCATAAGGACATGAAAAACAATATCAATAATCAAATAATAATAATATCGTTTCATGTTATCATTATCATCTGAGTTTTATATTAAGTTGCTATTCCAAAATCATTAGACATTTACCACCGAATCATCAACTTGGAATCAGAATATTAATTGACTTGAGTTTGGAAACTTTTTGCAATTAGATTGAGTTGAGATTTCGAGTTTATATAAGACGAATTCAGTCTTAGAATTGGAACTTTTTTTCGGTTTTGATAAAACTTAGGAGAAAGAAGGAGAAGAAATGAAAAATTATTATTCTAAGAATTCGAATGATTTTTGTGAGAATTGGACTTGATTTAAATTACGCACTTGAAAAGTGTTAGAACATTTATTTTTCGAACTTGTATCTGGTTCGAAAAAGTTTTCGTTCTTTCGTTATTTTTGTTGTATTTTTCTCTTTTATAGTAAAGATAGAAAAGTTCTGTTCGTCTCATTATCTGGTCAAGAATAAAAGCTTTTCATGGTAACTAATCATTCAAGTTATCATCTTGATCAAATTAACTAAACTGAAATCAATTAACGATTCATCCAATTTACTTCATCAATTATCATTAGTATCCCATCATGTTATCAAAAGGATATCATCAAATAATCAATGAATAGTTTACATTATCTTCAGAATCGATATTGTAAATTCATCAACTACGAGTATTCAGATCTTCAATAGTAAAAAGATACTCTTGAGAAACTTTTACTCTTCATGGTGAAAGATAAGTGAGCATTGAAAACAAAACAAAATATAAACTTGAACTTGAACGGAAGTTCGTTTGGGCTGGAAGGTGGTACACAGGAAATGCGATACTAATGACTACCATTATTTACTGTAAGTATTAATTGATTTTCTCTTATGGAGTTGATAAAAATTTTATTAATAATAATACAATAATTTGTTTATTCTCCAAAAAAAACTCTACCCAATGGTGGACAACAGAAAAGTGACAATGGAAAGACGAAGCAAATGGTCAATTGACCACTTAAATTGAGTAAAGTTTCAGAATTGAGTTGAGTTTGGGTTAGATAAACTTAATCAGCCAAATAGAGAGAAAGCAAAAGTGAGTGAGAGAGATAAAATGAAGAAGATGAAGATGATGATACTGGTGATGATAGAAGTGAATAGAAGATTAGAAGATGAGTTAAATAACATAAGATTTATTTCAACAATCAACATGAAAAAAGAGCAAACATCAACATGGAGTTTTCATGAGCAAATCAAACCATTGAATAGAATAGCGATTCAAAAATTGATTTCAATGTTATTTGACTAATATTAGTCGTTTCTATTGCTACCAATTCATTCAATTTATAAATGTGTTTGTAACACAATGTTTGATCTTTGTAGGTCAAATGATTTTTAAGTTATAACCATAAACGTGCATAAAATCAAGTTAAGATACCCTTTCAATTTACCCTTGTAATTTTAATTTCATTTTGTCTCGTCTTCCATATCAAGTCTTTTCAACAGCATCATCTTATCTCTGACCAATGGTCAGTTGGGTTAGGGGATGATGGTAGTTTCAACATTGTTGAGTGAAGGGTAGAAATTCTGAGATCCTCAGTTTTTCATTTCATCACTGTTATGATTTGATTTCCCTTGATGAAAACAAACAATTTAATTTTCAAAATCATTTAATTTTCATCAATTAACAAATTGTCTTAATTTTCGGTTACAATTGTAGTCAACAATTCAACTTTCATTAATCTCCATCCTACAACTATAATTGTAATCTTTAATTGTTGTAATTAACAAATCAAATTATTAATATCCTTAGTTAATTGATGATTAATTATTACAATTAATATAAATTGTTTAACCAATATCTAAGATATATGAAAATTCATTAATATTAATTTCAACAATTGAATTCTTTGAATGAGTTAAACTTAAAATCTCTTAAAGAATTGTGATAAAGATATAGGTTTTAACATTAGAAAGTATGAAGCTTATCCATAAGGTTAAACCTTTATCTTATCATGTTAACCATAACTCACTGGTCTTGCCTTAGTTACACTTGTAACTTTTTCTTTGTTATCTTCATTATAATTTTCTTAATTTAATTGTCAACCTAATTTGTTTCTAAACGAATTTTCATTTCTATTCAGTAATTGTAATCTCTTCAAGTTAATGTTTAACTATAACTACAATCACTCATTTAATTTCAGTTTAATTAAAATTTCATGTAATTGTTAATCTTAATTCATTAGAATTAATGAAAACATTGATTGCTAAGTTTAGTTTAATTCACGATCTAAAAGAATCTGTTAATCAGTTATTTGTGGAACTGAGAATCTTCTAGTTCAAGTCTACAGACTTTTCAGTAATTAAAACTCTAAAATCTATCTTAATTAAGATAATCAATCCATCTCATCCCTCAAATCATTTCTCTACCCCACATGAGAAATCAACAACAATCATCATCATCAATTTTCATGGTTAACAATCTGGTTGCAATTAGGGAAGATAATTATATTTAAACAATATTATCAAGAAATTAACTTACCCTAAAGATGATAAAGATGAAGGTGAAGATAAAGAAAAGGTCATCACTTTGCCTTTGACCCTTATTGTTTTTCATTTTAATCTTAATCTTTACCTTATCTTCATCTTTATCCCCATAACTATCATCTTTTTAGGTAAATTAATTTATTGATAATATTGTTTACATTGTCAGTTTTTAAGTGCAACATCCTTTAGCAATCAATAAGCTGAGAAAAAACGGAAAAAATTGAACAAAAAGCATAAATTGATTTAGCATAATAATTTGAATTGAATTTGTTTCGTAATGTTCAAAGGAAGTTACGGATGAAGCGGAACTTTCCAAGAATTATACTATTTAGATTTGACCTTCAGGACGACTAAAGAACTGTCTTTCTAGTTGGTCGGTGGATGTTGGACTTTCTGAAGAAAATAAGAAAAAGAAATCATTACAGCTTCTTGATTATCCTTACAAGTCCACAAGCACCACGTTATTCAGTTAATTTTCGTTATCGTAGTTTTATTTATAACTAAACACGAAAGGAATGAGATCTATCGTTAGAATTCAGAACTAACAGGGTAATTCACCATGATCAGAACTATTCTGTTTTCCTTTGTTAATTTAGGTCAAATTTTACTTGTTAAAGATACAACTAGATGGAGATATTGTTGACAAAAAAAGTTTTTTTTTATCGAAAATCAGAATCGAATCACAAATGAGACTGAAATTTTTTCAGTCTATTGATTGTTTTCTGCATCTTCTTCATCATGTATTGTTAATCTGTGAATAAAGTTCAGTATAAATTTACGAGACAATGTGAATAACTTGATTAAAGTAAATTGACAAGGTGATCATACAGAAAAGAAACAGTTTATCAAACAAATTAATATATTCGAGAAAAAGTTCAATGGAAGAATCAAATTATTGTCTCTTACCGGTCAATATTTCAAGTGATAATAACACAGATAGTAATTCAACCGAGCGATGATCGTACTCGTGAAGATCAAATAGTTTTGTACAAGTTACTTTGTCCACCTTTAATCTTTGCTTGCCTTGTCTCCGTGGTACTAAATATCGGCCTTATCATTGTCGGACGAATGGGAACCCATAGGAAGTCACCCGTTCTGATACTCTCTCTGAATCTTGCCTGTACCGATACAATCGCCTCAATACTAAACGGCCTTGGTGTCGTTTTCAATTCTTACCTTCCCGTTGTGTTTAACGTTCATTTCGATACGTGTCCCTTTCTGGCCATTGAAATTTTCCGTTCATCGGCATTGATCTCATCAGTCCTTCATCTTTTAGCATTGGCATTCATTCACTACAAAGGAATAGTTCGTCCTCTCCATTATCGGTAATTATTAAACTTCCAAATTCTCATATTAATTAATCTCATTCCTTATCCATAATATTCATAAGACTTGATAACTTTAATCATTTGTTTTAATCCATGTAAATTCATTCAAATTGATAAGTAGCCAAAGCAATTAAATCATGTCCAATGAATGATGAACAACCATGATTAGTTGATCATCTTTAATGGTAAAAGTTAATACTAGATCATAATAACTGTTTATCTTATCATCTTCATGAAATGTTGATATATATTAATAAGATATCATTCCCAGTAGTTCTGGGAGTGAGCAAATAATATGAGAAACTGTATATTTATATGTAAGAAATTCAATTCCGGTGAAAATATTATTACCATGATGACGATGGCGATAATACAAATAAGACTAATGTTTAGTGATGATAAAGATAATTATTTAGAAGAAGAAATAAAAAAAAACAAATTGTTTATCTCGACGATTTAATTCCTTAATTCTTACCTGATGTTGAATATTTGTTCCGGTTAGACAAACATTGATACAGTGAATTGTATCATTACCAAGTTCTGAGGGATTCTGAGTTGATGATGGTGAATCGGATAGTAGGTGAAATGTGATATGTGAACTATTTTTATTCACAGATGAATGAAAATGTCTTTCCTACTTTTCTTATAACCTTTCCAATCATCAATAAATTGTTGATTAACTAATGAAAGAAATCATGAAATAGTATCATCATTATCTCCCATGTAATCAATTTACTTATATTGTCAATCTCATGACTTATATATTATGTACATGTATCTCTAAATTCAATGGTGAAGATGATCATCACCATGATAGTCAATGAACTGGAATAATTTCTTTGGAATTATTTTTATTTTTCTTCCCAATTTTCACCTTTAACTCTTATCATGCACACTGAACTTTGATTTTTCTTCCTCCATGAACTTGCCATGAATTCATTAGAGGCTTTTTTTTTCTTCTTCTTTATCATTATTATTACACCTTGGTGAGCATATTTGTAACCATTGATGAATTACTAATAATCATGATAATGATGATGAAATTATATTGATATTATTATTATTATTACAAGTTGAGAAATACAATCAACATCCTCAGCATTTTCAGTTATGATGATGATGAAACTTTGCTCAGATGACTTTGGATTTTTGTTTATTCATGTTCAGGGCTCATCTAGATTCCAGGATTGATTATCATCTCATCATTAGTTGATTATCTAAGCAATTGGTAGTAATTAAACACTCTAGATGATCTAATTGCTAATTATTCACTAGACTGTTTATAATAGTTTCAAAGGGAAGCTTGAAAAAATTACCAAAAAGTTCATTCCTCAAGGTATCATGTTTATATTCATATTACCCTGAATTATTGATTACCATCATCATGAATATTCAATGAGAATGAAAAATAAAGGTGATACTGATGAATGAACTTGATTATTTTCAAGATCAGATTCAAAGCAAATTGATTCAATCAAATTGCTCGTCTATAAGGTTATCATCATCTCTCCCTGGCTTCAGGGTAGATTCTGAGCTAATACTTTAACTATTCTGAATATTATACTTTTCATTCAACAGGCTAAATCTAATTGTATTTACAATAATCACCTGATTGTTATTATTAATTTTATCAGAGTATTTGGTTTATATCAGTTGATTGTAATATTAATAGTAAAGTTTTAAAGTTCATATTGATATTAATCAAACTTGAATTAGTAAATCTATTTATTAATCACTGTGATTAAGCTAAAGGTTACAATGTTTACAGATAAAGACAATAGATTATTACATGATAAGATTAATACCTTAAGGCTATTTGCTGCTAATCTGTTGACCAGAATATTAATATTATTAGATCGAACTTAAAGTTCAAAGCTTTCCAATAACCTTAAGGTTATTATTTGCTTAATGATAATAATTATCAACACAATTAATGAAGATTAATTTAATCTATAGTCTAATTGATAATGTAAGAGGATTTCAAGATTACTGTAACAATTAAAGTATCTAAAGTTTAAGACTTGAACCATTTAGTAGGATATTATTGTGATTAATTATTATTGAATTTCAATTGGAACTTTTTTTTGACTTCAATTATTGTCAAATTTCATGAGAGATTTTTGCTCCAATTATTCAGATTCTTTGATGTATCTAATGACATTTTCTTGTGAGAGGAAAACTTTTTGAATTAATTTCGAAACTCGGATGAGTTTCATGTTTAAATAGAATAAAATTATCACAAATCATATTATTATCGGAATATCATTCGTAACCAGACAGGTTTAATCAAAGAGAATTTAATTAACAGGCCAAACTGATTAATATTTAATGATAACATCAATCAAATTGCTTCTCATGTTAATCAAATCAGCTAAAATCAGCCAATTTACCAGCTCGAGTTTTGATCATTTACAATCTACCAATTTTTGTTGGCTTAATTGTGATCATCAGAATGTTTATCAAATCAAAATGATTATCAGTCTAATCAATGGGTCTACATGTACATGTAAATGTGAAATAGTATATTCAATGGATTTAAATTGTGAGTGTAACTTGAATGAATTAACCACAGTAACAATTAGGTTTAATCAACATGATTGGAATCAATTACTCAGTCAGTAAATTATTGGGATGATCAGTGAGCAATAAAACTGAACAAATTAGTTAAATTAGTAAACAGTAATCAGATGAAATTTGATTATCATGCTGATCACCATTAAAACAATTTAATTTAATCAAATAATCAAATTCATGTTTACTTTTGTTGATAAGAAAAAGGTTCGGATACAAATTAAATCTCATGCAGAGTGTAAAAAGTAAAAAGGGAAAAGTTTAATTACTTAATCAGTTAATTGTCAATTGGCTGATCACCAATACTAATAGTCGGCTATTTACTTTGATTAACTTTAATTTGGTTATTGTATAAATCTGATCATCATATTATTGGATAATAGATGAAACAATTACCTTGAATTCTGAGAGAAAAAAGTTTTCTTCTCATATAATGTTCATTATGGTTAGAACTTTTTTCTTTCTTAGAACTTGATTATTTCCATTATGCATATTCGATGGGAAAAGAAAAGTTTTACAATTCAGTAAATTGTTACTATTCAGTGTATCATATTACCATGATATGAATACCCTTCCCCTGATGGATACTAAATATCGAAGGTATTTTGTTTATATTTTGATTTATTTCTGTATCTGATTTGAAATGCTAACGAATCTTAATATTAACATGAAAAGACAAGAAGGACAATATGAGTGCATATCGATTATATGATTCATCAAATTCTGTTTGATTATAATTCGTTCTGGTTGATATTGATTTCGAGCAAATAAAAACATTGAAAAGAAAGAAATTGTGATGATCATGATAATCTTGAGAATTGTGATGATGCTCAGCATCATGATTAGTAATTCTCTTTTTTATTATCATTATTAATGTTTTTCGTTGGAACTTTTTTTTCCTCTTCTCTTACTTTTTCCATGACAATATATTCACGATATTTATCCATTGGAACGTCATTGATAATTATTCTGCTCGATTAGTACAATATAAATACGTAAGCATTTCAAGTACTACTTCCGGATTTTCAAAGTTTATCGAATCGCTATTTGGTTCATGTTTATTTAACGAAAAATTGTTACAATCGAAAAAAGAAAAGCCTCATGAAAAATGAAATGGAATGAGAAAAATATTAGAACTTTTTTTCTTTCTATTCTATTACTTACCTTGTTTACTGAATCTGAAACATTTCCATCGTCATGAGAACTTGAAGTTGTTGAGAATTTCAAGATTATCATTAACATCTTAATCATTGATTCGCTGAGTAAACAGTTGATGAGAATAATATGAAAAAAGTTCTGAGTTTTAAGTGAAGAGAAGTTTTTTCCGTTTTTCTTTCTTCGTCTTTTTTTCCCAGGCAACTGAAACGTACTAACGATAAATCAGTTATACTATCATGAGAATGAAATATCATCTTTATGCTTCAGGGAGACAGGGAAAAAAATCGTCAATTCTTAAGAAGATTTAATTTCCAAAGTTTATCATTCGATTACCTTTTTTATTCATTTCTTCACCTACATGAGACTCAACATATTAATCTCATCATTATCATGATAGAAAATTATAACTAAATGACAAAAAGTTAACAAGATAACAAGTTGACTGAAAGGTAAAATGTTCTGGTTTTTTTTATCGATTTTTTTATCGGTTCGAGTTTAGAATCATAATAGTAAGGGTCAAGTGTCATTGTTAATATGACCTAACTATTAATATATTCCTTCAGTGGTATTTCAAGTTCATTCTCTATGGATATTGGTTCTAGTTAACTACTCGAATTTGACATTTTCTCTCACCCTTTTAGCTTAATTAGAAAAGTGTATTCGATTTTTGCTTAACATGGAATCGAAAATAAGATTCCAGGCTTGTTTATCAATCTCAGAACTTTTCAACGAGAAAATCAACAATTATGTTGACTTAATGTCACCCAAAATTTCACCCAAGTTCTGGATATAATTTAGACATTTTATCAACCTGGTTCTCCATCCTAATCATAATCACCTTCACACTAAGTAATAGTTAGCAAATCTAATCATTAAAACAATTTACTCGATAAAAATAAGTTTACCTTAGATAATTGTAAAGTTAATCATCTTAATCATTCAATCAACCATTGAATCAAACTTTTTGCTTTTGCAAATTGTTAACTTGACTTGAAGTTTTTTCAATTTTTTTTCTAGCACAGAAAATGAACTACACTAATTATAACGGTAAATTAATCGATTGTATAATTACAGTTTAAATTGTGAATAAATTAAACATAATGAATCAGGAGTAATTTGATGATTTTAATAGTAAAATTAGTATTTAATTAATTTCGCCACATTAATTGGTTCACCATTAGTTTTAGCTTGTTAGCTTATGATGATTTTGACAATGACAACTGACATTAAACAGTTTTAATGTTGACCAGTTGACGAAATTACAGTTTACATTATTCATTGAGCCATGGAAAATAACTTTGAATATCTTTAGATGTATTTCATCATGATTGTCATCATGTAATACTAATATTTGATTGTCAGCAATTTAATTTTAACCTTGAAATACATGAAATTTGAAACATGAACCAAGAATCAATTCACCAAAGTTGAATATTTCTTTTTCCTTTACAATCTAAACTCTCTCTCTCTCTCTCTCATGTAATTGTAAATTCACCATAAATATTTACCATGAAATCAACAATCCTGAATAATCACTTTTCACATTCAGGGGAGTATACAGAATGAAAATGTTCAAGTCAATTGTCACCATTGTTATCATGAAAATCTGGACGGAACTTTTTTCATGATAAGATGAGAGGAAGAAAAAATGAATTTGATTGAATATCGAAAAACGGAAATTGAATTGAATCTCCAATTCTTATTCTTATTATTGATTATACGATAATCTCTCTTAATTCATATGAGAATTTGTAACATAATCGATTAGATGGTTGGAATATGAAAAGTTGAATCTATTGTTGTATCCATTGGATATAATTCAGTTAAGTAGATTAATTTTTTTCTATTTCTTCGTACTCGTGTTGTTGGATTAACGTTTTAACGTCAGATTAACGATAATTGAGTTTTAAGAGGAAAAATGGATTAGCTGAATTGCAAGTTTGTCCAAAATGATGATCATCTCCATCCTCGAGGATGGAGATGGGACATGAGGATAAAAAGCTTTTTATCCTCGTGTTAGGACACACGAGGAGTGATTAGAATCAATGAAAATAAGGATAATTAGTATGAAATTGTTAGTAAAGTGAATCAGCTTAATCGCCATTGTTAATCGCAATTAATTGTTTCATTTGCTTTTGATTATTGAGGCTGATTATTTGTTTCAATTTGAAAAGTAAAAGGGAAAAAGTCAAACTTCCTACTAGATTCATATTCCCAGGTGATGGTTGATTAAAATTCTGGTATTTTCAGACTGATCATCAATAGAAATTTAAGTGAATAAGAAGGAAGGAAAAAAAAAGTTTTCCATGAATATCATGAGAGTTCTGAGTATATACACTTATCAGAGTTTCGGAATAAAATGTTTCATGGTCTTAATTTCAATTCCAAGTTTATTTCTTCTTCATTTTCTCTTCCGATTCTGTAATCATGTAAATCGTTTGTGTTGGTGTTGTTGTTGTGTTCAAGTTCAGTTAACTGATTGACTTTTTTTTTCTCGATGAAAATTTCAAATGGAAACAACCAGAAAAGCTTAAGAAGCTCATTTCTGTTTCTCTTAATGATATCAATCAACTATCATGTGAAAAGTAAATTAAATTGAATCAAGAATCATTATCAGAACCATTTGAGTAAATAATCAACACACAGTTTAAACTATTGTTTATTTCATGTTAACGATTTTTGTTTTATCGTTGAAATGGTTTTGCTATTTTTCATCATCACCCTGAAATTGAAATGATAAAGATGAACTTAACTTAATTCAATCATTTAATTCAATTGTATTCAGTTAAATAACTAAAAATAAAATACACCAATTACTTGAATAAACTTGGAACAACAATTTATATTATACAAATCAATTTAATTTCAGATCATTATTGTTACTGGTGTGAAATAATCAACAGGTAAATTGTTAATCGAAACATCTAATTGTTTAACTTTCTTTCTGATATTTTGGACTAAATTAAATGTTTAGATTATCAATTAGAGTGAAAAAATTCTGTTCAATTTTCATAATAATTCGTGATGATGATGATTCTTTACCATGAAACATGATCATTCATTGGAGAGAATTTTTTCCCTTCAGAATTTCTGGTTTCCTTTTTGTTTCTCATTCCAGAATTTTATTCAGGTAGTTACGGAATTCTATCAAGTTTCATGATATGTTATTCCGAGGATTTGATGAAATTTTAATTCTTCAGGGAAAAAGATAACATTCTTATCATTGAATATTCTTTTCTCATTCAATATTCAAGTAGTTCGAAACTTTTTTTTTCTTCTTCTCTTTTTTTTTCTCTCTCTCTCAAATTGTTCAGTAATTTTATCTGTAAACGAAAATCAGTTTGGATGAATTTAACAGGGGAACATGATAGTTACTATTAAATGAATACTATTGGAATGATTTATGAGAGAATTTGAAATTGAGATGAACAGAATAATAATAATTCAATTTGATTTTGATTTTGATTTTGTTTCTTTCATTGTCCATCTCATTTCGTATTCTCAGAGTTCGAACATTTTTCTCACATCATGTAACCCGAAGTATCCACTTGATCAGTGCTATTTGCTGGGGTATTCCTTTAACAGCATTCACCATATACTTTTATTCAATTCCCTGTCAAGGTAAGATGATTATATTTCATTAACTGAATTCGTCATTGAAACTTTTTCAATTCCTTTTACACAAAATATTCATTCCATTGACAGGTTTCCGATCATCTAGCTGTGACTTCCGTTTCCTGGCCTCTAAACGATATCGATTATTTATTCTGGCCTTTTTCCTCATCCCATTGGTTATAATGTTTTTCCTTTATGCTAAAATATTTAAGATAATTAGAGCTAATCAACAGATGAGATATTCATCTAATGGAGTTGTTAATTATGATAAAGTTTTCCAATCTACTTCATCATCAGCTGATCAACAGAGTAACAATCAAAATAAGGTTAACTCACTTGCTACAGCAGCGGCCATTTTACTAGTCCAAAATGAGGCCAAAAGTACAAAATCAACCTCGACAGTGACCACAACAATAACGACGACGACGACGACAATTTCACCTCGACATGTTTTCATATTTCGTAATTACATTCGTGCTAATAACATTAATCACAATAAAACTGGACAATCAGAATCAAATTCAACAACAACCTCATCATCATCAGTACCAAACAGTATTGATCATAATCACCAACAACAATCAGTTAATTACAATGATCAAGATACTAAACAACAATTGTTACAAAGTTCAACATCTTTACTATCCTTAAATGAGAAGCAACAATTAACCTGCTCTTCAATGAAATCAATTAAAGGGAAACAATTAAACAATAAAGACTCAGATGATAATAATAATTTAGATTCTAATAAAGGTTCAACTGTAATTAATTCTGATAATAATACCGAACCGATCAATAATTATCGACATAGATTAATTTCATTGAAAGATAATCGATCGGCAACAATTGGACCAACTAAATCAAATACGAAAGCGCTAATTACAAGTCTACTTATATTGGGAACTTATCTCTTGTGTTGGCTACCAGCGGTCACTTTTCTGATACTGACCTGTTCCGATGGTTGCCCTTATTCAATATTTAATTTACCTCGAAAATTGTTAATCATAATCAGCTCAATTTGTAATTTTCTGGTCATTTGTAAGGCCATTGTTGACCCGTTCATTTATATTTTCAGGACTCGAGAGGTTAAGTTTGCCATTAGAAAAATTTTCAAATCATCAAAGGGATCACAATCAACTAATCACTATGGTAATCAAGTTAATCAACAATCGGATGGACGAAGGACTTTCAATAATAGATCAACAATTAGTGGATCAACTATCACCAATGGTGGATCGACTTATAATAATTAAAATTAATCATTTAAAACAACTAATTCTCAGTTATATATATTCAATTATATTGTATCATTTTAATTGTTAACAATCAATTGAGAATAGGAAAAAAAAAATTAAATAACTTTTATATATTAATTGATAAAATTTTCATCTGCTAATATTAATTAACTTGAAATTGAATTTTCTTAATTATTTATGTTTCAATTTTCAATTGTGATGAAATTGTTTCCATCATTTAAGTTAATTGTTGATTTGATTTTTTTTTCTCGTTTTCTTATCATCTAATATTTATAAATTAATTTAATATTAAAGTTAATTAACTAAATTATTTCAATAAAATTAATTACTTACAATCAAAATTAATGGACTACTTATCATTTTTATGAGAGGAATTTAGTTTTATTGGTAACAATTAACTAATTGAATGTTTAATTTTGTTTACCAACATTTAAATTATGATGCAACTTGTTATCAATTTGATTAATTTAACAACATTCAATCAATTTAATCATCTACTCAATCAAATTGATCAACTATTCATAAGGTAATTAACTGGTTTGATTAACTTTTTGAATAAAAAATTGGGTCAATTGTAAAGGGCAAAGAGTAATGATTGATTGTGGCGATGATTAAATGTTAGTTTCAATGTCAATTAAAGTTGACATTGATTCTGTTTGATTAAATTAAGCTGCAAGAATTTAAGTGTAACAATCAATTGATTATTAATATTAATCACTTTTACTCCATGGCAACTATGCTATTGATTATAATTGTAATAACTATGGTTAATATCAAACAATTGACAACATTTCAGTTGATTATTAAATTAACTTTCATCCCATTAATGATTTACCATTGACAGAATCAATCTATTGGTTAAATTGTTAACAATTAACTAACAAAGCTGAAAGTTAAATGTTAAATTGATAAAGTGTTCATATCATAAACTTAATACTCTCAACAATTTAACTTAATTGTTACACCTACTTAATGAACGTGATTTTTGTCTAATCTTTTGGTTTTACAATTTAATTTGATTGTAAATTGTTTCAATTGTATTGTTATTTTTTTTCCTCTTCTTTGTGATTAAATTGAAGCAAAATTAAATTGTTTCAAACTCTTTTCAAATGATTAAATGTGGAAGGAAAGGTCAACAATTGATTTAAGTGATTAGATTTAATTGTTACAATTAACACGATCGATAGTTAATTTTTGTATCGTAATTGTTATTAATGAAAAGAGGTTGTGATCTTTTTTGTTTACATGGATTTAAATTGAAGAAATTAAAAAAAAAGTTAGAGAGAGAAAAACAAGAGAGTTGATTAGCAATTAAAGAGTAGGAGGAAAAGAAAACAATTAAAATACAATTAGGAATCAATTGTTTACATGCTAATTAAAATCTGAGCAACAAATTGTTATTATAGTTTTACAATTGGATGAAATGTTGTGTTGGAAATTTGTATACACACAAATTGTATTAATTATCAATCATGCCAATTTTGTTGTCATCAAATGATTTAAATTAAAAGTTGAAGTTAATTATTGTTTATGATTAGATTGATTAAAGGGAGAGAGACTGAGTATGTAAGATGAAAACAACAAGGAATCAAAATTGATTAATCTCCTAGTGAATTGTTTTTACATTGTTGGTTGATTGTTGCTTCAAAATAAGAAAAGGTTGATGAAGCAATTTAGAAAAAAAGAAAGCGGAAAATATTGGATAATCAGTTAATTGTTTGTTTTTTGGCTTCTCATGATTTAACATCAGATCTCCAATCGCGACCTGATCTTGTACGTCGTCTTGGAGGGATATTCGGTTGGCATGTAAGAGATTCAGTTGATTTTCTCATTAAATGGAGATCAGCAAATGCATTGGTTGTCATCGCGATATCGGGAGTTACATCACTCAATTGATGGACTGGAGCAACGAGATTCTAGAAAAATTTAAGAGAGAGAGAGAGAGAGATGAGACAACAATCAAGAGAAACTAGAAAGGTGAATAAGGTTATTTACCTCAGAATTCAAACTGTAATTGCTTAAATATGATTCACTTAGAGGAGCGTAGTAATCAGAAGCTGTATCATAGGTGAGATCTTGAGTATAACCATAAACATCTTTGTCCGATCCTAATATACCGGAAGTACTTCCGTAAAGGGAAGACGGATGAATGGGCTGAGTTGAGGGAAGACTGTGTTTATTTAATTCACTGTAAATGGATGAGCCCATTTTACTAGATGAAGAAGATGCTGAAGCTTCCGACATGGAGTAGGAAACATAAGAAGCGCTGTTTGATGTGTCAAGAACTTCAACTGCCCCATCGGGAAGACCAAATTCACGGACAACTCTTAATTGGATATAATTGATCACTTGATTCTTATTTGGTATTATACTTAAATTACGTGAACTTGATAAATATCGTTCAAGTTCTTCGACACGTTGTTTCATTAAAAGTAAAATTCTTTCCTCAATGACAGGTAATTGATTTAGATGAGAGTAAATTTCTTGACAATTAGATGGATTATCGTAAGTTGCATATGAATTTTGATTACTATCAATTGGAACAATGTCCATCCCAGAGTCTGTACTAGTTGTTGTTGTTGTTGTTGTCATGTAAAGAGCATCAGGAGGAGCTGGTAGAGGAGTAGAAATGGATGATGAAGATGATAAAGACGATGAAGAAGCCTTTGGAAGAGGTACACGCATGTTGATAGAATTGGATTCATTTGTACGCGCTAATCGTGTTTCAAGATAACTTCGAGCTTCCTCAACGTATGGAGTAAAATATCGAGGTTTAACAAATGAACCTTGAGATCGCTCACGAATCCAACATGAAACACCACGAGGATGGGGAGTGATACTGTCCTCTTCTAACATGTAGGGTGGCAGTGTACTGATTAGCCCTCTTTTAATTGAATTCGTAAGAGTCTCACTATCAGATGGAAGTATGTGACCAATGCGAACGTAAGGCATCAATTCAGAGATTATATCTCGAAGTTCATCATCATTCAATTCTTTCCGACGAAGTCCATGTCGAAGACTATGAGCTGTTTGACTAATCACATTTGGTTCTATTTTGTTTTGAAAAGAGAGAGAGAAAAAAAAAGAAACAATGTTTTAAATAATTGATCGAAAACTCTTATTAGAGCAATTGAATTAATCGAACAAAATTTGAACAGTTACCTCGTTCTTCCATTCGTTTGAATAGCTTATCTTCACCCCATTTGATTACCGCTTGTAGCACTTCAAGTTCACTTGCTTGAAGATAATCGGAAGAAATTGCATCTTTCAAATGATTTAAATCTAATTGGTAAAGTATTGATGATGAAACAATCAGAGAAAACTCTTCACGTAGGAAGTAGAGAGATTGACGTTTAACCCAAATAGATCCGTGAGGTTGTTCACTCCATTTTAATATAGTAATTAAATTATCTATCGACAGCGAATCGACCAGCATATCTTCACATGCTTGTATCAGTGAATCTAATTCCAAAAATCGACCAATTTCATAAAGCTCCATGATTTCCTTTATATAAGATGGCGATGATGAGGAGGAAGAACTCGATGAAAGTCCTGAGAAAGATTAAAATAAAGTTTAAGTTATATTATCTTCTGATTGTAGTTGTTGTTGGTGATGTTACAATTTGGAATTGAAATAATAATACTTACTAGATGATTGACCCAAATCATTGAAATGAGTACATTGGCAAACACAACCGGGTAAAAGATTAGATAAATCGGTTGAATCTCGATAAATACAATGAAGAAGGATTCGAGCAAATCGACGAGGAATTATTGTCTCATCAATTACAATTCGAATTTTTGAATTGGCTAAATTGATTGAAGTGGCACCAGCTTCGGTTAGCGCATCGGTGAAACGCTTCTGATGTCGGGATATCACATTACGAAAGAAAGTTGATCTAGAAGCAAGGATAGCACAATGACAAGAAAATTCTGATTGATCTGAACAGTTTTTACACTTTTTCACTGAACCAACATTAACATAACCATGAAGATTGTTGATACTATTGTGACCAGTTAACATTGAATTAGATGTTGATGTACCAGGAGAAAGTATGGAATTGATTTCATTGGATGAAGGTAAAATTGGTTGAACACTGGATGAGGTGAAAACTAGAATAGCATCAGAATAGAGGCCAGTTTCAAGAAGATGTTTTAAATCGTGTTCTAAACTATTTGGAGCTTGATCACTTAATTTCATTAAGATGGAATCATAGGTTGAAGATGGTAGTGAATTTGCTGATGAATAGGATGGATAAAATTCACCAGAATAAAGGTATCTTAAAAGGTCCATAAAAAAGTCAGGCCGTAAACCAGGAACGTCTAAATTGACCGGAATTTGGGCACCGAAATCATTTATTTTACCAAGCAATTCTCGAAAAAGTGGACAACGAACACAAACAATGGCCTTATGAACGGGAAAGGTGTGCCCTTTGAATAACAGGTAAGCATCGGCAACGTAATTACAATCAAATAGATCAGTTAAATCTTGAGCAACCGTTGATGCTGATGGTCGAGCCAATTCAGCCAGAATATGTAGATCTTTAAGTAAATTGGTGATTCCATATTCGTGAATTAATTGAGCAATATCTCGAGTGCTCCAAGTTGAAATGAAATTCTTAATGATCTGAGAATGGTCAAAACTTTTAGAGGTTCGTCTTGCTTTACATCCTAACTTTTTCCTTAACGTAGCAAATGAGGCAAGATTCCGACGCTTTTTAACAACAATATTTCCACCGCCATCATTGGCTAATCTTGAGCTTGTTGCTGATGTTACAGTTGCTGTTGTTGTCCCCAAGCTGGAAGAGCCAATAATCGAAGAGGAAACAGATGAAGGAGCACAATTTCCTGTAATAGATGATGCAACATTCAGGTTAGATGAAGATGGAATAGAAGAAGATGAAGATGAAGGTAAATTATTAAAATGATGAGATGAATGTTTAATATTATGATGATGTGAATGAGAATGGCGAGAATGATGATGATGCTGATGGTGATGATGGTGATGTTGACGATTCCCTCTATCTAATGAACTGTTACCCTCCCTTATATCTCTATGATTAATATTACAATTATTAGTACTATTACTATTAGAATTATTGTTATTTGATGAAATGTTTGGATTTGCTTGATGAGCTAAAGGTGACCAAGCTGATGAATCTCCATGTATTCGGGTGTAACGATATGAAGGTTGATTTGTATTCGATGATGAATTTACATTAGAACCTGAATTACCCATATTGAAAAGAATAAAATCGTTTGGTTGACATTTAGAATAACAAATTTAATCCAATTGAAAACGTAGAAAAAAACAAACAAAACTAAACAACGAATTAATTAAACTTTAATCATAATGAATAAATGATAAACAATCAACAATTTTTTCCTTTCAAACAAAAACATAATCAGGGATTCGAATCCAATTCGGATTCGTGATCAATAGAAACGCGCGCAATTTGAATCCAATAAAAAGAGAAACAAATTTAATTTTCTCTCACAATTAACAGTTAATTGTTATTTTCTCCAACCAATTAAAACTAAACGATTCGATTTTCTCTTTACAATTTGAAAAATTATCTAAAAGATGGTAAACATTGAGAATATCTTATTCTATTTATTCACTTTTGGCTTAATTTGGTTTTCCATTTCATTGATAATTAACTTTAATTATCAAGCTAATCAATTGAGTTTATTTTTTGTTTCCTCTGTTTTGAAACTAATTAACAGCTAATGGCCAGTGTTAAATATTCAATGATTGAGCTGTAATGAGATGGAAGATAATTACTGTTTCAATTGAGATGAATTTCGCAATTGGATTTCAAGTTAATTACTATTGATTAATTTTCTTTGCTTCTAATTGTTTTGTATCATTTGGATTATGATTGATAACTTTTGCTCTTTCAAATCGGTTAGAAAATTGATCTCTGTCAATGTCAAGTTCGAGGTTAATTTCGTTCTTCTTGTAAATCGATCGATAACAAAAATGGCGAAAGATAAAACAATTTGATTCGAATTGATTGAATTCAAATAATCAAGAAAAAATATTCTCCCGGTGACAAATGAAATGATTTAAATAATTAGAATTTTTTTTACGTAAAAACTTTTTTTCTTTTCTCAAGATATAGAAATTACTAAATTCTTTTGTTTTCTTAGTTAATTAGTGAGTTTTTGTTTTCTTTCAGAACAAAATGTGATAAAACTGCACATTGAGTCTTCGTCACGAACTTGAGAAGAAAAAATTGAAAAAATCTTCCATATGACGAGTTGATATAAGAGGGAGAGATTATTTATCTTGAAAATTTCATGATGAGTGTAAATGGTTTGGTGTTTGTATGTATGTGTGTGTGTGTGTGTTTATGTTTGTTAAAGTGATTTAGTGGTTAATTAAAAAATGTCTTGAAAATTATTGATTGATGATGATGATTCTAATGAAGATTGATTAGTGAATAAGGATAATTCTCGGGATTCCGATTTGGCTGGACCCCAGATTCGGATGGTTGAATCATCTGAGGCACTCGCTAACATTTGAGGATATTTGGAATTCCAAGAGACACAATTAACTGTTCTCGAGTGACCTGAAAGTACTGCAATCGGTTTCTCCCGTTTAGTGTGCCATATATATACTTTGTGATCTGAGGAGAAAATAAAAACAACAAACAACAAACAAATTAACCAAATTGATGAAGAAGAAAAAAGATTTAAAATCTTCGGATAATCAATGAGAAAGATAAACTGATGATTACCTTCACTCCCACTTGCAATAAAAACTTGATTAACTCCACCGAAACATGAATGAATTGTATAATATCCTTGAGTTACACCTTGATATTTTCTAACCAGAATTCTGTCCTCTAAGTCCCAAAGATGAACGCCCTGAGATGAAACATTAAGCAAAGCTAATCTTCCCGTTTCATCGGTAGAAAATGAAATAATGGAATGATCTTCTTGAATTCTGAATTGAAGAGAAGGAAAAAAAAAATATTAATCAAATAAGAAATTTATATATAGAAAATGATGAGTGAGAGAGAGAGAGAAAAAAAAGCAAAATGATTTTATAGGTGGAGAGAAAATCTTACATGTTGAAATCAATGACATCTTCCAAATTGTAACCTCTAATTCGGTGATGGGTATCGGCAGCTAGGACAGTTTTTCCGTCTTTACGATAGCCCAATGATTGCACTCGAACTCCTTCCCATTGGTCCAAGATAACTCCATCTATATCCTTTGTATCAAATGAGATGTAAAGAGAAAAAGAGAACAATTAAAGCTCAAGGTCAAGGGAAAGAGCTTTTTTTTTCTTTGTAATAATGTTAAGGTCAACTTACACATTGATAGAATTGACCTCTTAGACCTCCGGTCACAAATTTTCTTCCATCCTTATGCCATGAACAGGTTGTTAGACTATCTTCGGGATTGTGGCTAACTTTTACTCTCAGTTCACCAGTCTAATCATTTGAGAAAAGGTTAAATAAAAAATCAACAAGGAAACAAAGAAATAGAAAATCATAAGTAATCAATAGCAGATTTGTGAGCAAATATCCTCATGGTGATTGATTTACTAACTTGTACATTCCAAACCCATAATTCTGAGCAATCATCAGGTCCACAGGCAATGAGAAAATTATCGTCAGGACTCCATGACAGGAAAGAAACACCATATGAATGTCCTTCGAATGTGAATTTGTGCTTTAAGGTTAAAGTTTCCTTGAAAAAAAAGAGGGCAAAGGACAAGAGAAAATTAGAGTTTCGCAAAGTGAATGATAGAGAAGGGGAAAGATGATTTAAAGAGCTGAAGACATTTCAAAGGATTAAATTGTTACACTTACTGGATCAACATCCCAAATGATAACAGAATTATCTTTCGATCCAGAGGCTAATTTAGTTCCATCGTTTGAAAAGCGACAATACCAAACTTCATCTCCATGATCGGTAAGAATTTGAGTGGTTACACATGGCAAGTGCTCTCTAAGAAAATTGAGAAAGGATTAAATTGATATAATCAGATTATCAGATAATCTTTACTGACTAGATTAAGGGTAATTGTTAGATAGATGAGTTTTTCTTTTCACCATTTAAATGATGATTTACTTACTTGCTACAAGCATGATCGATTAGGAGAGAATAGCAATCAAGATCATCCTCATTGACGCTATTGTGATAAAAGCAACGTTCTTTTTGTAGCTCAATAGCTTGGGACAAGAGTGTCTTTAATCGCCTTGGAGGGAGCATCACGGAGGGTGGGAGGAAGGCCTGAAGTTTTTCCATCAGAATTTGTCTTGATCGAATACCTTTACCTTCCCAACCGGATAAGCTTCTCAATTCTTCACCAGGATTACACATACTAAGTTGACTTAACTCATGGACACGATCAATTTTATGATTTAATGGAGCGATCTCATTTTGAAGACAGTAGAGAGCATCAATGACCTGATTGTCAGCCAAAAATTCAAGATATTTTTGTTCTAGTATAAGAAATTTGATCTCCAGTTGAGCTTGTGGATAAGCTAACATGTATTTAAGTTCGTAAAGATCGGCCTCCGCTTTATTCCAATCACCTTCAATTACATGAGTTTGGAACTTGGTAGCTGATGGATGATCTAATTGGCATCCTGATTCTTTAATTAACGACTGGACAGTGTCATTTAATCCCAATCCTTGGAGATGTTGACCAATCAATTTGATTATTTCTCTTTCGGTTCGAGATTTAATATCAAAACGAGGTAATGAATTCTCATTTGATCCATTAACTATTTCCATTGAATCGTTTTTAATTGACTTTATTAAACGTAAATCATCAAACTCTTCAACCTCCATACTTGATAGAACAGTAAAACAATTTCAATTCACAATTAACAAATCACAATAAATATAAAATAAATAATCAAATGAAATCAAATCAAAACATAAAAAACCAAACCAAAGATCAGAAATATTGTCATATGATATCGGATATTTTTCTTAATCCAAAGTATCAGATCCTAACCGATATTCGATTTGTAGTTTTAATTTCAACTTTTAATTGTGACTTTGATATTTGTAATTGTGATTGTGCTTGTGATTGATTTTCTCTTATTATATTTTCATTGATTTTTAGAAATTTCGAATCATCGAATAATCAAAAATGAAGATTGCCTTTTGTCCTATGGATGGGTAAGTGTTTTCATTTTCTTTCCTTTTTCTTTTCTTTGATTTAATTCATGTAAGGTAATTAGAGATAATTAACAATTAATGAGTGAATGACATTTGTTATTCCAATAGCCATGGTCATGTAAATGCTTGTATTGGATTGGCAAAGATATTGAAAGGTTTTGAGAACGAATGTATTTTCATTGTTCCCAAAAATTGGACTAAAACTGTCGCTGGGAATGATTTTGGTATCGAAGCCATTGAAGCCGATGGATTCGAGGCCGATCGAGATCCACAGGAAAAGTGGGGCAAATTCATGGAGCAAAGATCTCGAGTGTTTGACATGGAGACAGTCGAGAAATTCATCCATCTGAATGTGCCAAGTAACGAGAGTTTCTATGATTATCTGATTAAAACGGATGATCAATATTCGTTGATCTTAGAAAGAATGAAACCCGATTTGATTATATTCGATTTTTGGGTCTCCGTTCCTGCCATCGTCAATTCGGGTATCCCTTATGTCACCTTGTGGTCAACTAATCCTCTTCTCGCTTATTGGTCATACGGAGCTCCACCTTATTCATCGGCCTTTGGAATCAACGATGATCCCAAAGAGTTTGAGAAGTTGAGAATTGCCTTTAATGAGAGTTTAGTAGAGATTAAAAGTTCATTCGATGAGTTTTATCGTTCGAAAGGAATCGACCCGAGTAAACAAGATCGAATCGATTTCTCAATCCTGGGTAAATCTCCCTTTCTCAACCTTTACCCTTATCCGGAAGACTTGGACTATTCTGAATTCGGCCCAGTCCCAGAGAAATGGTTTCGAGTTGACCACATGGTCCGAGGAACTGATGACATTCCCCTTGGAATCGATGAATCTTTTTTCACCTCAAATGCCAATTCCAAGATTATCCTGTTCTCACTCGGCTCCCTGGGTACATCTAATTACCAATTGATGACCCGATTGATTAACATTCTCGGTAAATCACCACACAAATTCATCGTCTCCAAGGGTATTCACCATGAGAAGATGCAATTACCTGGTAACATGACCGGAGCCAAATACTTGAATCAGATGAAGATCATGCCTCGAGTGGACATGGTCATTCATCATGGTGGAAACAATAGTTTCATTGAGACTCTTTACTTTGGTAAACCTTTTATTGTGATGCCTCTTTTTGGTGACCAACATGATAATGGCCGAAGGGCAATCGACAAGAAGATTGGAAAATGTTTCTTACCCTATCGAGTGACCGAGGACGAACTTGTCCAAGGAATCGATGAGATTCTCAATGACAGTCAACTAATTGAAAGAGTGAAATTGATTGGTAAACATTTGAGGGAAACAAAAAGTCATCAGGTTTTGAATGAGAAATTGACAGAAATGGTTAATCAATTTAAGATGAACAATTTAAACATGAGCACAAACACAAACACAATCAACAATCAAACTAATTCCAACATAATCAACACCGATAGTGCAACAAGGACGATAACCAATGGATCACCGAGTCATGATAAATCGGGAAACATTTCACCAGTTTGGAACGAACCTTCAATTCCCAGTGAATCTTAACAATTGGATTAAATTTGAATAATTAATCTTCAGTTAATCTCCTATTGCTCTTCAATCAATCATTTAATTGATATTCAAAAAATAGTAAAGATATTAATCACAATTGATACTCGTATCTCTTTCAACAACATTTACAGTTAATTAACTTCTTCAATTGTCTCACCTTCTTTCAACTAATTGCTTTGATACTTTAATCAAACTCAATTCATCAAATCAAAATCATCAAATTTGTTTTCATCGTAATCAAACAATGACCATTAAACTGTTATCATAATTTGAATGTGAAAATGTTGACGATGATGTTGTTGGTGTAAACGATATGAGTGGGAAATAGTCTTGATAGTGGATCAATTTGATTAACGAATTTAAATTTCGTTAATTTTTCAAGAGAATAGAATTTTCATTTATTTGATTGTTCGATTATTATTTTGTCTGTGAGTTTATATCAAGGGATTTGAGTGGAAAATAAATATGATTGCAATTGATTGATTGTTTTAATACACACACAAAGACAATTAGAGTTATAATTGTGTCTTGGTGACAATTATTGATACAGAAGAGAAGAGATAATTTGGTTAACTTAGATAGAAAGGATTATTCTTGTTCTTTTTACTGTGATTTTTTTTCTTCTTTATCGAATGTGAAACCAATTGTAGGGAACCCGAATCTTCACCAGCTCTTTTCCTTCGTCCTCGATTTCCGGTTAAATGGACTGCACCTTGAAGAGTTGGGGGAACAATATAATCGGGAATATGTTTAAGATGGTTGAACTTTTGTTTAGTTGTTCCTAGAGTTTTATCTTGGGTGAGAACTTTTAAATCTTTTGGATTAGCCTTAAAATAAGCTTCGAGTTTTTTGGAGCTTAAAATTTCTTTACGAATTTCTTTAATTCGAGCTTCCTTGATCGCTATTCCGGTTACCGCTCTTAATGCGTCTCTTGATCGATATCTGAAAGGTTCAAGTTCTTCCATTCGAAAATTGTAAGGCTTAAAATTGGAATCAACTTGAAGCTTTTCGCTCATCAATTCATATCGAGGCATTTCTTTTGGACAGATGAGCGATAAAACTGTCCCATCGGTATCATGAGAACCTCGAGCGGTTCGACCAACTCTATGGATGTAAGAGGCAACAGTTAAAGGGAAATCAAAGTTAATCACATTAGACACAAATTGGAAATCAATTCCTCTGGAAACATTTGATAATTCTTTTTGATGTTCAGGTTTTTTCTTCTTCTTTTTAGAATCGCCATCATTGGTCTCATCTTTTACTCCATCGGCATCACCACTCGACCAAATAGCGTCATTGGCGATGATTATTTCATAAAGACCTTTGTTAAATTCTTCAATGGTTAAACAACGTGATTTAACAGGTAATTCAGAGTTTAAAGCACAACTTTTGATTCCAAATTGTTCCAAGAACAATTTAATCTTATAGCACATGTTGGTTGTATTTACGAAGATAATTGTTTTACCAGCAATTAGATTTAATTTGAATAGAGCTGCTAGAATAACAAATTTCTCATCGTCGTCACATTTGATTACATATTGATCAAGACTCTCAATAATATCGGGTTCCTCTAATTTACATGAGACTGGATTTTTGAGAAACTTTTTCATCTCTTTAATATCATCAGCAGCGGCTTCTAATGTAGCCGAAACCAGGAAACATTGACAAACTGAATTGCCCATGGCGGTGGTGAAAATTTCCAAAATTTCATTCTTAAAGAAGAAACTGAAAACCAGATCAGCTTCATCAACAACCAAGAACTTGAGTCCAGCACAAAGACTTTTCATCTGGTAATCAAACAAAAAGAAGACAATTAATTAACATGTAATTTAACGTTTCAGCTTATAAGGTCACAAGAAAATAAATTAGAACCAAAAAGAGCGACGATGAATTAGTTTAATATAGCAAATCATTTTACCTTCAAAATCAATCAATAATCTTGAGGAATAGGTAGATTGCTGACCAGTAACAATTGTCAGAAAGTCTCTTCAACTTACTTTATGATATTTAATCAATTTACTTGGTGTGGCGATGATTATATCTTGATCTTCGAGAATTGTCGAATTTAACTTCTCATCTTTACCTTCCAATAGTGATGATATACGAATCAAATTGGATGATGATCGATTTAATTGTGTTGCTGTGAGAAAAATTTGTCGACAAAGCTCTTTGGTTGGAGCTAAAATAACAGCACTTGTTTGCTGTTCACTGTTGTATTGTTTCTCAGCAATTATCTTATTTATAATTGGAATTAAATAAGCAGCAGTTTTACCACAACCAGTACGTCCACTTACTAGAATATCTTTACCTTCAAGAGCAAAAGGAATCACAGCAGATTGAATTCCAGTAGGTTTCGACCAACCGACCATCTTAATAGATTTTAACAGCCGATGATCCAAACCAAAATCATCGAAAGCTTCAACTTCACTAGCCTCCATTGTAAAGAATAAAATAACAATTAAATTTCACAAATAATTGAAGAATATCAAACAATCAACAAGCACAATTAAAAGAAAACAAAATCTCTCAATAAACAAATTCCACGCTTTTCACGTGTGCGGTTTCGGTAAAATCGAAATGCGGATATTCGATTCTCGTAGCGGATAAAGAAAAATCGAAAATAGGGGAAAGAGAAAAGAGCGAAAGAGAAAAAGACAGAGTAAAGTGACTTTAGAAGGGAGAGTAACCCGAATGTTTTGTTTTCTTCTCGGTTTTGAATATCCGAATATGATGAAACCCGATGAATGAAATGAAAATTTTGATATTTAATTTAATTATGTCTTTTGTTTTATTTCAATTTTTACTTTCAATTTTTGTATTTTGTTTTAATGGTCATTTTATTGGGGGTACAAAAGAAGAAAATTTTCTTAGGTCAAATTTGTGTGTTAATCTTCATGTTGTTGATTGTAATTTAAAATTGATCAACTTGACAAGCAACTTTGGTGATAAAATCACAGGTAAAGGTTGTCTGGTCAAAGGCTGTTCCCTCTGGACAATTGAACGAATGTCTGATTGTTTCCGATTCGGTTGGTGTGCAGACATGGTAAACTTTACACTCTTGGCTAACATCGGCATAATAACCTGCACTTCGACCAGTACAATCAAAATCTACTGAATCAGCGGCCAATTGTTGAGGTGAAACGGGAATGGGTTCCTCATGGACTTGCTGAATAATCTCGTGACATGAAATGCTGGAGAAAACAAAGAAAAGGGCAAAGATGAATTTCATCATGATGGTAATTTGATAACTGTAAGAGAGGAAAGAAAGAAACAAAAAAAAAACAGAGACAATGGTGACCGTGAAAGGAAAACAATAACTAAACTAACTGGTTAAAAACCTCTTTAAATAAGGAAAAGTTTTTTTGGCCCATCCTCATATCATCAGCGATTGGTCAAGTTGTTTTGACCATTTCCGACGGAAAAGGAAAGAATTTACTTACACGGAAGTAACCATTGTTATCCAAAGACTTTTAAAAGATTATTAATCACAAAGAATCTTGAACAAGTTTAGAGTTTTTTTCTTCCAATCGTTTACATCGAGTGCATCGTCGATTCTTCCGATAGAAACAATTTCTATTGATATAGAGAAAGAGAAAGAGATGATTTAGTTAATTTCAAGTGTTTTACAATTTAGAACAATTAACTTACTTGTGATAAACTGCACTACATTGTGGACATGAGGCAATGTTAGAAGCAAATGGGAATAAAAGATCATCTTTATCACGACAAAGTTCACAGTAAAAACCTTTTCCTTTGCAACTCTGTCATTAAATAGAAGTGATTACTAAATTGTGGAGAGAGAACAAATTTTCCAATTGTAATTAGAAAATTACCTCACAATCCTTTGTGATATGTTCAACCAATAAAGAGTGAACCTCAATTAGATCCTTTTGAAGTTTAACTGTGTTACATAATTCATCGAGAGTATAACAATTGATCAGTGATTCTTCAATTAAATGTTGGCTTATTGTTAATTTTGGTTTAAATGGTTGTCGACATAATCGAGTATATTGAGCCATTGAAATGAGTTCTTTCCGAATTCTCTGGTAGTTAAATTATAGACAAGAGAGAACAATTAAAATATGAGGTTTCGTTCATTTCGTTTACAATCATACCTTGATTGTTGGTAGTTCTTCAACAAATCCATATAACATGGAATTAAGTTGCAATATATCAAATAAGATTGGCTTTGAACGAATATAATTGAGTATTAGAAGGGATTTTTTTGAAACAGATCGAGGTAGAAAATCCCAATTGTGTATAACTCGAGCGGGCATCACTGCAGTATCACCGGAATGACATTTTTGACAGTAATATTTACCATCATAATCACATAAATTAGCGCAATTTAAGTAAATTGATCCTTCACAATCGTTACATTTAAACTGTTGCTTGGTTAGGCCAATTTCGGGGCAAATTTTCAACATAACCGCCTCATAGCTTTTATTACAACCAGAAAATCTTTCCTCTTTATCAAAATCTAATCTTGGACATGGACGAAGACCAGGCTGAAAATAGAGTGGAAAAACAAAATGGAATCAATTAGAAAAACAAATGGTTGATAAATTGTTTCCATCAATAGAAAATTAGAAATGAAATTCAATCGGATAGGAGTGACTGATGAGAATGATCGATATGTGACAATTAATGAATGGAAAGATCTTTTTTCTTGATTATCGTGGATGTTGTTACCTTTTCCAAACAATCTTGGTGAATATGAAGGTTACAAGAGTAACAGACTAGGAGATCTTTAGATGAATTAAAGGGACGAAATAGAGAGGTCAAAGGTAACCCTCGAGATCTTCTTTTACAACTATCACAAACAACAGATCTCGGAGAATCTGTTTCAATAAATTTAACCAAAGTGTGACCCAAATGACTTTGTTTCTCAGCTTCTTCATTCATGTCATTCAATTGAATCCTAAGAGCGCAAACTTTGGCCACCAATTTTTCCCTAATTGTTTGATCGGTTTCAGGCATTCGTATAAGTTTAATGTACCGTTGAATAGCAAGTTCTTTGTCATGACGTCGAGCAGGAATCTAAATAAACATATAAATACATAATTTATATATTAAGTAAAACAATGAAAATAAAAATAAAAAAGAGAATAGAATAAAAAATAAACAAAAAGAAAATAATTTTCACCTCATCTTCAACATTGAATCCTGGTTCATCATCGTCGAGAAAATAATCATCAATGATTACATGTTCCTCGTATTCTTCATTAACAATATCTTCTTCATCTCCTGATGAAGGTTGATTCTCACCTTCAGGTAAAACCATAATTACCAAATATAATCAATTAAAGAAAAAAAACAAAAACACAATCAATTAAATCGGTGAAACAAAAACACCAAAAGCAAAGGGAAAATACATCAAATTAAATCAAGAACAATATTTAAAATTAACTTCCAATGATCCAGTAGATTGTTAAGAAAGAAAATTAGATTAAATGAGTAGGATAAATCATAAGGATTTAATTGATTTCGTTAATTAACAAAAGAATCAGCTTCATAATGTCAACATCATATGATGAGAACAATAAATGATTGAAATGAGAAAATATTCGAAAATTAATTAGGAGACGGTCCCTTTTTCTTTTTTAATTCTTCCCTTTTATTCAACCCAACGTGCTTACATTTTGGTTTAAAGTAGAATTTTAATTGTTTTATTTTCTAATTTAATTTGCGTTTGTCAACTTAATTAATTATTCTATTGTAAAATGGCTTTAGCTGTACCTCGTGCTCCCGGATTTACTTCTATGTTAAAAGAAGGTGCTGGACAATTGTCTGGAGTTGAAGAAGCTGTGATTCGCAGTATTGAAGCTTGTAATGAATTTTCTCGCACTTTGAAAACCTCTTATGGTCCTAGAGGACTTAATAAGATGGTTATTAATCATTTAGAGAAACTTTATGTTACCAATGATGCAGCGACAATTGTCCAACAATTAGATGTTCAACATCCGGCTGCCAAAATTTTGGTCATGGCTTCGCAAATGATTGAAAAAGAGGTAAGGTGTTGCCGGTGGAGTTTTCTATTCTCTTTTTCTCACACCTCTTTTGTTCTCACTTTGTCTTTTTTTCTTTTATTACTTTGTTTGAATTTTTTATTGTTTAATCTACTATTTTTTTTCTTTTCTTTTTTTTTCTTTGCTTCTTTTCTTGGTAATCAGGTTGGTGATGCCACTAATTATGTTATCATGTTTGCAGGAGCTCTGCTGGAAAGGGCTGAAGAACTTATTAGAATGGGATTAAAGCCCATTGAGATTATGGAAGGTTATGAAATGGCTGCTGATTCTGTAATCAATGATATCCTTCCTAAATTGGTTGTTGATACCATTAAAAATTTCTATGATCTTGAAGAAGTTAAGAAAGGAATTAGATCATCGATTGCTAGTAAACAATTTGGTTATGAAGATTTTCTTTCTGAATTAATAGCCAAAGCTTGTATTCTTGTTATGCCTAAGTCAGAAAATGCTTCATTCAATGTGGATAATGTTCGTGTCTGTAAAATACTGGGCTCAGGTGCTACTAAATCCGAACTGGTTCAAGGAATGGTTTTTAAGAAAAGCGTTGAAGGTATTGTTACCTCAGCAATCGATGCTAAGGTCGCTGTTTATACCTGTCCAATTGATGTACCTACAACCGAAACAAAGGGAACTGTACTTATACAAACTGCCCAAGAATTGACTAATTTCAGTCGAGGTGAGGAAGTTTTATTTGAAAAGCAAATCCAAGAGATCGCTGAATCTGGTGCTAAGGTAATCGTTGCCGGTGGTAAATTTGGTGACATGGCTCTTCATTATTGTAATAAATATGGACTGATGGCCGTTCGTCTTCAATCAAAATTTGATGTTCGTCGTTTATGTAAAACCGTTGGTGCTGTCGCTTTACCTAAATTACAAGCACCCAAAACCGAAGAGCTTGGCCACTGTGACAATATTTACATTGATGAAATTGGTGGTACATCAGTTGTTATTTTTAAACAAAATTCATCCGAATCAAAAATCTCCACCATCATAATCAGAGGTTCTTCTGATAATGTTATGGATGATATTGAAAGAGCCGTTGATGATGGTGTCAATACTTACAAAGCCTTAACCAAAGATGGCCGGTTAATTGCTGGAGCTGGAGCTTCAGATATTGAGATGGCTGTTAAAATCTCTTCTCTCGCTGAAACCTTACCCGGTTTGGAGCAATACGCTGTCGGTAAATTTGCCGAAGCTTTGGAAAGTATTCCTGCCGCTATCGCTGAAAATGCTGGAATTAAAAATGAGGTAATTACTAAATTAATTGCTGCTCATGAATCTGGTGATGCAAATGCTGGAATTGATCTTACTACCGATGATGTCAACACCTTAAACGCTGTTGAATCAAAGATTTTTGATCTTTATCTGGCTAAATATTGGGCAATCAAGTATGCAGTTAATGCTGCAAACACTGTTCTTCAAGTTGATCATATAATTTGGGCTAAACCCGCCGGTGGACCTAAACCAAGACAAGGAGGAGGTGATTGGGATCAAGACTGAGATTAACACTGATTGTTTATCCCTTTTGTTTTCTTCTCTTTCCTTTTGATATGATTTATCTTATTACTTTAACTTTCCTCTCTCTCTCTCTCTCACTTTCTCTTCTTTGTATCACAAATTCACTGATGGATTCTGAAAATAAACCCGCTTCAATATTCTACAACTAATTTGTAACCAGATTAACCAAATTATCGCTTGAAATAAATTAATCAACATAAAGAAATTTACCTTTTCTACAGTTTTTTAATTTTCTTTTAAACTGGTGAAAGACCAAGAGAAATATTTTGGTACAATCGATTATCTAGATTCAGGTTGGATTTAAAATCTAACCTTTTGAAATCTTTTTCTTTCTCCACATAGACTTTGATACACATTAGATTCACTTAATTTAACTGATAAATTAGATTTAGAAGATGAGAAATTACATTTTAATTATAGCATAAAGAGCTATCAGAGCTGTGATTCCAATGACAGCGTAACCCGAAGTGTACAATTCCTTAAGTCCAAAACCAAAGCCCATATCCCAGAAAAGATGACGGATTCCATTAGCAAAATGAAAACCAAATCCAGTGGCAATTAAAATTTTAGAAGCAGCAATTAAAGACGATGGAACCGAGGCCGATAATGATTCCAATTGATGAGCAAATGGAGTAGAAGCAAATAATTGACTGATGCCCATTGCATAGATTCCCACAGATAAACCAACACCGCTGAGTCGATGGGAAATCGATAACAGGGAAGTTAATTGAAATCGGTAAATTGTGTAAGGTGAAATTGGCCTATTTAATTTAGAATTTTTGATGAAAAAATCATTTTCAGAAGCTTTTAAAGCAGCTGATGAGGAGGTTGAAGAAGCAGCGAAAACCATTCTTGGTAAAGCAACTTGACCTCGGCTTAGAATTGACAATCCATTGGGACCTTTAGAACAAATTAATCGAGGAATCAACATGATTAGAAGAACAATTAAGACCAAGAGAATAACTTAACAAGACAAGAAGAAGAAAAAATTAACAATCAATCAAAAAATTCTAAAAATAATTAAAGACAATTAGGTAAACACAAATTGTGAGAAAAAAAAGAAAACACAAATGAGGGATTTCGTCATAATTGCGATCAGTTAATTGCGAATAAAAAATTCAATGAGAAATGAAGGTTAATCAATTATCTAATCTAATTAACTAATTCTTTTCTTAATTATTTCATTTTCTAAATAATTGCAACCATCTCTTAGAGGTTAATTCATTTGATTAATAAATTTCCTCAATTAGATGAGTTTAATTTTCTATTAATTAATGATTTCCAATTTTCGGCTTAATTGTCAAATTAATTGTTCATTTTATTTTAATTATTATTTATTTTTTTTGTTTCGTTAACATGAATTAGCTCATCTCCACAGATCAGTGATTAGTTAATCATTTTATATACAATCGAAAGCACAATTGTATCTTTAATTAGTAGAACAACAATTAAAAGAGAGAGCAGAGAAAATGATTAGTTAATTTAAAATAACAATCGTTGAAATAGTTAATTAGTTAATCAGAGCTTCATTGCTCATAATGTGTAACAAGCTTAAGGTTAATTAATAGAAATTACAATTGATTAACAATTAATCTCCAACAATAATTGGTAAATGAAAACAACAAAATTAATCCAATTGTTGATGAAGATAAAAAATAATTTCTCAAATTTGTAATTGGATTAATATTAAGATTGGAGTCTTAATGATAAACTTTGTCAATCGCAATTAAAAGTCAATTAGAATCAATTTCAACCCAATAAGTAAATTAATCGATTGTTATGATTTAATTGATTTAATTTCAACCATTTGAAGTATCATCCATCGGCTCGTCTTGATCAGCGCCCGATGAAGGTGAGGCAACACCAATTGATTCGTAATACTTTTGAACAATTAAAGGCCAATTAACGACTTCAGCGATTGGCTTTGATTCGTGAAGTGCAGCCTCCAAAATGGACATACCAAAGTGACTGGTCATCTGGGTTGTACCCGAAAGTCGTGACGATTTACGAGACAATAACGTTCGAGCGGCAATTACACTCGGACGTTGGGAAGTTAAATGACCAAAGGCTTTTTTAGCCAAAGCCATTTCTTTAATTTTATCTTGATCTGTGTTAGAATTAGAGAGAGAGATAGAGAAAAAAAGTTAATCCAGTTGAATTAAAAGATAATCGAACAATTAACTTACGCATTTTATCGCTTAATTTGTGGAAAGCTAATATTGGTAAACCGAGAATTAGATTAATTGGTGATGGTGTTGATAGGGTTCGATTCATGTTTCGTATTAACTTAGCTCGACCAAATTTCCATTCGATATCTGATTGAGCTTCAATTCGTTGATAAGTATTGGACATCATGGCGATTAACAGATTGATTAACACAATTACGGTAACCATCATGTAGATACCGAATACAAGTTTCATTATGATTTTGGCAAAATCGGGCGATAAGTGCATAGGGGGCATAGTGTCCGGTTCAACGAGGCCAAAAAGAGCATAGAAAAGCATTTCAAATGATTTACCAGGTTTAAGGAAATGTTGACCGATTGGTATTTGGGTCATATTCCAGCTTTCGGGTGCTCGATAAACGGGCTGATAAATGGCACAAATGTGAAGGGTAAAACCGGACAAGAAGATTGATAATATGGCCAAGAAACGAAGTAGATCTTGAATAAGTTCTTGAATAATTACACCCCAAGGTCCGAAAAGAGGGTGAAAGGTAAGAAAGTTAAGAAATTCAATGAAAGAAAGTAACATGGCCACGGCCAGAAGTTGATTACGAATGTAAAGTATATCAAGCCGACGAATATGCCAAAGGTCATCTAAGATGATTTGTTGCCGATCGAAAACATATTCATCTAAAATAAAGGTTATCCCGTGAACGGCAACCGCAGTGAAACCAATCACTAATATTAGAACCTTAATCCCACCAAGACCCGATTTATCTGAGGGATTGATCATATCGGAAACGGCGATGCCGATAAGCCAAAGGGTTAAAAGCCACTCGTTCCAAAGGGGAATCGTATCCTCGTACTCGTAAAGTGCCGTACCAGGAAAAACGGTTGTGTAAACAAGGACACAGATGAAAAATATGTGCGATGTTAAATAGGACATGAATTTAATTATTGGTATTCGATGGAGTCGATGTCCAATTGGTGTTGAGACGATTATCCAAATTATCGGGCAAACAAGAAACGAGAAAAAAAGTGCAACGAATTTAAGTCCAGGCCATCGTAAGTTTCCCATCCAAACATCGGTCAAGTATTTTTGTACCGCGTGTTGGGAGACGACATCTTTACGATCTAATTCAATTAGAACATCCAGAAATTCAGTATTCTTATGGTCAGTTGCTCGTAACAAAGCGCCAGCATTGTTGGTCGTTGCAGCGATTGAAAGTAAATCGATTGCAATTGAATCACAATAAGCGGAAGCCGTTTCCAGATCACGAGCTCGCTCCTTTTCTCGAGCGGCTAAATTTTCATATTGTCGAGCCAATTTAACCGCAGTGTCAATACAAGCTTCGGACACTAGGACGAATTCCCGAATAGGTTTGTTATCATGATTCTTTGAACAGTTCATCAGGTCAAGTAGAAACTATCGATCGGAGGGGAAAGAAAGGTCAAAAAGAACAGACAAAAAACGATTAACACCGTCGGAGAGACAAATTAATTAGAATGTTCTAAATCGTAGTTACCATTTTATCATCCATCAGTTGAAGGGAATCGTGTTCTTTATTAAGTAGATAACTAAGGACATCGTAATGTCCAGCGGAAGCTGAACAGCAAAGTGGGACTTTATTGTCCTTACTTGTGGCCGTTGGATCGGCACCACTTTCGACTAACAATTGAACGACTGAAAGGTAACCATGCCTTGAGGCATAATGAAGGGGAGTCCATCCTTTCTGTATGATTGACCATTGGAAAAGAAAAGAAAATTAGTTGATTGGATTGGCTTATTAAAAGAAAAGGGTACCAACCTTATCTTGAGAATTGATTTCTGCTCCTTGACCTAATAAAAGGCCAACCATATCGCGATGACCTGAAGCTGAAGCTAAATGGACACAGGTTCGTCCTTGTCTATCCCTGGACATTAACGAGTCACCCGATCGACTGATTAAAAGACCAGCGACCAACATGTGACCTCCCTGAGCTGCCAAGTGCATTGGAATACTTCCCTGTGTAATTAGATTTAGTTAATTAATTGACTGAGTAAATTTTAATTCCAATTGATGAAAATCCTATTAACTTACATGAACTCGAGTCGGTGCATCAACTTGAACACCGGTACTGTTCATTAGCAATCGAACGACACTTTCATGGCCATTTTGGGCTGCCAAGTGAAGAGGTGTAATCCCGTACTGTTAATCAGTGAGAATAATTAAATTATATTAGTTGACAAACAATTAACCAAGTGAAAAGTTCTTACATCAGAACCAGGATCAGCTAATGGTTTTTCACTTAATATATTTGCAGGAACTTGTGTTAACATCTCACTAACGAAATCGGTTTGTCCATAAGCGGCAGCGACATGAAGAGCCGTGAATCCCGTTTTTCTTGAACATATCTTCCAATCAACGGCACCTTTCAGTGCATGTAAAACCCGTAGATGACCTTGTTTAGCAGCGAGGTGAAGTGGGGTCATTCCTTCCTGTGAAATGCAAAATTTTAGATGAAAGGTCAGAGATGGACAATAAAAAATAACGGTAAATAAAATGAATATCAAATTACCAAATTTTCATCTGAAGCTTTTGCACCAGATTGAAGTAAAAGTCTGACAACTTTGGTGTGTCCACCTTCAGCTGCCATGTGAAGGGCAGTTGACCCAGTTTTCTAGAGAGAGAGAGAGAGAGAGAGAGAGAGACAAAGGTCAATTATGTCCATTTCCATAAATTTCTCTTTCAACTGTACCTTAACTCTTGCCGATTTAACGACTTCAACATTAAATTTCATGAGCTCTTTGAGTACAGCAACAGATCCTTTGGTCGCAGCGATATGAGCGCAAGTGAAACCATTTTTATTGGGAACGGAAACTAATTCAGGTCGATATTGTAAAAATAATTTCAATACATCAGGATGGTCACTTTGAGCAGCCAAATGTAGAGGTGTTTGTGCTTGCTGGACAATAAAAGAAATAAACAATTAAACTTGCGAAATAAAAACCATTAAGGTCAATCGATATCAACTTACATTGTCCATCGCATTGATATCGGCTTTCATACCAAGTAAAGTGCTACAAACTTCAAGTTTACCATATTCAGCGGCCAAATGAAGCGGAGTTTGTTTGTTCTGAATTGAGAATAAAAAAATACAAACAAACAAACAATTCGATAAACAATCAATCGAAGTTTTTAACTTTCTCTTATTTACCAAAGTCATTGCATCCAAATGAGCACCATACTTGGTGACCAAATGCTTGACCATCTCATTGTAGCCCATTTTAGCGGCTAAATGTAAGGGGGTCATTCCAGTTTTATTACGAACGTTAACAAAAGCGTTATTAGCTAATAAAATATCAACAACATCTAATCGTCCAAGTTCAGCGGCCAAATGTAACCCAGCTCGACCTCTCTAATAAGTAAATAAATTGTTGGAACAATTAACAAAAAGTTTTTCGCTCATCGAAATGACCAATCACTTACATCATCGAAAACATCAACACGAGCATTTTGCTGTAATAGAATCTCAATTATCTCTGGATAACCAGAATTAGATGCATATAATAACGGAGTTTGACCATTCTAATTATAAGAGAGAAATTGAATTGATTTTTAGTTTTTTTTGAAACAATTAAGCAAATCGATTAGCTTTTAATGATAAAGACAAAGATGTGAACCATTGGAAACCTATGATTTAGTAGCATTTAATAAGCTCCATTTGATTCAATGAGTGACGCATCATTTGTCTTAGAATCTATCATAAGCTAAGAAAAGTAAAAGATGAAGATGAAGATGAAGGGATGATCCCTTTTGACGAAAAGAAGAGAGAGAATCGTCATCATCTTTTCATCCTTTGACCCAGGTATTACACTTTAGTATCTCCATAAGGTAATGAGAATATTCAAAAGATGTAATTTCAATCTGAGGCAATTGTACTGAATCATCATGAGTTAAATGCTGGGTTAGCACTCTACTTGTTTCATCTAATAATATCAATGACTTGGAGATGAGGATGGAAAGAGAAACAAAAAAATCTTTACATTTTTATCTCTTATTCCCTCATCATCTAAGTATTTCATCTCTCTCTCTCTTTTCTCTCTCTCTCTCTCTCTCTCTCTCTCTCTCTCCTTTTTTTTTCTTGTTCCACTTACAAATTTCGATAATTGTCTTCCAATGAGAGAGAGAGAGAGAGAGAGAGAGAGAGAGAGAGAGAGAGAGAGAGAGAGAAGCTCCAAGAAGAAAATCAACATAAAAAAAGGTGATGATATTATTAATAATTGATACATAATATTAAAAATCGTACGAATTGAATTCTGACAGTGACAACGCCTTTAGTATTATTATTATTCATTATGTTGAGTTTCATTATCATGAAACTTTTACTCAATTAACTGTTTCTTTCATAAACTCTACCAGTTGTCTGAGTAAATTGTATTGATATAATCAAATGGAAAACTAACAATTATATTCACAATTTATCTCACAATTAAGATTCTCTTTCGACATTTGAATAAGTTTTCCCTCTCTCTCACCGCATCAATCATGATGATTATTATTATCATTCTCATTTTAGATATTATCTGAGAGATTTTCATTTACATCAAGGTAATCTGAATCTCTATTTCCAATGAACAAGAACTTTTTTTTTGTTCCTTTAATGGTCAAGTTCATATTTAGTATTCGAAGTTGAACATTTTGAACCTTTTCTGTTCACGATTACATGTAATTTACTGTCTACATTAATTGAGTTGTTTAAGTCTCTCTCTCTTTTTCTCTCTCATTGGAAGACAATTATCGAAATTTGTAAGTGGAACAAGAAAAAAAAAGTTCAATGAGAATCTCAGAACTTCTCAGAGCGTTAATTTCAATCATCATGTTAAAGTTGTTCATTAATGAAGGTATAACAATCGTAACTGAATATTTATCTGTTTATTTTCTTCCCCTGGAATTGAAATCTGTGATTAAACTTGTAATTCTTTTATATATATTCATGGGAAAAGAATAAGAGGAAAAGAGATTTGATTAGAAAGAAAAAGTTCAGAGAGAGAGAGAGAGAGAAAGTTCCAAGAAGAAAATTAAGATGAACATGAACAACTCAGAATTTACTTTAAACTCTCTTATTCTCCTTTTCTGAAATTCTGATAACTCACCGAGATTCAGAATAAAGAATAATTTTAATTTTCAAATTATACTAATGGTTCAATTCTCTATCTCTCTCCCTATTCCTCTCTTACTATCTATCATATCCACCTTTCTCTCTTAGAACTCTAAACGAAATGTTAAGAGTAGAATCACCATGGAGAATGTAAAATTATGCATACATGGTAAAATGGAATAATATAAATAGGATAACATTTAAATACTTTGATTCATTGTCGAACTAATTTTTCATTTTCTCCTATGAGTGTTTACCAGAATTCTCATAGACAGAAAGAAACACAGAATTCAACTTATTAATATATTTTTCCAAGTTTCATCCCGCCATTTTCCCCTTCGAAAACTCAACATCATCAGGGTAATTTGATATTCGATTATTAATGTTCATAAATATACTACACACAATGAGGTTTACAAATCACCTTTTCTCTCTGTTAATGATAGAATAACATATTTATTATCGAAAATATATAATATTCGATATGTACAGAGTTGATTATAAATCTGGACAATCAGTCAGAACCATGAGAGAACATGATACATGGAGAAAAATTTTCTATTCCATCTCATCTTTTTTTTCCCACTGAAAATCATATTAATTCTTGTATTTGTCAGGGAGAATGTTAAAAATTAACAACAATCATAACAGAATTAGATTGAATCATGATTGAAAATGTTCTTGTTGAAAATGTTGTAATTACCTTTGATGGTTTATTGCAAACAACTTGAGCTTCGATTGGAGGTAATTGACAAATTATTTCTCGTAGTACGTTTGTGTTACCCGATTTTGAGCAAAAATGAACAGCGTTTTCCTGAGTCTGAATCGCAAATTGTAAACAATTAACTTTGATTGTTCCATAATTTTCTAAATTATAATTGAATTACCTCATTTGTTCCTAAATTAACATCTCCACCATGTTTAAGAAGTAAATTCATTAGAGCTCGATCTTCATTACTTGATCTATTTCCATTTGGTTTAATTGCTGCAGCATAATGAACTGAACTTTCACCATTCTAATTGTAAGAAACAAAGAGAAATTAACTATCACAATTAACTTAACTACAATAAATTCTTACCTTATTTTTTTGATTGACTAATTTCTCAGCCACTTCTCTAGTATCTCGACGGATAATATAATCAATAAGTAACCTTGCAATCGCAAAGTGACCTTCCTTGACCACAGTGTGAAGGACATTTTCACCGGAATTATTTTGAAGACCAGCATCTGAACCCGCTTCGAGAAGCAATTTAAATATATCATGGAAACCAGATTTTCCCGCTAAATGAAGTGGTGTCTCACCATTCTGTTGGAAACAATTAAAATAGGATAAGAAAACGTATCAAAATTAATCATAACAATTAATCATGATAAAAACCTTCTCAGTGGCATTAACATTGGCACCACTTTTGATGAGCAATTTGGCACAAGTCGCTCCTTCCTTGGTTCGAGCAGCAATATGAAGCGGTGTTTCCAGGTCAAAGGTTGTCTTGACATGAACAGAGGCCCCGAAACCTAATAACAATTCAACCACCGGATCTTGACCTGATTCAACAGCCAAATGTAATGGTGTAAGTCCAGCCTTTCAAAAAATCAATAAATAATCAATTAGACTTCAAATCAATTGTTCATCTGAATAACATAACAATATATTAATCCAATTCAATGATTACATTGTTCTTAATGTCAATTGATTCACCACTTTTCAAGACTTGACGGATAATCTCAATCTGACCTCTCGAAGCTGCCATATGAATCGCTTTAGAACCATCCTGATAGAGTAACAATTAGAAATTGACAATTAAACCTTCATGTAATTAATAATAATCGATAATCAATTGATTGCGAACCTTATTGGGCATATGAAGTGGAACTCCTTTCCTTAGGAAATGTAATGCTGTCGTTGAGTGACCACATCGAGATGCAATATGCATTAATGTGTTTCCATCCTTTAAATTAGATTAGAAAATTAAGTTGATTCAATTAATCAAATTGAATTTTAATTAGAAAATTTCAATTGCCAGTTATCAATTTTGTATTCATTTTAATTCATGTTATCAAGGGGAATTGTTATTATCACAGTAAATCATTTCTACTCTTGTGAATCTCTGTGGGCATGATTAACCATTTAACTATCACGATTAGTGATTAACATGATATTTAACAAGATAGATTTCAACTTAATCAGTGAACCGGAATCAAGGATAAGATGACAGAGAATGGAAAGAAAAATATAAAAAATGTTGATAATCTCAATTGTCATTTACTGATTGTGATTAATTCTCAACAGGGAGAGGCAATTGGATTAAATTGAAGAACTGGTAAATTTGTTTTCTATCTCTGATTATCGTTGATCAGGTTGAGATGATTATTCGGATAAAAGAAGAAAAAAAAACGAAAATTGTTATCACGCAATCGAGAAAATTATGTCTAATTATTGAAACGAAATATAATTAACCATGTTGACGAAAAGAGAGAGAGAATAAAAAAGTTCTAATTAGAATTTGTTACTCACTTTTGTTCTTAGGTTGACATTGGCTCGAAATCTTTCAGTAAGTAGATCAACTATTCGAGAATGTCCATGTTCGGTGGCCAAATGAAGGGCAGTTCTTTCCTCGCGATCAGTTAGATTCGCGTTCGCACCCGATTCATGAAGGAACTTAACTATATTCTCATCGCCATCTTGAGATGCGATGTGAAGAGGAGTTTGTCCATAAGCCTAGAAAAGAATATAAGAAATTTCAATTCGAATTTCAATTTATCTAAATTCTATTCGAATCAACTAATTCTAATTACATTCTGCATGTTCGTATCTCCTCCATGATTAATGAAACACTGAAGTAGTAAAGTGTCTTTCCGTCGAGTCGCAATATGGATAACACTGTCTTCGGTTCCAGGCTTTCGAGCGGTAAGTTGATCTTTCGCTTGGGCTGTTAATAGTTCCCGACAAACACCATGATTACCACACTCGGCGGCCAAAATCAATGGTATATTACCCTCCTTGGAACAATTAGTTAATCAAGAGAGACAACAATCAATTCATATAATTTAAAAATCGGAGGCGATAATGATGATAAGAGTTAATTAACTCTTCGAATAAACTTTTTATTAATTGTTTATCTCCAACAATTAACCACAATTACCATTGAATTTTAATCATTGTAAAATGCTTAATTGTTTAACCTTTTCCACCTTTAATTGTAAAATTATTTATTAAATTGTTTTCTCTCTTTTCTCTTCTTGTTTGATTTAATTTTCTTTACACAGGATTAATGGATAAAGTTAATTGATTAACATTAAAAGAGTTGGTGTAATAATATTTTTCCAGTGAATTTAATTGTTAATCATATTAAAAGGTTTGTTCTTGATTGTTGATAATAAACATGAGAACCAGGGTGAAGGACAATTAAGTTAAATTGTTCATCTTTTCATTTCTTTACTTTACTTTCTCTATGTACCTGTTAACCTTAATTAAATTATTCAATTCTGTTGAATAAATGTGTCAACAATCAATGGACAATTTACTGATTACTGGGTCAACATTTTCATCGATTAACCATTCGGATAAAACTTATTGGTGTAAATATCACAACAGTTTGACACAGAAATTAAAGATAAATTGTATACAAAGAGGTTAATTGGAGGTAACAATTAACTAAATAGTAATTTCTTACCTTATCAGCAATTAACCTCATAGATTTAGGTGTTGATCTTAATAATAATTGTAACGGTGCAACGGCAGCTCCAGTTTGTTTCATGGCAATTACATGGACGGGTAATTGATCTTTAGGCTAAATTGTTAACAATTAGAATGAATTTTCAATTATTATGATCAGTTATGAATCAGCTAATTAACTTACACCTCCAGCAATTAAGGGATCAGCTCCTCGGGATAATAACAATCTAATTGTATCCTCCCTTGCATGAGCACAGGCCAAATGAAGAGCCGTCACTCCGTCCTTGGGAAATTGAAACAGACAATTAGCCAATTAATTTTCAACAATCAATCTCAAGATTATGATACTTACAACTGCTCTAGAGTTAATATTGTAACCAATGTCAATTAATTTCTCAATCACATTTACCCGATTGTCTCTCGCTGCAAACATCAACGGCGTCCATAAGTTACCTTCGGCAACGATGTTTACATCAAAAAACGACGGATCCGTTTGGTGTAGTAAAGTGTCAACCGCAAGCCACTCCTCACGTCGACACAATGCTATTAACCTTTGCGAAGGTGAAATTAAAGATTTACCATTTAGCCCGAGGTCAGATTTGAATGTATCTTTATCTTTACCACCACCACCGGGAGATTTTGTTGCTGGTGAAGATTTAACATCACTTGGTGAGTCCATTTTCGCGGGATCCATTGAATCAGTTTCAGAATCTGAATCATCATCATCACCACCGGTCATTCCCACCATTGAACGGACACTTTCAATTACTTTCTTATCCTTTAGAGATCCAATTGTATCTTCAATTGTTATTTTCACACTCTTCTTGTCATCTTTATCCACCACGGGTTTAGTTTCACTTTTACCATTCTCATCGGTGGGTTTACCTTTCAATGGAACCTCTTTGGTGGACATTGTCACACCTTTACTATCGGTGGTCACTGTTGATGTTTTCGTTGATGTGGTTGTTACACTTGTCGATATTGTTACAGTTTTTGGAGTTGATGTTGTTGTTGTCATCGTATTGTTCACATTAATTGCCGATGGATTAGTTGTGTTAACTGTAATTATCGTCGTTGGTATTGATAACAATTTAGTGGCTTCAGGTGATGTTACATTACTTGGAATTGGAGTTGAAATCGTTGCCGATGTTTTTGTTGGTTTGGTTGTTGTTGTTGTCGTAGTGTTAGAGGACGAGTGTGTTGATGTATTAGCCGCCGGTGGTAAAGGTAACACGGTGGGTTGTTTAATCGGAGCTACGGAAATTGGTCCAGAAATGATCTCTTTCGGCATTGGTGACACTCCAGCATTTTCACCGTTACTTGTGACCAATTTGACACTTTTCGTCGGTTGATTTTTTCCTCCGGTTAGTTTAATGTTATTCGAATCAATTTGCTTAATTACCTGTTGTTTATCTTTATTGTTGTTGATTAAAAGATTATCTTTCGTTAAAGCTGATCCTCGTTTAGTTAAATTCTCAACGATATCCAATGGAACTGGAATAACTTTCGCTGGATCGGAAATACTTTTATCCTTTCCAAGGGAATCAGTTTCTTCACTTCCATTAATAACTTTATCACCATTTTTAATTTGATTACTATTTTTAGCGTTAGAATTTAAATTGTTAGAATTGATTGTTGAGTTAACTGGTTGTTTCTTTTCATCTTTTTTACTTTTAACATTAGAAGATGTTGATTGTTGATCTTTGGAATCCATTGTTGACGATTTTATATCAACAGTGTTTTCTAAGAAACTTTTTGATTGTGAGATTAATTGTGAAGGTTGATTTAAATTATTCCTATTCCTATTCTCATTCTTATCATCATCATCATCGTCATCATCATCATCATCATCAGGCGGACTTGATTTACTATTATTTGACAGACTCACAGTTGTCAATGAAGTTGAGTCCGACTCATTTTCTGGTTGATTTTTATTCAATAAAATCTGATTATCATCATCATCATTTTCATCAGAATCACTCACTTTTTTTGCATATTTACCGTTACCTGTAACTGGATTAATTAATGATCGAGGTGCTGGTGCTGGTTTACGAGTTAAAGGTGAAATAATTACCTGAGAATCATTAACACCATCACTAATTACTGCCAATAATTCATCGCCAGGATCATTAATTGATCGCTCTTCAAATTGTACCTCAGCTCGAGGGATAGAAACTAATTCACCTGAACGATATTTAACCTTAACAGGTTCATTTGTATTTGAAGATGAAGATGAAGATGAAGATGCTGATGGTTTAGTTAATTGTTTCACAGTGATTGTTGATTTAGTTGATTCGGTTTTACTTTCACGACTTGATTTACGTTTCCTTTTTTTCTTACGATTTGTAACATTAGATTGACCATTTCTATCAGCGTTAACTAAGGCCGTCGATTCTGATTCCTCGATCTCATCGTCAGAACTTTCTTTATGTTGATTACTTTTTAAATTACTTGATTTAGATTGTTGATTAACCATTGCACGCAAATTTATAATAGACACAAATCACATTAAATCCAAATTGTTGATGTTAACAATTTAATTCAACACACACACACAATACACACTTAACTTATTTCTAAATTGGATTAGGTTATATTTAAATTGCACTTTTGATTAGTTGATCACATTTAGATAATGAGAATAACAATTTCATTTTGAATTGGAAAACATAAATATCAATAGTTGCGTGATTATTGATTTAATCTGTTGATTAGACAATTAGATTTATACACTGTTGTTAATGATAATGAGAATAACGTTGATTAGTTGATAAATTGTTACCTTAATCAAGTAAATTGTTACAAATAAAAAGGTTCACCTTTGGTCTGTTGTGTTGATTTTCTGGTTACACTTTTCCTTTTCCTGGTTAAACCAAATGGTCATCGATTTTGTCGAAATGTCCAAAACTGATCACCGAGGTAACCAGAAACTCGGAAACGTGATCAGGATTAAATTTAATTGACTGGGTAAAGATGAAGATAATGATGATTATTATTATTATCATATTCTGAATAATATTCAAAGAATAGTTTGATTTGCATCAATGAATTTCCAGCCTCCCCTGTAACTCAACTGACTCGGTTTTTGTTTAATTTCCTATTATTATAATTGTTGTAATATCTCACTGGTCACTTTTGACCATTGTGCTTGACCACATGATCATCAATGGTGGTTTTGTTTTTTTGTTAATCATCTTTAAAAAGGTAATACAAATTTTCCGTTTTTTTTGGTTATATTACATTCAATTTGTAGGACTCTAGAGAGAGAATCTAATTTTTGATTGTTGGCTGATTAATAAATTACGATAATAAATTGACAGGGAAAGATAATCAACTAATCATCATCATGATTAGTTTATCATTGTCCTGATTAACTTTACAACTGGTCAATGGCCTTATTTTGTGATGATTAAAGGCTAATTGTTAATCATTTATCTATTCTCACCATTGTCTCTATCAATTATCATCATGATTATTGTTGATTAAATGAGATTCATCATAATTGTAATATAATTAAGAGAAAGTTAATCAATTTTGGTTTTAATCACGTTTTTTTTTCATAGCATTTAAATCAACCATTAATTGTTATCAATTGCAATTTCTTTTTATCATAATCATCATTTACTTTATTATAAATTGATACATTATTTAAATTGTATTGTAACATTTAAGTGTTGATTGTCAACAATTAACCTTTTTTTTTGTCTTGAGTCTTTAAAAATATAAGAAAAATATCAAAATCAACCAACCGATTAGTATAACAATTAAGATTACCTTGTAAAGAAGATGATTAAATTAATTGTTACTTCATATATATATTATTCTTACAGTAACCAAGGTCTAATTGTTAATTATCCACCTTAATCCAGAATGATTAACTTGATCTAATGAAGGTTAAATAACAACAATCAGCATAAAAAAAGTTACTGAATTTAAATCGTAACTTTTTTTTAAATTCAACAATTAAAACAAATTGTTTAGTTTTATTTACTTTCTTAAATGATTAATATTTTGTTAATTTTGTTCATCAATGAGATCATGATAATGATTAATTATCATGACTTTAAAGTTAATCACAATTAAATTACAAAAGCAAAGGTAAATTTATATTAATTCTGTCTAATTGTTAATTAGAATCAGAATTGTAAAAAAAAAGGTAATAACAATTGTCACCAATTATGTTCTCAATAGTTTATTATTATGGTTACACATGAATGAGATTTTCATCAGTTTTATCATGATTAATTAATTATTCACACAGAATTAAATTGTGTATTAGATTAGATTGTAAACAAGATTAACACAAGAGAATGAAACAAATTACAATCAGCAAACAATTAATCATATTAACAATAGAATCATTTTCTCACAAGTTGATGGTCACATTCAATTGGACCTTTTCTTTAATAGTAATGATAATTTTAAACATAATAATAATTAGTAAATTCGCAATTAACTAAAATTGTTATAATTGAGGAAAAAAAAAGAAAATGTTTTGATTTAATTATTTTCCCGCTTCAGCTCATCTGCTCAAAGAGCAAAATCTAGATCAATGTTATCAACATGTTTGTTTACGTTTTCTTGTCTATTTTATGTTAACCATTTTCTTAATTGTGTATTTAATTTCTCTCTCAATTTAGTTGATTAATTAGTGTTCAACAATTACCTTGATTCATTTACAATCTACTTTACAGTTTTCTATTCTCATCTGTTAAAATCGTAACTCAAATTATTTGCTTTTCCTTTGGTTTGTTTTTGTTTACCTTTTTGTTTGTTTTCCAATTTTTGTTTTTTCATTTCTCTTTTCTCTCTCTCTCTCTCTCCGTCAAGATGATGCATTTCATGTTACTCTTTTCCCGTCAAGGTAAATTACGATTACAATCATGGTATGTACCTGTTGCCGATAAGAATAAGAAGAAAATAACTCGGGAATTAATGACAATTACCTTAAATCGAAAGGTGAAACATTGTTGTTTCTTTGATTGGAAAGATTTGAAAATTGTCTATAAAAGATACGCTAGTCTTTACTTTCTCTGTGCCATTGAACCGGAAGACAATGAGCTTCTTAGCCTGGAATTGATTCATCGATATGTTGAATTGTTGGATAAATATTTTGGTTCTGTTTGTGAATTGGATATTATATTTAACTTTGAGAAGGCTTATTTCATTCTCAATGAATTTGTTCTTGGTGGTGAAGTTCAGGAGACTAGTAAAAAATCAGTTCTCAAAGCGGTTGCCAGTCAGGATGTGATCGCTGAAGAGGAAGCCTCATCACATGGTTTCTTTGAAGAGCATGGACTTGGTTAATTGTCAACAATTAACTTTCACTTTCGACCAGCAATCAATTGTACAAAAACAAAGGCACTTATCCAAACAGCAGCAGCAGCAGTAACAAAAAAACGCCAACAGTTGAAAGGCCAAAAATTAATATAAAGATGAGATTGATTTTCATCACGGAAGCCAAATCATTTAAACCAGAATTTACCAAAATTGGATCAACAATCAACTAATTTTACTGATTATTTTCTTCTTCTTCTTCATTTTCATGCCAAATCTTAATTCTAGTTTGGGAAAACCGATCCAGTCAAAGCTCAATCAATGATGCAAAATTTTATGATAGATGATGAAATTTTCCTGCTTTTGCTTTAAAGTGACAATTTAAATTATAGTGATTATGTTAAATCCTAGTCAATAGATTTTTTTTTATATTACAATTTTGATTACAATTCTATTTATATTATTAATAGAATATTTTGTTTTTCTTTCGGTGTGAGTGAGAAAATGATAATAAAGTGAATTTTTTAATAAGAAAAAAATTTCACTCATCTTTTGACTAAATTATCAACTATTTACAAGGTTGTAACACAATTTAAATCTAAAACAATTATCATTAGATTTCAATCCCATCGGTAATGAGCATAAGCTTTATTGGTCTCTGCCAGTTTGTGTAGATCATATTTCCGTTTAACTGCTTTACCTTCATTGTTAAAAGCGAAAACAAATTCACGAACTAAGGCTGGAGTATGAATCGCTCTCCATGGAACTGGGTGATCATGAGCCGCTTCATTGATCCATTTCATTCCAAGGAATTCTGATAATTGACTCGTTATCGGAAAAGGTACTGAATAAGTGACACCACCTTTTTGAACAGGTTTGGTAATTACGATTGGTTTAACATTATCAACCGCTTTCTTCATTAAAACAAGAGCATCTAATTCAAATTTAGACCTTTTCTCAGGTGTATCAGCGGCTCTCCATTCAGCTAATTGTTTCTTTTTAATTAGATACATTACATCTCGCATCATGTCTTCATATTCATCTCTCTTTCCTTTCCTCATGATTATGTTGGTAAATCGACGGAGAAATGGATCAAAAAACAGTGAACCATTAATATTATTTTCAGCAGCTCTTATTGGGGCAAAGGTGAATTCCTTGAATTTATCTGGTTCCTCTTTAATTAACAAATTTTGATCCTCTTTCCTTGGAATTGGTTTCACATAACTTGAAGGCCAAACGGTCCAACGCACTTGCTTTTTAACACAATTTCTTGATGTGCAACATTTGATTAAAATTGACGATTGATGCTTGAGTATGATTGACATAATTTCAATAGAAAAAAAAAGTAAATTAATTGAGAAAAAAAGACAAAAATTGAGAATAATAAACAAAATCAAAATAAAGAGAAACTCAAATGCATCAATTAGTTTCCATGCATCGAAAGCTAAATAACACACTTATCCCTGGAAAGAAAATAAATCAACTAAATTTAGTTTTTTCCTTTCTAATTGAATGGAAATTGTTAATTAGAAAAATTAATTCAATGTAAATTGTTCACTTTCCCTTTAAATCAAACTTTTCTCGAGGCTTAATGAACAAATAAATAAAAAATATCCTCAATTCAATCAAATCTCAAGATAAAAATTTGCGAATTTTTTTATGATAAAAATTACGACCAATCCAATTCTCTAATAATAATAAACAAGTTGAATCAGGTTAATATTAATCTCTGATAAAGTTTATACAAATTAAATATTCGGATGTTCTTGTTTGAAATGTCTGAGTATATTACCATAAGGTTTTATTCTAGTTGGATTCTCACAGTAAAAGCAAACTGACCTGAATAATGTCACAGCAACATGTTGGATCACTTCATTATTAGAAGTGCTCCTGGAATTTACATTTATCGCGTAATGTGCACTTATTTATTTTCCTTTTGTCTTTCGTCGAATGAATTCTTTGCATTTGAGTTTTAAAGTAACAGTAATGTAACTTTCTGGTTTTGTTTATCTACGATATTATAAAAATAACATTTATCTTAATTCTTTATGTTCAAACAATATTCGCAATTATACTTTAGATATATTTTCAAGGTTTTACGACTTTGTCAATTGCCCCTTCGTCAATAGCTCCAGAAATTTTCAAACCAATTACTCTTTCATTTCACCTGTGATCTAATAAAAAAAATTATTAGATCGGCTAAATGCAAAATAATGGCATGAGAGTAGTTTTTGTTAGAACCATTGCCAAAGCTACAGAGCAATAAAAAGCTCAAAAAACTTTTTTTATTGCTTTGACTTTGGGTTTGGGTTAAGCTGAGAAAAAAACAAAAGTAAAGTGTCTGTATATGTCAAAGGTCAAACATAATATTTTCTTCCTTCAATCCGCAAAGATACCTTTTTGCTTGTGTTTTTACAATCAAAGTTTTTCTATTCAAAATTGTTTTTGGACTTTCAAGGTGAAATTTATCAAATATGAATCGTGCTTTTTCTTCCTCTTCTCAGTGTCTGTGATCATTTTTTTTCTTGAGTTTTTCTCGGTGTACAAATTATTCATCTCATTTCCAAATCTCGGATATTCTCGATAGTGCCACAAGTTCACTGAATAATAAAATTCAACCGACCCCCTGATCTATTAAAGTGAATCGACCAGGAACATCGTAAGTTTCTTTATTTGTTCAGTTATGATCTACATTTATTAAGTTTTCAATCTTTATTCATTTCGAATTCTTTCTTCGATTTCTTAAACTAGTTCTCGTCCCTCAAAATCACCGACTGTACACGATGGTCCTGATTATTATAACGGCTATGAAAAAAGAGGTAGATGTGTAATTTTCGCTCACAAGACTTTTGATAATCCTCGTATAAGTGAACGAACAGGACAGGAACCGAGGAAGATGTTAAATTGTTAAAAATTTGTTTTAGTAGTCTTAGGTTTGATGTGGCTGTTCATAGAGACTTTAAGAAAGATCAAATCGAAACCACTCTAATCAAGCGTAAGTGAAAAAGAAATTTTAAATGTATCATTTTCTCGACAATCGACCATTAATCTAACGCTTTGTAAAATCTTTTTATGCTATTTTACAGTGTCTCGTCGCAAACATAAAAATACTGATTGTTTGGTTTTGTGCATTTCCACGCACGGAAATCCGGAACAATTACATGCTAAAGATGGGCCTTATGATTCTAAATTATTCTTTGAATATCTCAACGCGAAAAGTTATCCATCATTGGCAGGGAAGCCAAAATTGCTCTTTATTCAGGTAAAGTTATTGATCGATTATTTAAGTTTTTCGAAGAAAAGATTCAAGCTCCTCATTTTTTATGAACATTGAATTGTTTCAGTATGTATTGCGATACGACACTGGAGATGAACTTATTGTAATATCAATGATCACTCAATGTCTTTTCTTTTCAATCTTTACAGGCATGTCGCGGGAAACAAAAAGACGAGGGTTTTGAGATCGATCTATGCTATTTCGATAAAGCTGCTAAAGAAGAGGCAGGAAATGTGGTTGACGATGATTTGACTTATTAAGACATCTCGTAGTATTGTAGTTTTGGAGATATTAGCCCTCGAAGATCAAAGGCCACTCTCTCATTCCGGTAAAACTGTTGATCAAATGGAAAAAGTGCTTGATTCACTACGTTAACCCATACTAGAATAGACTCAGATTAAGTTTCAGATCATTCTCTCAGATCACTAGGGACTAATCACGGTCCATTTAGTTAAATACAACGGAACTATGGCCGGAGCACTTTGGATATTTTTCACCAAAACAAATCTGATTTTCTGCAAGGTCATGAAAAGTTTTCAGTAAAATAAATAAAATAAAATAGAATAAAAATCTCATTATCTTATCATTTCTAAAAAAGCGACCTGAAGTTTCAACTTCGAACTTGATTTTCTCGAAAACTACTGATCAGATCGGATAAAGATAAACATATTTAGACTTTATATTTTTGGCCCTACAAATACACAAAGTCTCAACTCTTAACTAAAAAGTCTAATTTTTTTGCAGTGTGTCCTTTGGATAGAAAAGTTTTCCAATGCTAAGATAATCTTATTATTTTCGGTAAAAGAAAACTAATCACCAAACTTTCATCTTCTCTAAATCGTATTCTCTTACCAAAGTAAATCAATCTTTCTAATTCTAATTGATTACTTCTAATTGTAAAAGTTAACTCACTCATCATAATTCACCATTGGTAATAAATTGATTATATTATCCAACAGAAAATCATCAACATGATCAGTTACCCTTTCAAGTTATTGAAAGCATGATGATGGAAATGGAGATGATGATTGTACTTACGAAAACAACTCTGGTGAAAAATCATCATGAAAGATAATGATATTGTTTCAGAATAACTTGGAACATATCATTAATCTTTCAGAATTTAAAGAAAAAGGTAAGATAACTAAAGAGATAAATTCTCAACTACCTGCCAAACCCTCCAGTTGATTGACCTTAACTTAATAATCTGTTCATTTTTTAATTCAATTCCATGTTCACTTTCATATTCATATCCATGGGATAGCATCAGAAGGGATAATCTTGTCATCTCTTATTTTTTGAAAGAGAACAAAATTTCCCACCTTTAAGATGATGATTTGTATTAATCAATTTTAATAATACGCTCCTAATAATAATAATCGCTAATGATTGGGAATCATCATGGAATCAAAAAATTACTATTCATCTGATTGGCATCACCACCACAATTAGTTGATTGTTTTGACAAACACTTTTTGTCTTTTCTCATCATCATTTCAATTCTATCATTATCTTCATCATCATCATCATGGTTAATCATCTTTCTACTTCAATCATTACACCTAAATTCTTGGGGCTTCTCAATGATAATTGTTCTTGTCTAAGTTAAGGATAATAATGATCAACAATTAACCATTGATTATATCAACAATCAACTATCACCCCTCAAGGGTAAAAGGTTAGGCTGTGAGGGATAATAATGATAATTTATTTTCCTCTTCCTTATAAACCCTCACTTTCCGGTTCCAATAATCAACCAAAAACCAAAGGTAAATTATATCAACAATTAAGTGAGAAGAAACATTTTTACATATAATTATCAATTGTAATACTACAAGCAATTAACTTCCCTTCCACTAAATTACTATTACTACTGTCAATCCTTATTCATCAAATTGATTGTTGATCAGTTTGTTTTTTTTTATAAAACCTGAACAATTGATTAACCAAATTCCCGCTTTCAACTTGATTCCAACAATTTGGTTACTTAAATTGTAACAAACTTACAATCAATTTCTGCTAATCAATTGGCTTGAATACTAATCTTTGCTGTTTCCCGATCGGAAACAAACATTTAATCAAATTAATTGATTGTTAATTGTTGCCGTTGATTTCCTTGGTTTGAATTTAACTTTCAACTACAACAATTTACTCTAATTAAATATGGTAACAGTTAAAACAAATGAAGTAATAATCAAATCATTTATATTCTCATCAATCATTTGATAGTTAATTTTAAGTTAATTTCTTTCAAACCCAAATAATTAATAATCAATTGAAACAATCACCAAATGATAAACTCACACACACACACATATACACTTAATTGTGATGATTACAATCAATATAATCAAAAAGTGATTAACTTTTCAGCTCTCCACTTATAACAAACTTGTTTATGATTCATTTTGTGTGTCAATTTGTTTTATTATTACATTTTAATTACTTTCATTTTGACAACAATCAGATTAGATTTTGATCCTGATTGTGAACAGTTAAAAAAAAACTTTATTAATAGAAAAAGAAAAACTTTCAAAACAATTTACCCTTTGATTTTGATTGTAACCAGAGATTAAAGGTTAATCATGATCAATTAACTGTTCACTTGAAGTAGTTGCCCAAAAATAATAAACTAATTTAACCCTGACAATTAACCGACAATTAGTTAGTGCTTTTCATCAATCTAACCAATGATGAGCAGCAATTTAAATCATTAAATTGTCTTAACATCATCATCATTAGTTGATTGTTTAAGTAACAATTTGATTAATGATATTAAAGTCTAGCCAATCATTATAAGAAAATGTCATTGATTAGCAATTAACTTGATTATGATTAGAAATGATGATTACGATCATAATGATGCTCAATGATTAGTTTTACAATCTGATGAATCTCTAGTTATTATTAACCAATTGTACATTACAATCAACAGGATTTCATGTTAATGCTTAATTGTTGACCACTAATTGTGAATAATTTAAAGATAATCAACTTTTCCAAATGAAATAATCGTGAAAATTTTGTTTAATACTTGGAAAAAAGTTTCTACCTCTTGACAAATTGTTTTGATTGTTAATTGGAAACCAAATTTACTAATTAGCTTAAAGTTAATTATCATACAGATGAACATGAAACTTTCTAAAAAATATTAGTGAAAGTTGATTGTAAACAATTAATTCTAATCCAATGGTGATTAACTTAAAGATAATGAAATGAAAAGTTAAGTAATAACAAGTACAAAGACCCAATGAGATTATAATTCAATGAGATTAATCTGTTGATCATGAATCGTGATTTAATTACCTCCCGGGTAATCATCATGTTGATTTTTAAGCTTTTAACAATCGCAGGGAATTAGTTAATCAAGTAAACAATTTAAACTCAATCAAAGAGTTACCCTGTCCCTCTAATATGTATTAATATTTATCTCTCCTGGTGTATTCACTGTAATAACCAAGGTTATCAGGTTAACCATTTAATTGTCAACCAATTACTTAAACTATTTGATTAGTCACTGTGATTTAAATGATTATGCCAGTCAAATCAATTGGTAGAAAAGATTATCAATTAAATTGTCAATCATTCATATAAATAAATTTTTAATTATTTTGGTGATTTTTTTTTCATTGATTTACAAAAAAGATACAAAGAGCAAAAAAAAATATCATAACTACTGTTGAAATATTGATAGTTTATATTACAATTTAGTTAATTGTTTGGTTTCTTATATTTACACAATCAACTATTAGTTAACTAATATACTTGCACTGACCACTGATTTGGCTCCGTTTTTGGGTTTGATGAAATTTCTCGAGTTGGTCAGTTTAATTGGTTTCGTAGGTGGAGTTGTGGTCATCAGGTTAGGTGAAGGTGTTGATTGTGATGATGATGCTGATGCTGATTTAGGTTTAATCAATCTCGTTGATTGAATAATTGCTGTTGTTGATTTGTTTTGTTTATTGTTGGCGAAATTGCTGATTGCTCTTGATTCTTGTTGATGGAAATTAATATTACTACCGGTCAGTGGTTCCTTAAAAGCGGCATCAAACTCTTCCTCTTCGTTGGAACGACTTTTGGTCTCTGGTTTATCGTCCTGATCATCGTAGTTACTTTTAGGCTCATCAGATTTTTCATAATCACTTTTACCGTAATTATTATTGTAATCAGCTGGACCAGGTGATCCTGAATCATCATCATTTTCATCATAACTTTCATCGGGTTTGTATGTATCTTGTTTCTTTCGGTATGATTTTGGTGGTGAGCCTGAAGGTGGTTTTGTTGGGGATGATGATGATGATGATGATGATGATAAAGATGATTTACCTTTGTTTTTTCTTGGTTTCTCTTTATATTTAATATCTTCTTCCTTATATTTACCTGTCTCTCTATCAGATTCACCATCAGATTCACTTTGTTTACCTTCATCATCTTGACTATCGGTGTTACCATTATCACCATTATCACCACCACTGCCGCTTCCGCTGCCACTGCTGCCGCTGTTGGTTTGACCTTCAGTATAATCATCGTATCCTTGACTTGGTTTGTAGTAATTAGTTGATTCATTGTCATCGTTATTAGTTTTAGGAGGAGGTGATGATGAGGATGATTTAGATGACAGATAATCATCACTTCCTCTATAATTGTAACTTGGCTCATCTGATGATTTAGTTGATTGTTTCTCATTTTCATCTGAGCTTTTAGAGTAACTTGGCTCATCTGAATTGTATGAAGATGATGATGGTTCATCTGAATCATTGGGTGATGAACTTTCAGAACCTCCTGATGACGATGAAGACGACGATCCATCAGCATAATCATCATAATTAGCTTCAGATGATGGACCTGAGCCTGAAGATGAAGATGAAGGCGGTGATGATGATCGAGATCGAGATGATGACGATCGTGATGATGAATAAGCTGAAGGTGATGATCCATAGGAATTAGCTGATTTTTTCATTGGACCAGTCTCTCGGAAATTATAATCTAAATTAAGAAGAAGACAAAAAAAAATCAACTCTTAATTGTGAGCATTTAAAGTAGGTTAAATTATCTATCACTAATTAAAACCTCTAATTGTAACAATTTTCAAAGTTAATTGAGACCAAAAATGAGTTTTAATTAAAATTAATTACCGTTACAATCGCAACTGAATAATATGAAACGATGAACCTTAAATTGTATCAGTTTTTAATCACATAAACCTTGATTGTTACCTGATTACTTGGTGATTGTGATTACTTAAAATAAATAAATGATTTTAAACCGTTTCAATGAATTAAAACAAATTATCAGATTGTTACAATTAAGCTAATTAATTCTGAAAAAATAACTAAATTACAATCAACTGAATGATTTTGGTTGATAAAAAATCAGATTTATCGTTTCTTTTGCGATCGGAGAGCTTGATTGTTTGTTAATCATTCATCAAGTATTTTAATCAGTGTTAATTATAACCGATCTCAGTGAGTGAGTTAAATTTAATTGATTGAAATTTCATCTTACCTCGAGCTGAATAGTATTTATCTTCATCTTTGTTATTTGATTTATCATTGAAATATTTGATTCCAAAATCACCAGATTCATGGGGTGAATCATTATCATCATCTGATGATCCCTTGGGTGTTGTTGATGAAGATAAAGATGATGATGGATTAGATGAAGATGATCTTCCTGATCGAGCACCAAACATTGGTCGTTCTGTAGTTAAAAGAGGAGACTCATCTCTATCCCATTCTCTCACTCCTTGAGTCCATTTTTCATCTTCTTTAGCCTCAAATTCATCCTCATATCGACCACTATTAGAATCTTCATCTTTTCCCAACTTTCCGGACATTCGAGGTTCACCTTCATCTGAATTACCTTGATTGTGATTAACAGAAGCACCATGATTATAATTATAATTATCATTATTGTTACTCTTTTTCTGTTTATTGTTGGATTTGTAAATTGGTTGTTTAAGATAATCAAGTCTCGAAGATGAAGTGGAAAGTGACCTTTTTTGGGCTAATTTTTGTTTACATTGGTCATCGGTTAATGATCGTCCATCAGCTGTTCGACATTTAAGAACTTTTCTCGAAATCATCTTCGAATAACTTGGTGAAGTTGATGAATATTCTGATACTAAGCTTGATGGTGATGGTGATGAGGATGATGATGAGGATGAGGATGATGGTGATTTATCATCATAAAAGTCACCATGATAATCATTTGAGGAGGAGGATGAGGATGAGGATGAAGATGGAGAGACAGAATTATGTTTACCTGATTTACCAATGATATAAGGATAATCTTGATCATTGAAACCATATTCAACTGATGAAGAGGTTGATGATTTAATTTTATTGTTATGATGATGATTAACTGTTGGATTGGATTGACTGGTTGGTTGGTTAGAACGAATTAAAATTGATTCTTGACTTGAAGATGATTTAAGTTGATTGTTAACTCTTTTTTTTATTGTTATCGGTGTTGATTCAGTTGTGGTTGATGTAATTTCTTCATGCTTAATCCAAGGTCCAATACCTACATAGAAATTTGGTTTAATTGTTGTCGTTGTTGATTCTGTTGTTGTTATTGTTGTTGATGGTGATGGAGTTGATGGTGATGATGATGATCTTGATTGTTGTTGATCATTTGATGACTGACGATGATGATGATGTCTATGTTGATGATCATGATGATGATGTTTCTCTACTTGAGTTAACACTTTTCCATTAACATTTGATTTATTAATTGTTAACAGTAAAAGGATCACCAAATTAAGTGAAAGTATTTTGAACAATTTAACCGAGGGTAATGTTAACATTTTGAAAGTTAAACAACAATTGAATAGTTGGATTGATTTGTTTAAACCTTTTAAATAAACACCAACCAACAATTAATTATAATCAAATGATAATAATCAACAGACAACAATCAACGTTAATGTTTGTACATTTGAAAGTAAACGAACCCAACCAACCCCCTCGAAACGAACCTAAAGTCGGAACGAACGAAGTACTAACGAAAGGTAACGAATTTGCATTCGTTACGAATTTTTTTCTCGCTTCTTTTTCATCACTCGAACTAACAGTTCTACTCCCCACCCTTTCTTTATCATCTTATCTTCTCTTTCTTTTATCTTCCATCTTCCAATAATCATCTTTGTCGTGATTAGGATCATCCATCTTCTCGTCAATTCTATGTTTCTTTTCTCTTTCTTTTCTTTCTCTATTTTTAAACTTTCTCTTTCGAATCATGTTGTTACTTTTTTTTTCTTTTACCTGTAAACTTACCTGATGAGCTTTTTTCTTTCATCTTTTTTTTTCTCTCTCTCTCTCATTATTTGGTTCCGATCGGATTTCCGATCTAATAATGATGCTTCATTGGATAACATTACAATTAGGACAATCCTTTTTTTATCATCTTCTTCATCATCATCTCTTTTTTTTTCAAAGATGATAAAGGTAACAGGTAAAAAAAGGACAATACCTTTTTCTTTGGACTTTATCCTAAAAAAAGTAATCGAAACAATAACTTCAATCACGAACGGCGAGAAAGAAAAAAAGTTCTGACCTGAGATTGGAAAAAGAATCGCAATTAAATTAATCTAAAAGCCGATATACAGAAAAAGTGGAGAAAAAAATTGTTCCGGTTAATGATGTTGTCGATTTAATCAACTAATCAACTAATCAGTTGACAAATAATATCAAAACTGACCATTTGGATAACAATGGTTTACATTGTTGATTGTTATCAGCTTATAATCATCAACTGACCAGTTGATTAATGACCAATCAAATCAATCAATTGATTTAATTTCATCGTATTTTTTTGCTCGTAAATTGAAATTTTTTGATTATTTTTTTTTCATTCAATACTTGAGTTAATTGTAATCATTTTTGACAGGACTTTGATAACTACTTGTGTATATTGCTGACAATTTGTTAATCATTACCGGAAGCCTTTAATTGTTACCTTCCAATTGTAAAATTTACTCTGATTATTGTTTTTTTTCATGTCTTACAATTAACTAATTGTGATAAGTAGGCAACAGTTGGCAAAAAATTACAATTAATAATCATCTTAATCATCATCATATTAATAAGATTACAATAATTATTATAAAGGCTTAATCATAGTGATTAACTAATTGTAGATTTTGATTTGATTTGATTTGATTGTTTTTTGCTTTGTTTCCTACACAAAGTTGTTTATTTTAATTTTCCGCTTTCTTTTTGTTGATTAATTAATTACAATTAATTAGCAGAAAAAAGTTCAACAATTAACAGATATTCATCAACAAGTAACAATTAAAAAGTATTAAACAATTTATTTTGATTGTTATCACCAATTAAGTGGAAAAACATAAAAGGGTAACAATTAAATGTAATACAACCGATAAGTGTATTTAATTTGATTAATCAAATTGTTAATCAATTTGCAACCATAAATAATAATCAAGTTAATCTTATTTGCTTCCTTAATCTGATCCAGTTAATTGTTTGTTGTCTTGTTAAAAGTTTTGATTGTGTTTGTAAAAGTTGATGAGTAGAAAATTGAAAATTAACACTTGATGATTTACTAAATTTAAACATTTCCACTTGATTGTTACCCAAATTAAATTGATTGCTGTTGATTTACTACTATTATTAAAAATATTCACCATGATTTAGACAAACTAAATCATCAGTAAACAACAATCAACAATTGTTAACAATCAATCTGATGTAGGTAGACTCAATATTGACCTAAGGGCAATCACGATTGACCTTTCACAAGATAATAATAAAAAATAATCATCCTAATGATTAAGAAGATGATATTTGCTGTTGTTGATTAACAACAATTAAAGGGATTGGCACGATTAAGATGATTACAATTTAACACCAGAGATTAACAAAGAGCAAAAGATTTTGATTATCTTTTTAATCATAATAACAAAAAGTATAACAATTGATTCTGATATAACAATTACCGTTACAATTAACGATTAATTTTCTCCAACTGCTTCCTACATGATGATCATCATCACAATTAATTAGTGTTCTGTTTGATTAATTGATCATTTCTCATCTTCTTCCATTACCAATTCAATTGTTATTGATTGGGTATCGATTGAATTTCCATGTTTGAAACTAAATTTCAGAAAGAAACAAATATTAAAGAAAACAATTAAGAATCTAGTTGATCACGTTGATAGCAATTCGTTGATTTTAATCAACACCACAGAAAAATGGTCAACAATTGATTCTGATATTAAAACAATCACCGTTACAATTAACGAGCAATTTACTTAAACTATTGTATGAGTGATAATGTTTGGCATAAATTTTCAAATCGAAATTACGACAAGAAGACTTGACCTGTGGCACAAAATTAGGTTCATTCTAACAGAAATTTAACAGGCATCATTTTGGTACTAAATTAAAGTTAATTGAAAATTAGTTGTTTTTCCAAATGGTTCCTAATGGAGGTCAAGTCCGAGCTCTCATAACGATTTTTCTTAGTCGCCATCCAGAATTAAGTTTATATCAATGGGCCGATAGACTGGAAAGTTCTGAGACACCTCTGAGATCATTCAGTATTGTTATGCCAAAGGTCAAGAATGAAAAAATTTTATTTATTACCCTGATTGCGGCCAAAAATCGACGAAAACGATGGCGCCAAATTTAAACCAATTTACACGATTAGCCGACGATTGGACTGGTTCGTAACGGGAATTGGCCACTAAATTTAATATTTGTGTCTTACTAGTCGAGGTCTATTACAGATTTGAAAATTTTATTATAAATGATCATTCAAATTATAAAATCTCGATTACTATGAAACTTTACCACTCATTATTTCCTTCTTACATGATGATCATCATCATCACTATTAATTAATTAGTTTTGTTGTTTGATTAATCAATCATTTTTCATCATCTTCCATTACCTGTGACAATTAAGAATCTGGAATCTTGATTAACCTACACTTGTGATTAATATAATTAATTAACCAACTTAATCTTTAACAAGGGAGCAGGCAGTCAACATGATCCTTTAAGCTTATCTAATATGCTTCGTATATAAGGCTAAGCCCACCATTTGCTAACTAAACTACGAATGCGTTCCTGGTTCATACGATCGTATGTCGCAGACCGGTCGTTTCCGTGGACGTTTACGACTTTATTTCTCTCTCTCTCTCTCACTCTCTCTCTCTCTCTCTCTCTCTCTCTCTCTCTCTCTCTCTCTCTCTCTCTCTCTCTCTTCTTTCTTTCTTTTAAAATCATTTTTAACAACAATGCAACTGTTAAACAATACTAATATTTGAAGGATACGAAAAAGCAAAAGTCAAAAGAAAGAAAATTTGAAAAATTATAACTTTTGACCTCGACCTTTACAACAATCGTTCTATTTTTGTTGGTGCGGAATTTGAGCTTTCGAATAAGTCTCGGTGTCTCTGTAGCACATCAGGTTCTTTCTCAATGTTTGCATCAAAAACGTGAATCGTATTATTGTAATTGTGATTATCAACATGGTCACGAATAAATTAATCAAGAAAAACAAAATATACACACAAAAAAATTAAAGTTAATTATATGTAGAGAGTGATGTTAATCATTAATTAACAATTGAAAGGGTAATTCTTGTTAATGATTCATCAAATTGTTAATGACGTTTATTTACCTGAATTAACCGTTATCACCACAATTAAAATTCCAATGATAGAAATCAAATCAATCAGTGCAAGAAACAAAATTCACATTTAATTGTTACAATAGTTAATTTTTTCTAGATGATGATAATCATGATGATGATCCCGGAAGAGAGAGAGAGACAAAAAAAGTCCCATTGATTGATCATTAATTGTGAATAGTGACCATTAGAGTAAATAATCAATATACTAAATGACCTCATGTTACCTGTTGTCGTTACACATATAAGCTTTGTACCTGTTGTTCCCGATCCTGAGGTCAAAGTTAACTGTCCCTGTCTGGGGAACCTGTTCCAATGGTCAGTTTGTACTGACCATTGATGGTGGAAAATATTTTCTTTCAATAAACTTCAATCATAATTAACTATCGATTTATAATAATAATTATCGTTTCATATCAATTATGTATAATGAAAAACTCTCAAGGCCAAGGGTAAAAAAGTCAATCTGATCTAAAGGTCAAACAAGGAACCAGAATGAAAAACAAAATGGACAAAATTTGACCTCAACCTTCAACCTTTTTCAAGGTTCCAAAAGGATCTTATCTCATAATAGCCAATGGGCAATTATGATGATATTTAAACATAGATGATGATAATAATTTATAATGTTTATCTTATTTCCGGAATAAGTTATCAGTATGTTGTTCAAATTGCCTGAGGCAAGATGAGAGAGAGAGAGAGAAATAAAAAAAAAAGTTAACTTTAAACAGGTAAACAAAATTTTGGAACCTCATGAAAAAAAAAAGGTAACCCAAGTTGACCATTGGAATCCTGAAAATAAACTTAAATCATTAAACTAAATCATTTTTAATTTCATACCTTTCAATTACAATTAAAATGCTGATATTTTGTTGATAACCATTTACCAGAAAACAATTTAAATATCATTCATGTTAATCACTAATCATTAATCAGCATCATTATAACTTTGATTGTAATCATTTGAATGATGTAATCATAATGATGATAAATATACACACCTTGTTAATGTCTATTGATTTAATCAACCAGCAAAAATTGTTTCTGTTTAATTGTTATTAGAAAATGAAAACTTTTCTAATGGTAACAATTAAACAACCGACATTTAGATTTTAATACATATAATTAATACAATATCTTTTCCTTGAGATTGTTAATTGTTTCATTAAATAGGAGAAGCAAAATTAAATCATCATTGGGAATATGTTCATAATAGTAATTAAGGTAATAGTTAATTACAGGTTGATTTTAATTCACTTTGATTCAATTGATTCACTACCGCATTGATTTGATTTTGGAAGAAAAAAAAATTTTCTCTTCAGTTAATCATCATGATTAACTTGAATGATGAATATTAAATTAAGATTGATTGTAACTGTAAATGATCAGAGGTGAGGACTACCTACTGATTATGTATTATTATAATCAACAATTTAATTTTTCTACCTTGATTGTTAATCATCATTATTGGTTAATTTTCACCTTTCAATTAACTTTTTTTTTCTCGCTTCCATTGGAATCCTATTCATCAAGAAACTTGTATTGTATCATTGAAAGTTTAATCATTATTTAATTGTAGACCTTAAATCCTATCACAATTAACTTGTAAAATATTTAAATTACCTGTTTTAATCACGCAATTAAGCTACTACCACTTAATCAATTTCTTCCGCAATATTAATCACATTGAAACTTTTTTTTTGTTCACTGATTAAAAAAGTATATATTAAGATGATTATTAAATTAATCTGAATGTATTGATAATCAATATGATTAATTGTTATCATCAATGAATTGATTATTGATTAATATGAAAATAACTCATCTCATATATTTAATATTTGCTAATTGTAAAGTTGTTTTTAATTGTTACCGGTTGTTATTGTTGCTACAATTACTATTGGGATCTGTCTGAGTTTTAATTGTCTCCTTAATTGTGTTAATGTTATGTGTTTATGTTGCCAATTGCTGGCTAATTGTCTCTATCTTTTTGTTTTAATTGTCACTGTTAGGATTTGGTTCCATTTCGTTGATATAAGTTTAAAATTAACTTCCATTGAGAATCAAAGGTAAAAATCAGGTAACCGTTTCATCCTTATTTATTTGGGTCATTTCAATTCGTTTCCCGTGACTGACCGGACTTCATATCATCATCATCATCATCATCATCCAACATCATCATCATCTTTGTCTCTCTCAATAAAAAAAAACTTTTGAGAGAAAAAAAAACTTTTTTTTCTCTCATCTTCTTGTTGATTTAAACTGAGAAATTAAATCAATTGGTGAATTGGTCGTAAGAAATTAACTTAATTGTTAACAGAAAATGTATAAACCATTTTTCTGTATATTCCCATGATAACAAAATTAATTCTGATTGTTATGATTAAAGATTGTTGAACAACTAAAAAGCACTTTTAATGTTGAAATACTTGGAATCATCAACAATCAGGAAGTTATTCCAACAATTAGTTAACAATCAATGTTTATCATCATAAATCAAACCTCTATTATTATTATATTTTGTAGCATTTAATCAATGGTATCAATTTAATTAATTGTAATAACAAATGGAAACTAATTCAATCATTATCTCAGCCTATTGAGGTTTTCTGTTTGATTCATTGACAAGAAAAAATAAAAAGTTTCTTTAATCAATTTATTGATTGTCATTAATACGTTAACACGGTTAATGATTTTGCTTTAAAATTTTAATCATCACCAAGAATTAGATTGATTAATAAATCAATTGAACAACAGGTAAAGTTAATTCAGTTAAAATCACCAAAGAGTTAATCAAGTTTGTAATTTAATTGCATTCCCAAAATTTAGGTTAAAGTTAATTGTGGGTCATCTAGTTTAATTTGTTTTGCTTACCGTTAATTTATTAATCCGATCAAGTATGTAGACTGTAATTAAAATGATTCTGATCATCAAAACTTGATTAAAATTGATTACGACAGTTAATTTAATTGCAATTAAGTGGTAACCAAGAAGCAAAACTTTATAACTACAATTAAGTTAGTTGAGTCTGTAAATTATTGTCAATGTTGATTTTTATCAATGAACAAAAAAAAGGTAAATGATTTTGATAACAATCAACAAGAAATTAAATTGGAAACTTTTTTTTATTTGATCAACTTGCAAGTATTAATTGTGAATATCAGCAATTAATTAATTGTTTAGACAATTTATCTAACTAAATTGTGAGAGGAAGATAAATTGTTAATTGTTCAAACTGACAATAGAAATGAAAAACAAGAAGAAGAGTAAAAAGTGATCAGGAAATCACGATGAATATTAAGTTGATTAACTTGATTATCAGGCTAATTATAAATGACGATATCTCCATTTAATACCGTTAATCATCACCAAACAATTAACATAATTACCATTGAGAATATAATTACAATAAAACAATAAGAAAACAAGTGATTAATATCGTTAGAGCAGAAATCACTTAAGGCCTTAGCCCTTTGGTGAACACTAAAGGTAATCACTTGTTACCTGGAGATGGAAACACTTTATGGTTTTTATTTCTTTATGATGATAAAATAATCAACATGCAAGAGGGATGATAATGATAATGATGATGATGATGATGATGATGATGAAAAAGAGGAAAAGGAAGAGATAAAATTTGAAAAAATCGCCAAAAAACTGACCAAAAGTATTAACCCTTTTCTGATGCAACAATAAGATTAATAGGGAAGAGATTAACCAAAATGATGTGTAACCAGTGTAATATATCTGATTGTGAGATTATCATCTTATCATTATCATTATCATCATTATCATCATCATCATCTTAATCATCATAAAGCTTACTCATAGCTCAGTGACCCAAGATGAATGTTAATTATAATTTACTGTTCTTTTTGTTGTTACCTGGTGATGATGATGCTCCTTTTCCTGTTAAATTGTGGGCGCGGGAATGGAAAAAGTAAGAAAAATTGAAAAGATTGTTAGAGAATGAGGATGATAAGTATGAAGGGGGGAAAAGATGATGAAGATAAAGATGAGTAAAGAAAATATTAGACTGGAGAGAGAGAGAGGGAGAGATAAAGATAGACTGGACAGTACATGGAGGTCAGTTGGTTATTTCATCATCTTCATCTCTCTCTCTCTCTCTTTTTGAATCTTGACCATCTTTTAGTAACTATAACTGGCTTTTGGTGGTTGGATAATCATTAAATTGTTTGTATTCTTGTAACAGGTTAAGGTACTTTTCTTATTTTTAAACCAGTTTCAGGTGAACATTGAATAACAACAATAAGGTATGTACGGTAAAGTTTGGGAATAAAATTTTCAAACTATTATGGTGACTTTAATTTTCAATTAAATTTCTTGAAATTATACGAAATTAATCAACTTTTGGCTTCAATTGGGTATCTTTTCTGAATATTGCATCAAATCAAGCATCAAAATTCGATTTTCGAATGTGTCAAAATAAATTGTCATATTTTTCAGAGGTAGCTCTGAACAAATGTTCAAACTTTAATCGAAGATTACCATGGTCAAAATCGGTCAATTAATGAATGCTGAGTGTTATTTCCATATTCAAAATTAATTACAAAAGAAAGTTCATGTATTTTGACCGGAACTAAGAAGAAGTTTCAACGATATTTCGTCATTTTCAACAAATGACGCAATATCTGAAACCACAAAAATTCTGAAAAAAACTCTCAATATCAGAAAATCTTATTCCTCATCGATGAGATCGAAAAAATTTCGAAAATAACTCAAATCGCTAAAAGTTATCCGCACTATTCCCAAACTTTACCGTTCATACCTTATAATCCTCCGGTTACTTGATTTTCAAGGTAATACAATCAACGGATTTGTCTTAATCCATATCAATCATCATTCATATATTAAAATACATGATGATAAGAAGCATTTTTCAGCAAAGGTTGAGCTCAAGTAACAAAAAGACTTAAAAGGTTATGGTGGCGAAAAAAAATTCATCTTAAAATTGATAATGAATTTTCAATCGAAACGCGCGAAGAAAAGTTTTTTAAAAACTCGCGAAAGAGAAAAGAATTGATAATTTCCACCTCAGATATTAAAGCGAAACTTGGATCAAAAACAATTCTTATTACAACGATATAAACATGGACCTTCCAATGGATCTTTCGATTCACAAGTCCATTTGCCGCTCGTCTTTAGATTGATGAATATAATTAATGTATTTTTAAGACGATTAAGTTACTGTTTCTGTTGATTCGCAACTTATATATAAGTATTTAAGTGTGTGTGTGGTGATTGCGATGGTGGTAACTGATTAAATACAGAAGAATTAATTTCTTAACTTAATCTGGATTCCTTTTTTGGCATCGTACAAGTTGATTAAAAGGTAAATTCATATTCCAGTAAATATACAACCATATTCAGTTGATGATTAAGACCCATGATGTTGTTGATGTTGATGATGATGATGATGATGATGATGATGATGATGATGATGATGATGATGATATTGGTTCCGTTTAAGTTACTATACCAGAAAGAAAAACCTAAATTGTTGATGTGATGTTATTTCAATATACAGTAGGGAGCATAAAAAATGGCAATTACTGTCCATGTGATTTCATGGTGAACACTCATTTGATTTTAATGAAAATTTCAGTTAATTAATTGTTACATAGGCTTATTATGGATACTAATTAGTAATCAGTGTGTTTACCTTTGGCCTCCAAACATGATCTTATCCGATCGGACATTGAATTAATTAAAGTCAGATGTCATGATTAAATCATTCCAAATTAACTCAACTCATGTTTCAATTGATTCAAATTTGTAATATTTTCTTAGCTAACTTGTGTCAATCCCAACAATTTCGATCGTTTAGATCAGGTGAGTTCGGGTACTTTATCGAAATCGCGTTTTCGCGAAAATCCTTTGTAACGTTCGAACAGTGACAAGTTATTATCATGCTGAAAAATAAACTTATCTGGATACAAAGTATCCATGGTAGAGAGAAGAAATTGTTCAAGGTCAGGATATATTCACCTGAGTCCATAGTTCAGTACATAATTTCAAGGTGATGTTCCTCGAATAGAAATTGCTCCCAAACCATGAACTTTGGCAGAATTTAGGTCGACCAATGATCGCCCTTTCTTTCCCTAGCATTAATTGTTTATTCGGTACAACTGAAAAGATGACTCGTCCGAAAAATGACCTTAGTCAGTCGTGTCACGATTTCAAACAAAACAATCGCTCATCATTATGTTTTCCGTTAATAACGGCAATTAATAACAAAACGATCAATATTGATATTTTTAAGCTCACATTATTGTAAATCGACGACCTGTAATGACCTAAGTCCTTTAGTCGATTAGCGATCCGACTGTTTGAGATTGTTGATTTATTCAGGCTTTCCCTAACCTCGTCTACCTTCCGTCAACTTGTGTTTCCGACCTGATCCTGGTTTCCTTGTCAACACATTTCTTTCTCTAGTCTCTTTTCCACCTGCACACTGTTCATAGGGTGTTGAGGTCACATTAGCACAGCTTTGAACATTAGCCGAAATATTTTCTAAGAAAAACTGGACTTCGGTCCACCCGTTATTTAGAATCGACTTTAGACATAATTAACACACGTTTAGGTAAAGTTTTGATCTAATTTGCATAAAATTAACTAAACAGTTAATCTAATCCTTTGTCTTCAGATATTTTAATTGCAATTAATTTAAACAAAAGGATTCTTATTTTTTCCCGGTCAAAAAGTAACCAAAAATTGCCATTTTTTATGCTCCCTACTGTAATTAATGCTATTTATCATTTTTGTTAATTGAATTTAATCTGGTTGAACCAGTTTAACGTTGATGATCAAGATCAAGTTAAAATCCAGTAACGGATATTTGGAAAAGGTTAATATGATTGTGGCCTGTCAATGGTTACCTCTTACCTTGGTAATACACAATTTAAATGTTAAAATTGTCCGCAAACGTTTGCTTGATTACTGATTATCAATCAAGATGATTATGATGATGATCAAGATGGAGATGATGGTCATTCACACTGAAGTCGATAAACATAAATAACAACAACAAAAGATATAAAAAAAAGTAAATTGTGTTCATTTATATATATAAGTTGTAAGGTCGGTTAAACATGGCAACCGACCAGAACTGAATCAAGAAAAGTCGATGACGCTGATTGACCTCATTCGATAATAATAAAAGATCAAAAACTTTAGACCATTTTAATCGTCATCGAATTTTTATCATGTTAAGTATTTTCTTCATTCTTTTCTCTATCTCTCTCTCTCTCTCTCGATCGTCAGCATCTTCATCTTCATCTCTAACGAAATGGGCTAAAACCATCAATCGAATAATAAACAAATCGAAAGCAATTATATCTACAGAAAAGGAGAAAAATGAAATGACCAGAAAATTTTGATTCGAAAAACACTAAAAACAAATTATATTCTTTTCGTTATTACATATCGATAATAATCCATTGAGATAATCATATCTTACTATCAGAATAATGATAATCATCATCACTGTCGATTGATTGGTTAATCATAATTAGAGTTAATTGTGACTGATGATTATCATTTTGATCCATCAACAAGGTAACCTTGATATCGTTTTAACAAAAAATCAAAAGGTGTGTATATTGTTTACTATTATTATGGAAACTGATTTAACTATTAAACTGACCTTGCAATCAACATTTTGATTGTTGATGGTGGGAATCATTTTATGTTGATGATTGTCATTAACTATTACTGTTATTATTATATATTAATATGATTATTGTTGTTGTTGTTGTTGTTACCTTATTAAGATGATGATGAAGACACAATAATTTTGAGCTCAATGAAAGACTAGGTTACCATGTTACCTTCATGGTTTACTGAATCAAGTATCAGAATCAAGATTCAGAAAATGAATACAATTATATTCATTACTGTGAGAATCAAAATCTATTAATGAAAATCTGATTCTAATACAAATTGTTGTTAGAAAGTCATCGCTAATGAGTTTAAATTAATCATCTTCATGTAAGTGAATATAAACCTGTAACAATTGGCAACAATTAAGAAAACAAAGTAAATTAGTATCAATAAGATTGAGTAGATAAGATGTTTTTTTTTTCATTCATTAAGATTTTATTTGGAGTAAAATTGTATTTATAAAATTTTTGTGTGTGAGAGTGAGAGAGTTGTCATTAGGTTGACGTAGTTTACAATAGGATGACAAATGATGAGGATGATGATGGTGATGAGAAGAGGAGAGAGAGAGACAGAAAGAGAGAGAGAGAGAGATTGCAAAAAAGATACATGAAGATGATAATGACAATGCAAAGGATGATTGTGATGGCGATGAGATGGATTTGAAGGTGGAAGAGGTTGTTGGTGGTGTGATGATGATCATAATGGTGACGATTAGGATGATAATTAGATGAAAAGAGTTTAAATAATGAGAGAGAGAGAGAGTAACTTTCCCTCCGGGTAAAGTTTTCAGACTGTCATTACAATTAAACTCTTTTCAATCTTGTTAATCGTAACAATTTAACGAAACAATTATTAGTAATATTATTAAAAATAAAAATCTATTTAGCTCTCTGTCTAATTTAGTGATTTAGTTATTTAGTTTAAACTCGTATGTATTTGTATAAATTAATTGATTGTCCATTCATGTTGGTCAGTAGTTTCATTAGATTTGCTTCAATTTGTAAATTGTTTTAAACATGTTAATTGTTGTTATATTGTTACAATGATTTGTGAGGACTAAAAGTTTTATTTCATTTCACCTTTTTTTGTTTGTTGTTCAATGACAACATTAAGTGATGATATGATGTCGCTGATGATGATGATGATGATTTGATGATAATCGGGTTAACGATTTGATTAGGCAAGAAAATTTGAAGAAAGAAATTAAATTAATTTAATATTGGCCTCGAAAACGTTTATCTGGCCTTGAATAGAGAGCGGCAACATCGGCGTTAAGTGTTATCTCTCCGGTATCACGAAAACCCTCATTACATAAACCTCCAACTCCAATAGTACCGTTACCACCACCGCCGTTACCGCCGTTACCTCCGTTTCGAGACCTTGGGTTACGATAAGCAGTATCGAAAGCGTCCAAACGACTCAGTCCACTGCCGGGCTTATAAGAATTGGCATGACGGACATACTTCAAATTTTCCCATGATTCCTTGTAATTCCGATAAAATCCACTTTGATCACCGCTCGAATCGAAAGTACTAATTGTTTGAGCATCAATTGAATTTCTGCTATTCTTAAATCTAATTTGAGTTAAATCGACGTGGAAAACAATTTAATATAAAAAAAAGAAAGAAAAATAATAATAATATAATTAGTAAAGTTAATTGTTTGATCAAATTTCTGATCAAAATGCAATATAGAAAAACAAAAGCAACAATTAATAAATCACACACAATTAAAGCCACAACATAGATTAGCTAATTAACTCCTTCCCAATATAAATATAAATGCAATACAAAAGGTTAACAAGAAGCTTAAATAATAACAATTAACATGCAACAGAAAGAAACACACAAAGAGGTTGACAAACAATTAAATCTAATTGGTTGTCAGGTTAAAATGTATTATAACCAATATAATCAATGAGAAATGAAACCAATTAAATTTGAACAAGGAGAAAGAAAAAATTAATACAAACAATTTATATATATAAATTATATTATTTGATTGTAATTAATAAGAGATATAAAAAGAGTAGCATAATAAACTAAATCAAATTGGTGATACAACAATGAATGAAAAGTTAATTACGAGCTGAATTAAATTGTTAACAGTCAATCAAATACTGAAATGAGGCGTAATTGAAAAAAAACAGTAATTTAATAATAGGTGAAACTAATCAAGCAACAATTTACCAATATCAAACCAATACTAAACACCATCAGGGTAATCAAATTGAGTAATTGAAATTCATGAGGTTGAACAATTTAAAAAAAAAAAAACTTTCTTGGTGACAATATAACAACAATCAACAACAACAACAGTTACTCTGGAGCTTAAATTTGCAAGGTCAGTTGATTACAGGTTAAGATTAGGGTTTAATCCAGAAGCTAAATGAGAAGCCAATAATGATGAGGATGATGAAGATGAAGATGAGGATGATGATAATAATAGGATTGCGAAAAAAAAATGACAATAATAAATGGCGTTTGCATGCAAGCCAAAAATGGAACGACCCGAATCAACAGATAAATGAAATTAATTTAGATGAATAATCATGACTCACACTACAGGTAAGATGATGAAGACAAGGATGATAATGATGATGATGATGCAGATGATAATCAATTGGATGATTGGAAATAAATAACGGTAATAATAAGCATTTAGACAATGGACATGGGGACATGGATGCAAAGCTAATCACGAAGTTGTGATTTAAATATTCAATTAAATATTAGTCCTTTTCTGCTCACCTAAGCAACTTCATTTGATTTGATTTGATTTGATTTGATTACATTTCTTTTTTTTACAAATGATTAATTTGTATTAATTTGGTTAATTGTTATGAAAATTTGATAAATATGATGTACGATGTGAAGGTGTCGTCGTTGGACTGTCCCTCCATAATGAGTTAACACGACCTTTTGATGAGGAACTGAAGAGATTGATTAATTGTGTTAGTAAATTGTTGACAATATAAAGAAAGAAGCGATAACAATTAAGAGGAAAAGATATTGTTAATTTAATTAAATTGTCCTTTCGTAAATAATATATCCTCATGTAGAGTAGTAGTAATAATAATAATACAATCAAATCTAATTGTAATATAAGTTCAATGTTGTTGACTTGAAAATTTTGATGGTAAAAAAAAACAATCCTTTTAATTGCTTACTGATTGTTGTATAATTAAGTTACTAATTTAATTAAATTACTATTAGGATCATGATGTGGTTTTGTTTGGTTAATTATTATGAAAATTTGATAAATATGATGTACGATGTGAAGGTGTCGTCGTTGGACTGTCCCTCCATAATGAGTTAACACGACCTTTTGATGAGGAACTGAAGAGATTGATTAATTGTGTTAGTAAATTGTTGACAATATAAAGAAAGAAGCGATAACAATTAAGAGGAAAAGATATTGTTAATTTAATTAAATTGTCCTTTCGTAAATAATATATCCTCATGTAGAGTAGTAGTAATAATAATAATACAATCAAATCTAATTGTAATATAAGTTCAATGTTGTTGACTTGAAAATTTTGATGGTAAAAAAAAACAATCCTTTTAATTGCTTACTGATTGTTGTATAATTAAGTTACTAATTTAATTAAATTACTATTAGGATCATGATGTGGTTTTGTTTGGTTAATTGTATTATTATTAGCATTATAAGATAATAATGAGAAATGGATAATTATTGTTCAATGATTAACCTTGATTGTTGGTTTGATTTAGTTGGTAATAACAAAATTTAAGGAAATGTTTTGTATTTACATGAATGAAAAACAATTTAAATTGTCACAATTTAAGTGTGACAATTACAATCAATGTAAATATTTACAAAATGTAAACCTCAAGGATAACAAACCGGAACCCTAATCATGTTAATCAAATCAATGAATGTTAATCGTTTCCACGTTTGACGTTTAATTAACTGTCAAGTTGCTGATGAGCATAAAATTCAACAATTTAACTGATTAAATATTTCGTCATATTAATTCACTTAAATTGTCACTAAATTGAAAACAAGGAATAGAATAAGAAAAAAATGTCAACATCTTCATTTAATCTCTTTCGGTCATTTTTTTTCTTCTTCTTCTTATGTTACCTTTCTAATTATGACCAATCATCTGATCTCCTTTTTTTTCATCTTCATCTTGACTCTAACATGATGATGATGTTGATAATCATGTTGTTCAAATAGAAAGAAATTAACTGAATCAAGGTCAATTATTTTCCGTTAATCGACTTGCAACCAACAAGGGAAGCGTGAAAAGGTATTTACAAGTTACTCTACAAACGGAGGTCATTTTTTTTCTTATTTATCTATCTGGCTTTTATCATCATGGTAACGTCAAGAGAACAGGTAGAAGAGAGAAGAGAGAGAGAGAGATGAGGATGAGGATGAAAAAGAGGGTAGGAAAGATGGAGAGAGAGAGAGAGAAAGCTAAGCTTACAGGTACCTTAGAACCGCCTCAAAACGACCTGAGCCGCTTTTTTTAGACCTGATTACTTTTGGGTAAGATGCTTATACTTGGCTAAACTTTTAACCTGCTTCACGCTGTAGAGACTCAGATCATAAGACGATGAAGAAAAAAAAATGGAAATAATTTTTTTCGCAACTGTAGTTTTTTTTTTCATCGTGTCATTTTTTTTTCTTCACAACTTTGTTGATTAAATTGTTCTAACTCACCTTCTAACAATGATGATTATGATTGTTACGATTGCGGCAAGGAAAACGAAACCTCCAAAAACACCAAGGGCGATTATGCCTCCCATGTTTAACTTGGTTGTTGCTGTTGCCTTAACATTTGCTGATTTGGTTGCTGAAGATGAAGATGATGATCCACTTGTTGAATAGATTGTATCTTCAATCTCATTATCCTTTTCATCATTAACAATTTGCTTCTTATTGTTACTATTTGTTGTGGGTGTTGAGGTTGTTGGATAAATCGGTGATGTTATCCGTTTATTGTTGTTATTTAATCCTGTTGATGAAGATAAGGTTGGTGATGAGGAAGAAGAAGAAGAAGAAGAGGACGATGAGGATGAGGAAGAAGAGGAGGAGGACGACGATGATGAAGGAGAAGATGGCGATGAAGGTGATGAGGGTTGTGAAGATGATGAAGATGAAGTATATTTAACCAGGTATTTGCTTGTTGTCGATGGAGGTCGAGTTGTTGATAGTTCGGGAATCAGAGCGATTTGTGGTGGTGGCCGACGAGAGGGATCTCTAGATGAATAGTAGGTTCGAACTGGGGTAATATTGTTCCGTCGAGTTGACCCGTAAAATGGTGATGATGGTGGTGCTGGTGTTGTGGTTGTTGTTGATGTAGAAGTTGTCGTTGATGTGGTTGATGTAGATGTTGTTGAAGTTGTTGTTGTTGAGGTTGTTGTTGATGGAGTTGTAGAGGTTGTGGTTGTGGTTGTTGTTGATGTTGGAATAGGTTCACATCGAGGTGGTGGTCCATTCCACCGACCGTCAATGTCACATAATAAATATGATCTACCGACCATAATGAAATTATTATCACAACGATATTGAACACCGGACATGTAGGCACGACTTTTATTCACAAGTAAATAATCACCGTTTGAAATGGACGCTGGGAATCCACATTCGAGATCTGAAATCGAAGGGGTAACGAGTAAAAAAAAATGACATGACTGTTGGACGGAAAATTCGAGAGGAATAATAAACAAAAAAGGTCAATACTTACATTTACACTTTGGTGAATATTCACTGAAAAAACCCGTTGGTAAACAGGTTCGAATCGTTGGTCCGACAAGTAGGTTACCCGATCCACAGCGATACTCGACCATTGAGCCGATGTCCACTTTACGGAATAAGATGGTTGAATTAGCGGGAATTTCAGGTCGACCACAGGTTAGAGGTCGATGTTGACAGACAGTGTGCAACTTGACATTACAATTGGTATCAGCCCAAAGCCAACCTTTGGTTCCGTCGAATCGTGAACAATTGTGATTCTGTCGAGGTTGTGACCAGAAACTGATCTGAACTTCTTTACCGTTGATGAATTTCCACTTGTTTAACTGTTGATCTTTAACGGCACCCAACCAATATTGTCCATATTTATCATTACGATGTCGTCGATACAATTCCCATGAAAGGAAACCTTGAAGAGCGGGAGATGTCTCATCGACAAGAGTACCACCTCGAGCATCACAGAAACGCCGAGCATTGTCAAAGTTCATCGGTTTATCGTTATAAAATAAGTAACACTTTCCATTATAAGTTGATGTAGATCCAAGGGGTTGATCACGAAAAGATGGACATTGTTCAATCGAAAGGGCATGATCGGTGTACACAAAGGTCTCACATATCGAAAGTGGTTGACCACCCGATTCAAGGTGAACCGAGACAAATGCTCCTGGAGTTGGTCTGGCACAGGGTAGGAAAAGTGGGGCACCCGCTTCAATGAAGCCCGTGAATTTATTACAAATTGGATTATTATCCAAATCAGGTCTCGAATTACCTACACGAACAATGACCGTCGCAGGTCTAGAACCACAACACTTTGAACCAAAATCAATTCTCACAAGTTGAATTAGATAAGGTTCAAGTAGATTAACATACCACCAAGGATTAGGCTCATTTGTGGTCATTGTACAAGTCGGTGCATGAAAAGATTCCGCTGTTGACCCATCAACGGCCTTTTGAGGTGAACCCGTGCCGACGGTTGATGATTGCATCGCTGCTTTACCAACGGCCACATTAAGAACACAAAATGGTACACCCTGTGGTATCCAAGTACCATTTTCTGAGCACACACGGCGATTTGGACCTAAAAGATCATATCCTGAGTCACAATTGTAAGTGGCAAAAGTACCTGAAAGGTAAGTGTCCCCATTATCAATGGGCTCTGATGAAAACTTAATATCTGCATGAGCAGGACTTCCTGGATATCCACATGTTAAGATTAACGGTAAATTGGAAATAAATGAAATTAATAAAATAATTAAATTACAAGTTGAAAATGTTAAAAGTTTCATGATGTAGTTTTGATGAGTGCGAAAATACAACTGACAGGTAAACCGACTCATTTGGAAGATAGAGAGAGAAAGAGATGATGAAAAGAGAGACAGAGAGAGAGAGAGAGAGAGAGAGAGAGAGAGAGAAAAGACCGGTTTTTGAGTTGTTTCATCCTTCTCACTAACCACCTGGTTCATCCTCATCCTCATCCTCATCCTCATCCTCATCTTCATCTTCATCTTCATCTTCATCTTCATCTTCATCCTCATCCTCTTCATCTTTACCTTAGGGTTAAATCTCAAGGGTTAAACCATTTCTATCAAGGAGAAATGCAGATGCATTAATCCAATGGATTAGCATCATTCCTTTAATCTAACCTTTCATTTCCTTAGGTTTGATTTTTAAATTGTCTTCCTATCAAAAAAGCCCAACGGGTTAATTGAAAATCTATTTCTTAATTGTCATTTCTTTTTTGTCAAATTTTTCAAATTGTGAACAACTTTCCCAAACGTATTAATCAAATTGAATCAACCTGATTAAATAATCGTGAAGTTAATTATCAAATTGTAGAAAGAATAAGAAAATTAAATGTTAACGGTAACAATTGAATAGAAATTATTATCATCCGTTGATTATTTTGTCTTTTCTTGATGATATTTTTGTTAAATTGTCTCTTAATTACTTGATAATTGAGAGGCAGATGAATATTATGTTGATTATTGTGACACGATAATTGACCATCACAATTAAATAGATGTCCATTCAGCTGCATGATTTATAAATTGTAAAAATGTTATGGACAATCAACTAATGATGTACACATATATTGTAATAATTAAGGAGATGATGATGATGATGATGATTATCAGGATGATTACCAAGTAAATTGTTGTGATTTTTTCCCTGGAGTGTTGAAATAAATGATGATGATTGTTGATTGTTGAGTATTTAGTTTAATGTACCATCAAAACCATAATAATAATAACGGATAAGGTACAACTTCCTACATGTGGATTATGATTAAAGATTAACAGTAACAATTTGTTAACTATTCAATTCTCAATTGAATGTATAATCTTAATCACCCAATAATCATTTAAATAACAACAACAACAACAACATCAACATCAACATCAACCACAAACACAATAATAATAATCAAAGTAATTGTTATCAACAATTTATCATCACCATCAGAATTGTATTAGCTGGTTGATAAAATAATGATTGTGTTTCGATTCCTATTGATTGGCCTGATTTGAATTTCTCCTTTAATTATTAACTATTAACTATTTTCAGTACCAAACAATCAATGATAATTTAAGTTTTTCTTCAACAACAATCAATTGTTAATTCAATGGCAAGAAAAGTTTAAATTGTTTACCAACATTTAATGCATGAGATTTAATTCAAAAGTTCAATTTGGATAATTTGACATAAGAAAAATTCAAATACAAATAAAATTGATAAAAGATAAATATCATTTTTTTTATGAATGAGATTAAGGATTAAGATTAACATTATGATGATCATCATCATCATCATCGTGCTAATAATAATATTAAATAATATTTAATGATAATCAATTGGATTTAAGGTTGATTATCATAAGAAATTAGTTGTATTTTAATATCTCTCTGGGTTGAATGGGAAAAGACAATTACAATTAAGTTATTACAACAATTTAATCATTGTAATCATATTATTAAACTATTAGGATAATTAAAAAATGATTATCATTATTATTATTTTGATAATATAAAAGAAAACTTTTAAAAACTTTTATTTTCATCATTTTCGAGATGTAATAATAATAGTAACCCCTTGATTTTTATCTTAATCAGCTTAATTGTATTACGATAATAAGTTAATTCACTTTTCATTATATTATCATTCATTTAAATCATTACAATCATTAAGTATCATGAATTGTAATGATGATTATCATTGTTGTTGTTGTTGTTGTTGTTGATTGAACAATACAGAAAATTAACTAATTGTTGTTACAATAATCATGATTATATTCAATGAATTTACTACAACAATTTAGTGAGATTGAAACAATTAACGATTCTGTTGATGATGATGATGAATTTTTTTTCCAACAATCAATCGAATCAAAAATCTTCCCATTCAATTGATTGTTTATATTTGGACATAAATTGATTACAATCAGAAAAATATTTGTAATAGTTTGGATTTAATTATAATTATATCTGATTGGAAATAAATTTAAGCTTTAATCCATCACAATTAACAAATCATTTGGTAGTAAGAAACAACAACAACAATTTAAAAGGTAATAATTAAGAAATTGTTATCATTTCATTTAACTTTGATCTACTTTTAAATTGTGAGAAAAATTTGACAACAATTAAAATTGTTTAATTCCAGGTATTTAGTGAGTATCTTCACTAATCAAATTAAATTAATCTTTTTCAGTAAACAATTTATTATCAAACAATTAAGGCGTTGACAGTAAGTGTTTAACACAATCATGTTAATCATAATCAGTTAAATCATCACAATCCCTTTTGTTACAATTTAATTTCAATTGTGAAATTTACTTTCCTTTACACAATTTACTTTATTACAATTAAGTTAATTTCTACTATTTTTTTGGTTAATTTTTTCATTCTCATCTTAATTGTTGTTGTTGTTAATAAACAATTTTCATTGAAATTACTAAATTGTGATTCTTGAGTAAAAGGAAAATATCAATTTAACAAAAACAATGACCTTATGGTTAACAATTAATTGTAATTGTTATTTTGGTGATGATGATTATTATAAATGTGTAATAAAAACAATTAATGCTCAGCTTAATTGTTGATTAAATAGTGACAATAACAAATTATCATTGTTGTGTTAAAGGTTAACAATTACATGATGAGGATAAAAAAAAAGATTTGGGTTAACAATTAAAGTGATAAAAAAAACAAAGTTAATTTAGTTTATTAATCATAATCATAATCATGATGATTAGATATTTAGATTTGCCCATTAGATTATTAAATTGATTGATTTAATTGATGGTTTTACCTTTGTGGTTATTGACAAAAAATTTGTCAATTTAAAGCAAATTTTCAGATTAAATTGATTGAAAAATCTTAACCTAAATTGTGTGAATTTAATTACGATTGTATTAGTTTGTTGCCAAATTGTTGAGCAAATAATTAACTGTCAACTAACGTTAATCAAGAGTGTGAGTGTGTGTATATATAAAAAAAGGTAAAGGTAACAATCAACAAGAATATAAATCCTGTTGTTTATTAACAACAACAATCAACGTGATAAATAAATTGTGTCAATTCAATAGGTTTGTTTATTTTTGAGGTTTGGGCTATTTAATCAACGGAAACAAGTTTAGTATTTGGGAAAAGTAATCAAGCAAATTGTGAACAATTTTTGGAAACAATTTAATCACAATTGAGCTAAATTATTTGACCCTTTTCCGATTTGCAAATTGTTGATTCTTCAATCATCACAATCATCATCATCATCATTTCGCTAGCCAATTGTTTCAATCAATTGAGAAATGTTGATTAATCAACCAAATTAAAAGTTTCTGTCAAACTAACGGTTAATTATATTCTTATTTTGTAATATATCATGAAATTTACTCAATTAAATCATTCCCTCTATTTTTATGATTTCAATGAAGACAATCAAGACGATGATCTTTCTGTAATCCCGATGATTATGTTGTATTGATTATCTTAATTGTGATCAAGATTTTGTGAAGAAAATCAAAATATTATTAATAATTGAAAATAAAATGAAAGGTTAATCTTGAAGAAGTCACATTGATTTACTTGGATTGATTGTCAACCGTAACTGTATTTACGGGTGAGATGATTTTACTGTCTAACTGTAAGGTAAATAATGAGATTTGAGAGATAATCTATTTGATTGTTTGACGTGATTATCAACCAACCAAATCTAAATCAACTTCTTGGAAAGACTAAAGTAAAATTTCAACAGGTAAAAAAAAGGCTTAAGGTGACTTATTGTTTATTTGTAAAGATTGAAACATTATATTCAGTTACTCATATTGGTTAGAGATTGAAAATCAAACATTAAAATCCGGAACTGATTGTTGTCACTTAATCTTTGTAGTTGAATTTTACAGTTAGATAAACATTATATTATCATCATAAAAATCAAAACCATGATATTCATAAATTGAATATGATCAACAACAAGTGAGGTTGTTAACCGATCCAATGGTGACGATGACGGAATCACAATTGTCGAGATTGTTATTGATCATGATGATGGTGTTGATTGTGTTGATCGATTCAGATATTGGCCAAGACTTGATTAATTGATATGTTTGTTGAATCAATCGATGGTCAGTTTGATGAAAAATCGATGAGCCGCTTGATTGATTTGTTAAAAAATTAAAATCGAAATCGAGTTGATCTCATAGACTCATTTTTATCTTTAATCCTAATCCATTCACGAGGATTAAAGAGATTTGAATCTGATATTGTACTTAATTGATTCATGGTGACAATTTGACAAACTTATAACTGAATTAAATTGATTGTTGCCGCAAAATCTGAATTTAGATAGAGGACAATCAACTAATGGTGTATACATATGTGTTAATAATTAAGGAGATGATGATGATGATGATGATGATGATTATCAGGATGATTACCAAGTAAATTGTTGTGATTTTTTCCCTGGAGTGTTGAAATAAATGATGATGATTGTTGATTGTTGAGTATTTAGTTTAATGTACCATCAAAACCATAATAATAATAACGGATAAGGTACAACTTCCTACATGTGGATTATGATTAAAGATTAACAGTAACAATTTGTTAACTATTCAATTCTCAATTGAATGTATAATCTTAATCACCCAATAATCATTTAAATAACAACAACAACAACAACAACATCAACATCAACATCAACATCAACCACAAACACAATAATAATAATCAAAGTAATTGTTATCAACAATTTATCATCATCATCAGAATTGTATTAGCTGGTTGATAAAATAATGATTGTGTTTCGATTCCTATTGATTGGCCTGAGGTAAATTATATATTGATTAGTCAAGGAAGAAAATTAAATCTTAGAGTAATTTGAATCAAGGTAAGACAATAATTATGTTCAATATGATTATCATGAGAATGACGATTGATATAAATTGCAAATGGTCAATAAGTAAGGCCAGAAATTTTTCCAATGGTGACGATGTTTGGATGACAATTTGTGAGGGTGTTGATGTTGATGTTGATATTGATGTTGATGGTGGAATCGGTGTTGTTGATGTCGTTGTGCTTGTTGTTGATGTTGTCGTTGTTGTTGTGGTCGATGTTGAGGTCGTCGAGGTTGGCGATTCTCTGTTGATTGGGACAAATTGACAAGCGACGTGATTTTTTTCCCATGGTCTGGTTGTATCTGGAATTCCGACCTTACACTTCAAGATATCGTATTGATACTCGCACTCAATCAGATCACTATGATCCCAAAAGGATAACCATTTGATGTCCCGGAAAAAATCTTTGGAAACAAATAAAGTTTCGAGTGAAAATTTCTGATAAACTGATTTCGAGAGGTAAGCAAGATCACCACCGAGCCTGAAACAAAATTGATCGGCAAAATATCGAGTCAATTGGAAATCGAAAAAGTTGAAACAATAATGGTCATCGTGACCAATGTAAACTGGTGTCCTTGAGGTATTAAAGGGTGTACATTGGTCAAGAGTTGGACTGGTCCGAATAGAAGGCAAATTAACTAATAATAAACTAAAATAACAAGGAAAAAGTGATAATTTAAATGGTCTTTTCATCGTGTCAATGGTCAATCAACTAGTGGTCAGTTTGAAGGGAAATCGATGAATGAATTTTTCTTTTTTTCTCTTCGACATTTCAAACTTTCCATAAATAAGTGAGAAAAAAATAAAGATCCAAATCTAGTTAATCCATTAAATCTAATCCCTGCTTAAGGGTTAAAAAAATTCAAATTAAAAACGATCAGATTAATCAACAGCAATTAAGAATTTCGAGCATCAAGCGCCATCTATATGTCGCATTCCTAACTAATTCAAATAGAATGATTTTCCATATACTTTAAGTGCCATCTCAACAATAGAGATTTGAACTACTCTTTTGGCTCTTAATCTGTTGACTTTACTATCACCTGGAAGCTGAGGTTTAACAGTTGTTTTGATTTGATGACAATTATTTTTTTGCTTTTCTTGTTGATTTCATATTTTAATTTTTCTTTTTAATTTTAATTAACTCAAATTACTCAGAGATTTAATGTTCTTTCTTAACGGATCAATCTAATTCTGTAATTTTCTCTCTTCTTGTTCTTCTTCTTTAAAGAACAATCATCTTTTTCTGTTCTTCTCTCATCTTATCCATTGACGTGTAGGTGGATTTTAGATTTGGTGACTTGTGATTTGTTTTCTTGTTATTCTTTGAAATCAATAAATCAAAATAATGGGAATTCTATGGTCCAAATTTCGGGTAGGTTGATTTACTACTTGTGTGTACATTCAATTGTTTTCCTGGTTTGTGATACCTTTTCACTGATTTTCTATATGTTTTTCTATTTTTATCATTTCTTCCTTGGCTTTTTGGGTTCTACAGAGTAAAGAGACTTCAGTTGAAAGATTGGAAAGGATTACCGATGAAATTAAAAGTTTAGAGGATCACAAATTTTCAACAATTAAACAGCAAAGAAATATAATCTTCCTACTTTTTGTCATCTCTGGTCTCATATATATTATTGCCCTCGGGGTTTTCTATTTCTTTTATTTACCAATAAGTCCTGATTGGGCTAAAAAATGTTTCTATTCACTTCCATTGTTGGTGTTTCCTTTAGTGTAAGTATTGAATCTTAATCATGACTCTCAGAGTTGTTTTGTTTTATCATGCTAATCTTGATTCTTCTCTTGATATTTTTTATAGAGTTTATTTATTGAAACAGTTTCTTTCTTGGTATTACCTGCAAGTGATAGATAAAAAAGAGGATAGATTGAAGGATCTTCGCCGAGAGAAGAGAAAAATTCTGGATAAGGTTATGGAAACCGAAACTTATAAAGTAGCTAAAGAGCTTCTGGAAAATACGATCCTTCATCATTAAAAGAATCTCGTCCCAATTCATGTCCATCATCTCCGGCCAATCTTCCATACTCATTGAAACAACAACAACAACAACAACCACAAAGAGTCCGTTATCGAGGTTCAATGCCGCCCCCAATGCTCAATTCTAGTTTTAATTTCAGTAATATTAAAACTCCTGAAAGGCCTGTTAACAGTTTAAATTCATCACAAGTCTCTATTAATGCAAATTCACCTCAACAAATTGGCCGAGTTTCCATGATTCGTCCTCCATCCTTACCACAATCATATCCCGCTATCCAAGCCCCTAGACTGGCACGTCCAATATTGGATCAAAATCGATCCATTGTCGATAAATTGGTTGATTATGTTGTTGGTGATGGACCAAATAATCGATTTGCTTTAATATGTGCCATTTGTAGTGGACATAATGGTATGGCCTTAAAAGAAGAATTTGAATTTATTTCTTTTCGATGTTGTTATTGTATGTCCTTTAATCCTGCAAGGAAACAGCGACACTTTGCTCCAAATATAAGTCAAACTGAGATACCTGGAGACAAGAATCTTTCACCTTTAATCGATGAACCTGAAAGTGATAATGATAATAATAGTCGACAGGATGAAAATGACCGTCAAACGACAAAAATTGCCGAAATTAAGGAAAAAGGAGAAACATCTGATAGTGATAATGGTTCATCATCTAAAACAATCAAACCAACAATAACATTATCATCAATTGAAGGTGATGGTGATCAGATTATTGTTGAAAAAGAAAATGATGAGCAAACTAATGAAGATCATGATAAAATCATTGATGGTGAAAATATCTCAACACAAATGGAGAAACAATCAGATGAACAATTAGATTGTCCATCTAGCCAAACTCCATCCAATCATCAATCAACAAATGATTAATCATTTAAAATAATCAATTGTAATGATGTAAACAAATCAAATGTCTCTATTAAAATCAACTCAAATTCCCTTACATTTTAGTCAAAAACTAAATAATGTTCACCTTTAATTCAATTGCAATTTTAAATGCAAACAAATCCAAGTCCAAAATTGTCGGAAATGTTGTTGACCGTTTTTTAAATTTTTCGTTTTTTTCAAATTCGGTTAGTTTTCTCTCTCATCCGATAGATGGCGCATTCATTTTCTCCAATTTCTGAATTTGATTCACTTTTTTTTCATTTATTGAATTTTATTCACAATTAGTGTGATTGTTTTGTTAATTATTCCTGGTCTTGGGCCGGCCATTGATTCACTTTCATTTTGATTAGTTACAATTAGAAAAAATCTCTGTCTAAACAAATTTATTATCTACGTTACAAGTTGTTTTTGTATAAAATTATTTGGTGTTTTATATTACTATTCATTTCCACCATGTTACCAAGGATAACATTCTGAAGGTAAATAACAATTTTATTTTCTATTCTATTTCTAATTGAATCAATTGTATTTTGTTAATTGGAACTTTTTTTTCTCTTTTTCTTCATTATTCCTTCTTTCCTCTTTAGTTTAAATTTAGATTATTATTTTTGATGAAATTCTTTTAACCATTATTACCTTTAAACAGTTCATATCTTTGGGTCTCTGTTATTTGGATCTTCCTGAAATCATCTTTTGTTTGTTGTTATTTTTTTATATTTTTTCTCTCTCTCTTTTCTCTCACACCATAATCAGTATTAAATAATTTGATTTGTTTTGGAAACTAATTTACCTTGGGGAAAGTGTATAATGGAATTAGGGCTTCGAGTTGTCCGAGGACCTGACTGGAAATGGGGACAACAAGATGGTGGTGTAGGCCATGTTGGAACAGTAGTTGAAATTGGACATTATAATTCATCAAGTATACCTCATAAAACGGTTGTTGTTCAATGGGACTCTGGGTCGAGAAGTAATTACAGAGTTGGTTATCAAGGATCATATGATTTAAGAGTTTTCGACAATGCTCCTGCTGGTGCTCATCATCCAAGAATTCAGTGTGATGAATGTGGATCTGAAGGGATTATCGGCATGAGATGGCAATGTGCAACCTGTATTGACTTTGATCTGTGTACACCATGTTATATGAAAGGAGCCCACGATCTGAATCATCCTTTCATTAGAATTGATACTATTTATCATCTCGGGTTGGTCTCTATTACTATTACTATTTCTCTTTCATCTTTTTTATCTTTTATTCTTTTCTAATCTTCCTCATTCAAGACGATGTTCCATTTTTCATACATCACCCATATTTCATCAAAGAATAGGAGCTTTTGCTTATCTTTTGATAGTGAACAACATGATTAATCTAACAAGTTCTTTCAGTGCATTCATTTTCTATTATTATTTGTTTCTTTTTCCAAGGACTTTCTCCGTCTAATCTTCAGATTTATTTCTAAACCTTTGATACTTTTAGGTGAAGAGATGTTATTTTCTTTTCTCTCTCTCTCTCTCTCTCTCTAATGTTTTTTATTTATCTCTCTCCTCTCGTTTAATAGACTTGAAATGCCAAAAAGATCACTTAACAATACAGTGAAAATTCAAGCTCGTGGTATATTTAAAGGAGCTCGAGTTGTTCGTGGCTATGATTGGGAATGGGACTCGCAAGATGGTAAGACGAAAGAGCAACGATTGGTGTTTTTTTTTATCAATGAGATTAGACAAGAAGAGATAATAATTATGGTCTTTCTTTTTTCCTCTGTCGGCTTAAATAGGCGGTGATGGTAAAGTTGGTGAAGTGATTGACATTCGTGGCTGGGATAAAGCCTCTGGTCGGTCTGTTGCTAGTGTAAGGTGGGCAAGATCATCAAATGTTTATCGTGTTGGTCACAAAGGAAAAGTTGATCTTAAATGTGTTGTTGATGCTCCCGGTGGTTCCTTTTATCGTGACCATTTACCGATCCTTGGACAAAATTTTGTTGTTTCTGGTCCACCTGAATCTTTAATTGGTGCTGCGGCTACTGCTCGACCTCAATTAGGAACATCATCATCATCATCATCATCTACAACCACAACATCATCTTCACAGCAACAACAACAACAACAACCAACACCAGTATCACAACAATCATCATCATCGTCATCATCAAATCCTCCAACTAGTGGAGCAATGGCCCGATTCAATGTCGGCGATAGAGTTCGAGTTATTGCCAATACAATTGAAGAGCTTAAATCACTACAAAAAGGTCATGGTGGTTGGAATCCACGAATGGCTCAATATATCAATAAAATTGGAACTGTTCATCGAATTACCGATAATCGTGATATAAGAGTTCAATTTGATAATTCTCGAATCCGTTGGACATTTAACCCCGATGCCTTGGAGAAATATGTTCATTATCTCATTACTGATCTTGTCAAAGTGATTGATGATTTAGAACAAGTGAAAAAATTACAACGTTATCATGGAGAGTATGTACCTGACATGAGAAATTTACTCGGAGTCACAGGTAGAGTGATGAAAGTTTACTTCGATGGTGACCTTAGGGTCAATTTCGACGGGAAAACATGGACCCTTAACCCTTTATGTGTAACCAATTTATCAGGTGAGTAAAATATAAAACTCATCTCATCGAATACTAGTAATTAAGTTAAAATAATTTGCCCTATTGATTTAATTTTAATTACTGATTATCTTAAGTTCAAATCTTACATTTAAACCCTTTTTTTTTAATGTTCACAATTGTAATCAATTGAAAAATGTATTTTTTGTTGTTGTGTTGATCAGCTAGAAGATCATCAGGACAATTGATTATTTCAGGTTAAATTAGCAATTTGATTGATCTCTAATTCAATTGCTAACCTTGCCCTCAAGTTAATATTTTTCACGGAAAATAATGTCATTATATATATATTATATGTTAATTAGAATTATATAATTAACGATAGTTCATTGATTTTTTTATTCTGTTCTGTATCCAACATCAGGGGATCACCTTTTTTCTTATTCGGGTTTTTCCAAGTTTACTTTTTTTTCACTTTTACCTGTTAACTGTTAATTCATTTTCCCCATTTTCTTAAATCTTTTGATTCCTTTTAAATATACAATTAACAATTCTTATACCTTTTCAATGGAAAATCCTTTTTTTACCTCATCTTCATTCAATGTTTCTTATCATGAACATTATTTAGATGAAATTTAGATTGTGACTTACAATATATTCAAAAGATGAATTCATTAATTGTTGAGTATCATCATCATCATTTTTTTCATAACAGTTGATATATTGTTATGAATATGAGCTTAACAAAAGTTTGATTTGATTTTAAACAACGCCTTCACAAGTAAACATAATGATTAGCATGTTAATCAGCATTTGAACTAATTGAGATAACCTGTTGATGGAGAGCAATTTAAATTTAATCCATATCCTCATCAGATTAAAATTTTGAGAAATTTTTCCCATTGATATGATGGTGAAGACAGAAAACTCTCTAGAGTTTTATCAAAATCTTAATCAACTGATAGTAATAATTAAAATTGTGATTTTAAAAATGATCACAATTAACTTTTGGAAAACTGAGAGAAAACTAATTAATCTTCTCATACCAATCGTTGACACTTGAGCTATTATTTTAAATTGTCCTCAATTTGATATTGTAGCTTTTCCCATTGTTAACTCTTAATTGTTTCCTGTTGTATTAAACCAATTGTTGTTGACTGTGTTTATATTTCTCTTGTTGTTTTCTATCAATTGTTGATTTTTACCATGAATTCCTTATTAATTCATTTCTCGTCTTCTATGTTTTCAGAATTAGAGAGAACAAAACAAACAAAAGAAAAGAAGCCCGATGCTAACGCCTGGAAGGATTGGGTTGATGAACTTGGAGTTGAAAGTTCTAGGGATATTTATTCGACCACTGGAAATAGCACCTCATCGTCAGTACCAACCACCGACAAGAAATCAATCGAGGCGAACACTTCCTCCAGTAGTAATATCAACAAAACCAACAATAACAATAACTTTAACCATCCAAGTTCAAGTAAATCTTCAAATGAAAATAGTACAAGTAATCTGTTAAATGACACAATCGATTGTAATTTGGATCCTAAATGTTTAATTTGCGATGAAAACATGGCCGATATACGTTTCTATCCTTGTGGTCATCAAGTTTGCTGTAGTGATTGTAGTGACTGTATCGTCCGAATGAAAAAGTGCATTAGCTGTAAACAGGTGATAAAAAAATTAATGTACTTAGATTCAAGTGAAGGTGTAGTTTATGGTGTATTTGATCATAATACATCAAGTAATGGAGCATCCACCTCATCATCATCATCTAATTTTCCCTTTGGTCCATCATCATCATCATCATCATCAACCACCTCACTGCTCAATAATAATCTTGCCAAATGTATCAAATCTGATGTTGATTCAAATATCGATCAGCTGATTAGTAAGAATCAATACCTTGAATCAAAGATGATGAAAATTGAAGAAGTCGCTAATTGTGGTATTTGCTTGGAAAATATCAAGAATGTTATATTCTTATGCGGTCATGGTGCTTGTTCTGAATGTGCCAGCACTTTACAAATATGTCACATGTGTCGGAAAACCATCACCAAGAAGATTAATGTTTATTGATTTTCTTTCTTTTCTCTCTCTCTTCATCTCTTCATCTCTTCATCTCATCATATTTTCACCATTCTCTGTCTCTCTCTTTCTATCCCTTCACGATTTCATCATCATCATCTCCATCGAACATCATTTCCATCAGTTTATCATTGCCACCATCAACCACAACAATTACAATAAGAAAAGCTCGTCATGAATCAAGCCCAACAGCCTTCACACTCTGTCACTTCATTCAGCCCCTTTAATTAATCTAGATATCATATATATAATTTCATTGAATTAGCATGGCAGGCAAAGCTAATTGTGATACGTATTTAATTTTCATTTTGTGTCAGTATTTTTAACATCAGAAAGGAAAGATAATTTTACCAAAGCTAACAATTTAATAACTATTATTATCACTATTGATTTAATTTACATCTAAATGCAAACAATGAGATGTAAACAATGAAAAACAACAACAACAATCTAACCCTAACCCCTTACCTTGATTAGCCTTCATACAATTATTATTATTGTGTTTGTCGGATTTTCCTGAATCATTCCTTGATTTGCTTCAATTGATAACAATTTACCCTTGAATGCAAGACCATTTAATCACAATTAGAATCGCCTTTGTACATCAATCTCTTCCTCTCTCTCTCTCTTCTCTGTATAAATCATTGTTTTCCATCATCTTATTCCCTACCAATTAACCTATCTGATTATCTTCCAGTTTTTAATCAATCAAATTAATCACTAAATTGAATCTAGAAAAATTTACTGATTAATCTATTTGAACAGTTAATCGACCCTTAATTATACATCAAGCACTTTGTCAACAATTAACACTTAACTTTTTTGTGGTTTTGTTGCTTCCTCTCATATACTGTGATAGATTTTACATTAACTCTCCTAATTATCTAATTTTTGATTATTTACCTTTAACTTTTTGTTCCATTATTGATGATTAATCCAAAAATGTGACATGTAATTTAATTAATCAAACAAATTTACACTTTGATTAATTCAATTGCTAATCCAATTGCTTTCATCATCACTGACTAAGCCTTAACAAATTAACCCAATCAATTTATTATACACAAAATAGTGATCATCAAATTAATCATAATCGATTGTTTTTTTTACTCAATGGTTAATTATTAGCTCTCTTCCTTCATAATCAGTGATATCTGATTGTTAATGACACAAAATTAATTACAATACGTATTCAGTTAGCAATCACAATTACATATTAATTTTTGTTTTCCTCAGTTCAATTGCTCAAAAGGGGCTTTGCTTTTTTCTCCTTCTAAATCAATCTGATTGAGAAAAATCGATCTAATTATTTAATTATTATCCATCATCTATTATTATTATCAATCGATTATTATTATTATCATCATTTATGTATCAATTGCTTGACCCTGTCAATTTAATTTCATCAAAAAGTTGCCTGTTGAGTTATCACATTACAAGAAGCATATTTGTCACCATTGTGAGGCTGATTCTCGAAATTAATTGATGAAACAAATTGTATAATATCTATGATCGTCATCTTTTCACACTCTTAATTGGACACTCACAAAAATCAACACCGACCATCATCTTATCATCTTTATCCCATAATCATCACAATTAACCTGATTATCTCCATTATTTCATGAGGATCGAACTGAATCAAACAATTTCCTCTGTATCCCTTCAAAAATGTTTCAATTATTATTCCTCATCCCTATTCTCTCTCTCTCTCTCTTACATTTTCTCCCTCACCTTGATTTTTTCTGTTCTTTAATTTTTTGCTTCAAGAGGGATAAATAAATTCATAAATAATGTTGATAATTAACTAGAATATTGTCTCAATCATGTTTCTTTCATTATCTTCTCGATAAAAGATTCAGTTTTTATATCAAATTTCTGATCCCTAAAAAAGTTACTCATCAAATAGAATTGAAATCGATCCAATCAATCGGTATTGATTTAAATTCGTAATTTTAATTACAATTAAATTAAATTAAATTTAGAATTTAAAAATGTGGCTCCATCTCGCGGAGAAAAAAAACTTACCCTTAATTCATTTGAACATGTGATTGGATTTTTTTTTTAAATGTTTTCATTTTCACTTGTAAAAATCATGTTGATTATGTTGACTGGTTAATTTATTTCTTATTTAATTAGTATGTTTAATTGTTCTTTCAGTAAATTAATTGGTAATTCATTATGAGTCTATTTAGGCAATCGATGCGATTGCTTAGAGACAATCGAGTCTCATCCACCATGATCGCTTCCAGTGGATTTGTTTACTCTCGGTGTTATAACTTATCACCTTTATTATCATCTTCTTGTACTCTGACCTTAATTAAATCATATAAAACTGTATCTAAGCCTGGTAAACCTTTTGAACGAATGTATCCAACTGGACGTTCTGTGGTTTTCCATTTGAAACGATTATCTGATTCAATGAAGCTACAAGAGATTGAAGGATCAGCCATTCTTGAAGATTCTACTTTTAAAGATATAATTCAAGATTTAGTCATTAATTTAGAAAATACTTCATTGTTTTACAATTATTCGATCAACGATTTATGTTCTATATATCGTAGTTTACTGGAGATTGGCCTGGAAAAGAACCATGAAGTAATTGACCTTTTGGAGCAAATGATTTGTAATGGACTTGATGAAGCGACGATAAGTGATTTTCGTATTCTAATTGCTATTCATCATCTCATCTATCAAACGAAAAATGGTAAAAAATTATTCAGTGAAATATCTTACCGAATGGAGCATTTGATTTCCAATATGAATTTAGAACAATTAATTGGACTATTAAGCTCACCAGTTGATCGAATGCCAACTAATTTCCTGGAGAAAGTGGAGCAAACATCAACCATCGCAATCTCCCAAATAACTGATCATAAACCTTTCGCTGGACTTTATTTGAAATTTTTCGTACGATTGGCCAATTATGGTCGTCGACCTTTACCCCTGTTACATGCATTAAAAAACGGACTCAAGGAATGTGACCTAACCGATTATCCGGATCCTTTGCATCTAATCAACACAATCGCTGCTCTAAACAAACTTAACTATTCTGATCTACTTTTATTGCAGAAAATTGAAGCCTCACTAATCATCAACGATAATCTGAAACTCGTTAAAATCAATGGACTTTCTGCTTTACTAACTGCCGCTGGTAAAATGAATTGGAGATGTGATTCAATTTTAAATCAAGTGTCACAATTTATTCTCGATGAAAGTTTACCCCTTCGGCAACAAGAGATGGTCTCATTTGTTTTGGCCGCGTCCAAATTAAACTTTCACCACGATCTATTACCTAATCTATTGAGTGAGAAAATATTACCTCAAATTGATACAAAATCTTTAACCGATTCATCCATTTACCTTGATTTCGTCTGGTCCCTGGTGATCATGGGACTAGTTCCCGTTAATATGCTTGAATCCATTTGCAATCCATCGTTCATTCAAATGTTAAAATCCAACAAGAACCCGGAAGCCAAATTTTCCAAATGGAAACTGGCCAATATTTTGACCTTCTCTCGATTAAATAATATCAAAGTCAATGATAATATCGATTTATCAAGTTTCCAAGCTCCACCGAGAAGTATTGAATCAACTAATCAGGGAGCTTTTACCACCGAAATGTTAACCAGTTTCATCGCCAGAAAACAAGATTTAATTACTAATTTCGAATCACCAGTTGGTTGTCTTATTGGTAATTATTAATTTTCCTTGCTAATCCAATTACAATTTGATTGTAATCATCTTTTTTTCCAATTGTATCAGATGCTGAATTCATTATGAACAAAGATTTAAAAGTATTACCAATCAGTGATTTCGGAAACCATGTTAATCCATTGAAAGATGTACCCGCTGATTATAAAAGGTAAACAACAATTTAAATTATCTACAATCAATTCTTTGACGATATTGATGATATTGTTTTTTTGTTACACAGAATTAGTATAATTGGATTTGGTTTCAAGGATTTAATCATTAATGATTCCAGTCTAATTGGACCGAGGAGATTTGTTGTTGACGCTTTAAACAAATTGGGAACCAATGTAATTGTTATTAGATCTAATGATTTAAATCAACAAATGAAGCCCGTTGATAGAGTTAAAACCCTTCGTACTAAAATAATTGAGATTTTTTCTTAGTCAAAAATTTTGAATGTTAAATAAATTTAATTGGAAAACAATTAACAATCAATGGTCAAGATTATTTTCAATATCTTTGGGTTTGAATATTGTGAACGGTGTCGATTCAGATTAGTGTCATGATCTTTAGTCACCTTGAGAGTTTGTTAGACTTTTACCATCATGTTTATTGGAATATATCAGGGAAGTTGTTCCATAAATGTGATAGAGAAATAAATGGTTCCTGAAATTCTGTAATTAGAAGATTTGGAAGATTAGAAATTGTAAATTTACGATTCATCTTCCGAGGTCACAAAGTTGACCAAGAAGAGCGACGTAGATTCAACAATTAGTCTAGCAAACATTCTGCTTCAACGATAATAAAATTAACGCTGAAGAAAAGGTTGAGTGCTAAAATAGAATAATTTTTCAAGAGAAAAAAACAACCAACCTTTCCAACCAAAGCGAATATAAATCAACACCAGACATGGAAAAACATGGCGATGGAACCCAAAAGCCAAATTTCTATAGAAAATCAGGTCCACGTGTTGATCGACATTTCAAACTTTTTCGCTCCAAACGATTTGGAGAATCCACAATTAACTAACCACATGAGAGTTCCACCAAATTACAAATTACTCAAGAATTGGAGAAAAGGTCAATCCATAGGCCAATTTGATCCAATGATTTACCATCGATCACCCGTTGAGTTACCATAACTTTTAGTCAATTTAACCACCAGATACTTGATGTTGAGTAGAGATTAAGGTAAACAAAGGACAATTAACTCGAAGAACAATTAAATAATTAACCAAAAAAGCAAGTTAATCATCACTTTTAAAGGGAAAATTTTCATTTAAAAAATTGAGAGTTTCCGACTCGGCAACACTTCCGACTACGAGAACAACGGAAGTGGAAGATGCGCCATCTTGAGGTTCGAGAAAAAAACAAAAGGTAAACAAATTGAAATGAATTGAATGTTAATTGTTTTCTTTCAAGTTAATTGTGAATCCATAATCATTTGCAATTCTGTGATTTTTAGCAAATAGCACTTTTGTTATCTGTCAACCTGATTGGATTAATGTCAACAATTAAGGTAACCTACATGATAGGTTTTTGTTTTTTTCTCAAATGTTTTCTAACCTGATTAATTGAAATGATTATAATTGTTGGAACAATTTGATGACATCAAGTGATTGTGTTGTTTTATTTAATGTAATTCTTTTGTTTATAGAAATAATTTCCTTATAAATGGATCGTAAAGGTAAAAATGTTAAATCAGTTGAAATTCGACCTCGGAATAATTTGGATTCATCGGCTCCTGAGCCTCGAGGTAAAGAGCGAGTGACTCCCAAAGTATGGAAACCAAAGCCTTTTAGATGTAAAATTAACGACGAAATTAACAAGTTGAAAGCAATTACTTTGGAATCAACGGTAAAAACTGGTAAGAATACCCTAAGGCGATGATTATGTAGATCACCACAAGAGAAGTAAAATAGAGATTAAAATTTTGCTTCATCTCTTTTCCTCAAATAATCAGAATTACCTAAAGATCCTAGTGAACCTCATGAAAACGACGATCCTGATAGTTCAAGCTCTAAATCAGTTGATAAGGATGTGAAAAAATCTCCCGATGATCACCAAAATAAAAAGATCACAACAATCGATCAAAAGCTTTTTCTAGGAAAATTTACCGACATGGACATTAAAAACGATCTGGACACTCTGGTTGACATTATTCTTCATCCACCTTTTCACCGCGAATACGTTAATCAAGCCTTAACCAGTGAAATAGAATATACATTTTACACCATCATGATTAAGTTAATTCGTTTCCAGGACAGAGTTTATCACAAGAATCCAGAGAAATTAAATACTAAACGTCGATATGTTCGAGGTTTCAACGAAGTCAAAAAAATGGTTCGTCTTAATAAAGCGAAAGCAGTTATAATTGCTGCCGATATTCAGAAAATCAAAAATGATGGAATTCTTGATCAAACTGTTAACGATACAATCAAATCAACTTGTGAGAAGCAAATTCCCGTTATTTTCACTTCAACACGAAATCGTCTTGGTAAACTTTGTCATTCTCATGATTCTAATTTCAGTTGTGTTGCGATCCTCGATTACAATGGAGCTCAAGTAATTAACAATCAACTTAAAACATGACAATTTTAATCTAATCAATGATATTCTTGTATTTACACTTTTTCTCAGGATCATTTCCATAAATTAATCACCCTTACTGACGATGCTAAGGAGGTTTACAAGGTTAATCGAATCAAATTAACCGATCATCTTAAAAGTTTATCGGAAGTTTGTTTAATGGAGATTTTAAATTTTAAAAGAAAATAATCAAATTCCGGAAAGTTTACAAATTTACAGGGAGACAATTTACTCACCATTACAACGGAACATTCATTGTTATATAAAAGCGATTAACAAAGAGAAAAATTAACATCATCTCGATTTCCTTGGTATATCTAATAGACCATCGGTTAAAGATGAACTTTTTGGTGGTTTTGGTGTTGAAGGTTTACAATAAGACGATGGTGAAGGTGTTAATGGACTTCTTAATTGACCCTCAGGTGTACGTGTAATGGCCGGTGAATAGGTGCCTCGAAGCTCTTTATCAGCGTGTCTATTGATTCCTAACTTTGTGGTTGCCAATCTTTGAGCTGCCGGTGACATGGATCCCAAGCTTTCAGTGAACGTTTTACCTCCGCTATAAATAAGTGGACTATTTTTCAAATATTGAGCTTGTTTAAAAGCCTCTTTCTTTTTATCTCGATTTTTTTTATTAATCTTCTCAGCCAATGCATGTCCAATCCTCTCTCTTTCAGGTACATCGGGTATCTTAAAATGAGGTGTTCCTGGTGTATTTGAACTTCCAATATAAGGAGATTCACTTGACTCTAAACTATATGGTGTTCCTTCAATCATACCCCAGGTCATTAGCGGAGTATTTGTAACTCCTGGTGCCGGTGATGGTGTTAATGACAGGTAAGAATAGCCTCCGACTCTCGATACATCATCGACCATTTCTTTACCATCAATACCAATTTTTCCTGATCTTTCTTTACAATTAGCTGCCGCTGCTTCAGCTAAAACAGCTCCATTAAGCTGTTCATTAAATGGATTACTTTTGAAACGAGTATTTTCATGGCAAATTGTTGTATGTTTGGTAGAGTTAATTTGATCTTCTATCTTCAATCCATCGGGTACAAACATTAAAGAGTTGAGGCTTTTATAATGAACAGTTAACTGATTCTGTGGATTATCACCTTCAATCATGGATTGATTTTCACCGATTGTTAAACTTTTATCATTCCCTTTAACATATAACCATGGATATTTATCTCGGTGTCTTTTTTCAGCTTCTTTCATGATTTCATCGAATGAGGCATTATCTTCACTTGTATATTTGGCTAGAAAAGCATTCAAAGATAAATTGGTTTTGATCTTTTTCAGTGGTTCATTTGTTTCCATTGTCATCTCCTTGCTTCTATCGGCTTCATAAGAGATTCCAATTGTAGGAGTATCAAAAGTCGTCGGTGTTTGTGATATTAATCCAGTTAAATCACCAGCTATATGAACTCCATCCAATGGACCACCAAATGATTTCAATTGTTGTTTCATTTTACTCAAAACTGGAAAAAAATCTCTCTCAATAATTTTATCGAGAGCATCAATGAACTCATCTTCCTCCAGAACTATTTGCTTCCTTTTACTTGAAGATGAAGACGAACAAGATTTCAATGATAAATTATCATCTCTCTTAATTAGAGCCATCAAACTGAAATAAATTATCACTTTAAATTGAAAGATTTTTTTTCCAAAAAATTATAATCACAAACACAGAAACAAAAACAAACGATTTTTAACTTGGAACCCAAACTTAGCAACTTAATTGAACAGTTCAAAACCCTTTCTACCGAAATTCTTTTACCAAATAAAATTATCAAAGAGAGTAAATTAATTTAACAATTAAATGTAATTAAAATTTTCCCAATTTTTCAAAATGTAATCAAAATAATGAGAGAGAAAAAAAAATCAAAACAAATGACGAAAGAAAAAAGCGCCACCTCTCGGATAAGATCAACACTAATTTCAAGTGATTGGAAGTGAAAGTCACGTTTTTTTACCTCCTGTGAATTTAATTAAAATTTAATGTGAAATTCAGTATAATTAAACTTTAAATTAATAAAAGTGCTTCGGTTACGGTGTCACCTGGTTCTGACAAAAAAATTCTGAGGAAAAACGAGTGAAAATTAGTAATTTTCTTAAAAATAAAACAAATGGACCTTCAAAAGCTAAGTAAGTGAATCTATATAAATGTGCAAGGCCTTTGTTTACACACTATACATTTGAAACATTATACACTTAAAAACACTATACATCAAAACATTATATACCTTAAATAACTATAACAATTAAATAACTCATATAATTAACCAATTCCAACCCTTTCTTAATAGATGATAAAAGGCTCTCCAACAAGAGTAAATTCAACATTGTTAAATCCTACTTTGAAAGAAATCATGAGAACAATTTGAACAAGGAAACTACCTTGGCGGAAATTACTGCTTATCCAATTGTAAAATACCTTCAACTTGCAGTTAAAGATAATGTATTTATAGGAACACTCAAGGATGAAGAACTTCTACTGATTATAAAATTCATTGAAAGATTAATTGATATAAGAGAAGCAGAAGCTGTGCCAACAAATGAAGACTCAGAGATTCATGTCCAAGATTTATCCAACAATCAAATAAAGAACCTTCTTTCCGTTCAATTTGATGTCAAACATAATCGACCAAAAACCTGGTTCAGTGTTGAACATTTAACGATTCATCATACAATCATCATAAGAATTCCAGGTACAAAGAACAAGAATGATCAAAGAATTGGCAATATTGTGACTGAACAAGTGGAAAATCTTCTTGAAGAGGCAAATGATGACATCGGATCGGCTGAAGAGGTTGTCCCAGGCTTTGATTCGGCTAAGATTCGTTGCTCAAATGTTGCAGAGAGGAAGAAGATTTTCTCATATATTTCAAAACAAAAACCTGAATGGGAAGCAAAAATACCACCGATAAGTGACCCTCAAGTGAAAATAATAGATGTTAAATTTTCCACTGAACAATCAGAGCAATGGATCGAAAGACTCATCATAAAGAATAGATGGAAAAAGTGTTGGAAAATTCAAATTAAACATGCGTATCGTTCAGGAAACTATTACGATGTAATAATAGAAATTGATCCAGCTCTTCGTGAATGGTTTGAGAAAACAAACGGTCAGATATCAGTGGGCTATAAAAAGGCAAAAGTTGTTGACCATTTTGATATTCGTCAATGTCAAAGGTGCACAAAGTTCGGTCATTTATCAAATCGATGCTCTCAAATTGGAATCTGTCCCTACTGCGGAGAAAAGAATCATATTCATGAAGAGTGTTCGATTAAAAATGATCAAAACAAATGGCGATGCCCAAATTGTAAGAAGATGGGACACAATGCTTGGGATAAAAATTGTTCTTTCTTTCAGGAGCGCTTACTATATGAGCTTGAACGAAAGAATTATCAATATAAGATAATCATGGCCTAGAAGCAAAGAAATTTTTCTACCCTTTAGCGTCATGATTAAGACTCGACAGCTCATCGAAAACATGTTAATTCCCAAATGATCCTCTTAATTATCCTCAACAGCTAATCCAAGTCTCATTTCTCTTCCTAATTCTTGGACAAAGCTTACACTTAATTGTTTTTTTCCTTTAAACTGAAAATAAATTACACTTAATTGTTTTTTTCATTCTAAACTGAAAGTTAATTACACTTAATTGTTATTTTCATTTTAAACTGAAAATTAAATACAATATCCAGTCTTGTTAATCGGTAGAAAATAAATGGAAACATAAACAAACTTAATTGCCAATTAAAAATCTTAAATTACAAAATAAACAAACAAATTAACGAAGAAAACAAGAACTAAAATCAAACAACAACTTTCCTCTTTTTCCCTTTCTCATTTTTCCTTCATAACAATTAAAACAAAAACTTCACAATTTAATTATTTGTTAAAAATGGAATTGAAAAAAGTCTATCGAGAACTTCAAGCAGCGCGATTAGGGTGGATTAAATCATCGCCCAAACTTGATAAGAGTTACTTTATACAGTTAGAATCAGGAGATGCTGAACCCTTGGTAATTGTTAACACGATTCTGAACTCGATTGTTAATTCATCAAAAAAAATAGTGAGTTGTCGAAAAAGACACAATGGTAGACTAGAGATTGGAACTCTGTCTGAAGTGGTAAAAACGGAAGTGATTCAGTTCATATGTGAAAAATTCAAATCAACGGTAATATATGATTATCAACCAACTCCATCTTCAATCTACTTTAAAGTAAAAAACACCGTCTCCTCCTTTGTTTTTGTGCTAAATAATATAATCATCTCGAACTCTCTTGATGAAGATCCGGAAACATTTGTGAAGGATATTACCTGTGAAGAAAATTACTCAACAATTAGACTCAACATCAGCAAAGTGAATAGAGAGAAGCTACTGGACCAAGATGGCCACATATTATACCTTGGAAAATCTTTCCCTTTTTATGATTTCTTTGATAAGGTAATGTGCAAATGTCTCTCTTATGATCATCGTGAAAATCCAAACTGTGAAAAGAGATGTGTTAATTGTGGCGAAATTCATCAGAGTAAATGTGAAAAAGTCACAAAGTGTTACCTGTGCCAAGGAAATCATCAAGCATCCGCTTCAAAGTGTCCAATAAACAGGAAAGTGATCAACAAAGCAGCAAAAAATCACACAATTAACTATGAATGGCTCATCAGAGACGAAAATTACGATTAACTATCTAAATGCCAGAAAAGAAGCTGAGGTGACAAAGAGTTTCATAGAGAGAACATTAAAAATGAAACAGACAATATTGATACTGGTAGAAGCGAACAGATCAGTGTCTCTAAATTACTTATTAAATAAAATCATTATAAACGATCAGACAATTCTCATCTCATCACCGGATATTGATCTACACAACACTGAAACGACCCTTGTAAATTGTATCATCGTATTAATCACCTTTAAGAAAAAACAAATGTTTGTGGTGGGAGCTTATATTAGCCATATCAATCAGACAGAAAATATTCAGAACTTTGTTGACCTGGTCAGTACAGTTACAAATTACCCGATTGTAATAATGATGGATGCGAATTGTGAATCGCCGAAGTGGTCAATGAGAAACAACACCTCGAGAAACTCGGCGATATTAGAGCAACTCATGGAGGAAAAAGGATTAAAAGTAATCAACCAACCAACTGACACCAACTTCACCTTCCGATCAACTCAATACGCGACATGGATTGATGTGATTATGTCAAATACCTCAGAGATTGAACTGATATTAGGAGAAATAGTAACGGATCATAGAGAGTTCACAGTAGAAATTCAGCTTCAAGAAAAGTTCATTGAAATGAGTAAGAAATTCAGAGTAGATTATCTAACCAAGAATGAAATAGACTTTAATGTAGACAATGATCCGAATCTTTTCTTTGAAAAAATAGCCGCATTTCAAACAAAATTTAGACGAACAAGATTATGTCAGGAAAGAGCAAATAAAGGAATAAGTAAAATAAGAAAAAAGATTAGAATACTGAAAAGGAGAAATGGAAATAAAGAAGAAATCAGAGAGCTCGAAAGAAAGTGTATTGAACTGAGAGAGAGGAAAAGATCAGGTTCATATAGATACATGTTTAAAATTAGAAAAGATTCGAAATCGATGTGGAAGATTATAAACTCTCTAACGAAACAAAAAAGTCTCATTAGCTCACAATTATGTAACAGAAAAGTAGAACCGGACTTAAGTAGTTACAATCATCATAGGCCAAGAGTGAAATCGGAGGTGGGTGAGCCGTCAGTTTGAGTTATGATGAAATTAAATTAATAGAAAACATCAACTTCAAGAAAACCTCAGGAAATTCAGATAATTTCTCACTTGCAATGTGGAAAAAATTCTGGTTAAAAAATAAAGGAAAAATAGTGGAAGCAGTCGAATTGGCCTTCAAACAAGGAATTGTACCAGTCTCGATTAAAACCTTTGGAGCCCATTTCATCCCGAAACCAGATAAATCACTTAGACTGATTAAAATCTCCAACTATATACTGAAAATCTTTGACATCGTGCTGACAAAACGCCTACAGAGCAAATTGGATCAAATATTGATTCCTTTTACGCAATTTGCCTACCAAAGACAAGTTAATGCGACGGATCTTCATGTACTGTTATGTCAACATCTTGAATCGGGAATTTTGGTTTCGATAGATGCGACAAAAGCTTTCGATTTTATGTCATTAGAAGCGGTGTACCGAGAATTAAACGAGATCATTGATAAAGGAACAATCTCTATGATAAAATCATTTCATAGAAATCGAACCTTAAGAGCCAAAAGAGATGGAAAATTTCTGTACAAAAGCGATGACGTTGGAACGGCGGCAGGTTCATCTTTGGGTCCAATTCTTTTCATTATTGGATTAAACTCGGCAATTAGAGAAATAAGGAAACATGGAATTGAAATTTTGGCGTTTACGGACGATATGGGTATACTAACAGAAGAAGACAAAAGTTAAATCATCTAACAATCGTGACGAAAGAACTCGAAAAAATTAATTTAAAAATCAATCCATCGAAAACAATTACAATAAGAAAAGGAGAGATAAATGAAAAAAAAGTGGTTGGCAAATTTGTCTCTTTCTCTCTTCATGAAGCTCAACTTGCACGAATACTGAGTCGATTTACTCCGAGTTTTATGTACCAGATCAAAGTAATAAGACAATTACCGTTACATTACCAAAGAATGATAATCACAGCTTATTACACTTCAATGTTACACTCCATTGGACCCCATGCGCTGTATAAAAACAATAACTATCGCAATCTGATAAATAATCTACAGGGGATAGTGAACAACAGGCTGAAACTGGCACTTGGGCTAAATAAATACACATCAAGTTGGATCCCAATAATAGCGTATCGAATAAAAAATCCGGTCGTTGTTTGGCTCCAATCTCTACTAGAATCAATCAACCGCACAGCGAAAGATAGAAAGTCATGGCCAATATGTAATGAATTTCCGGATAGAATTACCTTCAACAATCCTGATGCAATGAGTGTTGAAAACTTTTGGAACAGAAAATGTGATCATTCGCCTCTGGTTAACGTATATTGTAATATTGGAAAAAACAAATTCTCTTTAGATGATGAATTGACGGTCTACGAAGTTGAATCAAGTGAAATCAAAACTTTTCTGTTAGCTTTGTTTATTCTTATAAACAAACATCAAGAATCGAGAGTAAATTATACATTACCAGAAAATATCCTTCGATACAGATCATCCAAAACCACATACATCATAATAAAGATGCTTGAGAGACACAAAGTTCTTTATACATGGAACGCAAGAAGACTCAACAGAACAACACCAGAGAATCCAGTTAGAACAATTAAAATCAACAATATGATAAATGATGAAAAGGATGTTAAAGAAAAAACAATCAAGAAAATCGAGCAAATGGTATTAACAAATCGAAGACCTTCCATTTACACACATTTATTCCCGACCTTCATGGAAAAATTTTACAATAGCTTACATGGTTACAATCTATCCAAAATAATCAAGATCATCTCATCAATCAACAATCTTTCAAATCAGATAAATGTCAGGAAAAAAAAGGTAAGAAACTACACCCACTATCTGAATGAATGCTCAAGCACAAGGTCACATTGGAGAGAGGACTGGAACTTAACGAATAAATTTGAAATTAAAGATAAATTATGTAAACTAGAAAAGATAAACGATATATTGATTGTAAAAACTGAGCGTCTAGCTCGGTAGTACCGCCAGTGGTGGGAAAATGTATAAAGCATTTGTCCTCGGGGGAGGATTGAAAATAAAGTGAAATTTAATCCGATCAATGAAACGAGGAACCTAAATTAAGATTGCTATCTTAATTTGCGAAAAATGGTTATTGTGATTAGTTGAACTACGAATTGACGAACTTTATTTACTCCCTGAAATTAATTTCCATCTCAACGACTGATTAATTTTGTTGTCAATTCATTTTTCCATCTGAAAGATTAAAGTCTCTCAATGTCCTTTCTTGTTTTCATCAATCAGATGATTTAACAATGTGTCTTAATTTGATGATATTTCTGATGACAATTTAACTTTGACCAGAGGCCAAATAGTTAACAGAGAGACTAATCCATACAAATATAAGTAAATCTACGAGGTGATGCTTGTTTTGTGATAGAATCAACAATTATAACTGATTGATCAGTTGATTATCTCTCATCAAAATAACAGGTAAGTTAATTGTTTCCTCCTTTAAGATTTTTGTCAATTAATTTTTCATTTTCTCTTTTAATTGATCGTATGTGACAAGATCATTTGTTTTTTTTTCGGTGCTTATGTTGACGATTTACCTACAACTATTTACTTCGTGTTGATTGTGGTTTCTTATATCATGTTCCAAGGCTGTTTTTTATTAACGGCGATTTTAATTCTCATCTTATTATGTTGTTATTCAGTTGATGGTGAAATTTCACCGAGTGGATCAACGAGAACCTTTAGTAAAATTTTTAATCTGATTGGGATTGTGGCTCCTGTATCAGAATCAAAGGCTGGCCCAGTTAGTGAAACTCAGACACAATCGGAACAATTAACCACGTTAAGACCATTAAATGGTAATTTTAACAATCAAGAGATGATTGAATCATTACAAAATAGATTGCAAGTCAATGAAGGCTGGACAATACCTCGTCTTGGATGGGATTATGATAATATGTGAAATCCATGGGTCATCATTTTAATCTTGACTAGAAATTAATTTCTCACTGATTAAGACTTGACGAAGTAAAAAAATTCTGTCAGAAATTAATATTATCTACAATATTTAGCTAATCGATGACCAACTAATCAATCATAACCATCTAGAACTCAGCTGATTTGTGATAAATGTTACAACAACGGAAAAGGTTATTATTATTATTATTATCAAATTATTCAATTTGTTTCTGTTTTTTTTGTTTCCTTTTAATTAATTATGAATTCCTAAATTTGTTTTCATCTTCTTGATCAATTTTGGCAGTTTTAGGAATCGTTTCAACTGTAACCATATCCTGATGAAGGCGATTTGATCGGTGAACTATTGGCTGGCCAAATGAATGGTTTCCAAGATTTACAATCAAAGTATCGATCACTTTTCCTTAATGGTCTGTACGATTTTTTAATATCTAAATCGTACTCAAAAGGTACAACCCGTCCAGTGGATAGAGGCAATAACGAAGGCCATGGTATCTCCTCCGTTTTAACAAAATCAGAAACTAATCTGATCAATTCATTGGACATCCATTTATCTTGATCACTTGACATTGGATCAACGAACGGTTTTCCCATGATTAACCAATAATCGAGGCCAGTTCGTGTTCCGTAGGTTGAATCAAAGATATCACCATAATTGGCTGGAATATAGTCTCTCAAATTTTCTGAAGATGTATAAGTAATTAAACCTTGATGGACATAATTTCCCGATGAAGCCAAAGCTAAACCCGATAACAAGGACGGACAATAAACTAAACGATCACCGATAAACTGGACTAAAGCCTCTTTCAGGCCCATTTCATATCCATCAAGAACTTCAGCAAAATAGAGCGGCAAAATGTTTTCCAACGATTCCACTTGTAATCCCATGTAAAGTGACGTTTGATTATCAATGAATTTAAAGTAATTTAAAATGTCATCTCCGGTCGGGGAAGGTGCGAGTCCTTTGACACTTTGTTCGGGCAATAGGTACGTGGACCCTTCGTCCTGCATGTTTAACATGATGATATTTAACCCACGATACGAGAATGAGGAAGATGCATAATCTTTAGGATCAAAAGTACATCGATTAAAATTATCGGTACCAGCGGTTGGTTTTGTTGGTACTTGAAATAGACCTGGACTGGCCGCGGAGAAATGTTGACCCAGCGATAGTTGACCTTTTAAAATTGATTCCAAAGGTAGAGATCGAAGACAAGTTAAAATGAAACTGGTCTCAATGCTATAAGATGAAGGTGGTCGGCAACCAACCTCTTCGGTGAACCAAATGAACCTTTGGAAAGCCGTTGCCTTATCATCACATGAACCATGAACGGGAAATCCAGAGGATAATATGAATCGATTGAAAGGATTTCCAGGTTGATTGTCAGAATTTAATATGTTTACTATTACGGAAGATGTTGAACCCGAACCTTGGCCGTAAATTGTAACCAATGAGGGGTCACCACCGAAAAAGGCGATGTTACTTTTGACCCATTGAAGAGCCAATGATTGATCCATTAATCCCTGATTACCTGGAGCTTCAGGATTATCGGTATAAGTGAATCCCAGAACTCCAAGTCGGTATTGAAGGGTTATCACAATGATACCTCCTCTTGCAGCTAAAACTGATCCATCATTGAAATTTTGATCAATCAACAAATTTGCCTCGTAATTGCCTCCAGGTAATATGACCAGAGTTCGGAATGGAAGTGATTTAATTAACTGTTCATCCGATAAAAGTGGAACCCATACATTTAATTGAAGACAATCTTCACTCATGTTGATCCCATTTCGCAATTGATTCACATTTATCATCAAAGACTCAGGTACCACCTGAGGGCATATATTAGCGGCATTTGTGGCCTCTATCACCTGATCTTTTGAACATATAAATGGCTGCGGTGGTTTGAACCTTAAATTACCGATCGGTGGTTGACCATATCGAATACCCTTCCAACTGTAAAGTGTCACCCCGTTAATCTGTTCAGATGAACCTTTGTAAATACAAGAATCGGTTTTAATCAAAGGCTGTCGTTCACCTTCAGTTCTTTCAATTATCAAAACAATCAACGTGAATTTAACAATTAAACAAAACATTTGGCTAAACGATTGATTAACAATCAATAAAATTACACACACAAATAATTATAACGTTCACTAGTCAATGTAATTTTAACTAATGGGAATTAATTTCCTTGTAGACCCTCTCATTATGCGGAAGTTATTGTTTCAAGTTAACTCGTTAAATTATATTAACTAGATTTACTTTTTATTAACCAATAAAATGTAACAATCAAACTCACCTTTCAATGTAAATGATTGATTGAACTTCAATTAACCCAAACCACTTGCAACAATTAACATTCAAATCCAATTCCTTTTCATCATGTAAATACCCATGTTATAACCAGTTAATTGTTCATTTCTGGTCTTCTTTTATTCAATCTAATTCAATACATCTCTTTGAGTTAAACATTAAATTAGAATCAATTTAAAAAAAGCAATTTAAATGTTCACTTATCGACCAACAGATGGCGCAACTTTCGGAAAATTTTGTTTTGTTTTGATTTTTTTTTCTTTGATTTGACATTTGATTGTTTACATTTTGTTTGTCATTTAGATTTTTATTGTAATTAAAACTTTGTGATTAATTGATTGGCTGATTATTTGGGTTAAATGGATGATAAACAATTGGAGGAAAGGTTAGCTCGTTTGAGAGGGCAGCCCACAAATAGGAAATGCGACCCACCGATTACCGTTTTCATCAATCAACAAGCAAATAAAACTGAACCTGAACAAACTGATGAATTACTCAAGAAGATGATTGCTGAAGCTGCTCTTGATCAAATTAATCGTGAATCAATATTAAAAAGGCAACAATCAACAGATGAAGATATTGCCAATCGTTTAGCGAGATTAAGAGGATTTTCAACTAATGTTAAACCACCAGAATTAACTGAACCAATTGAACTTGATTCAGATGAGGAATGTGATCAACTGGTAGAAAAGTTAATTGCTGAAACATCATTACCAGTTTTATCAGAATCACCTTCATTGAATCAAATGTTAACCGGAACCAAGAAAAATGTAAAATCAGCTGAATGTCATGATTCAGATTCTGATTCAGTTGGAGATTCAGATGAACTTCCTTGGTGTACTCTCTGTAATGAAGATGCTTCAATCAGATGCTATGGATGTGAGAATGACCTTTATTGTTCCCAATGCTTTAGGTTAGTTTGTTAATTAATTATTTCTAATCACACATGACAATCATAATAATAATCTTGTAATTTTCTTTTTCCTTCTAATTGTTGTCTTCATTTCCATTTACAGGCAATTTCATAGAGATCCCGACATGAGGAACCACAAGACTACCGGTTACACAAAGAAAAAGAAATCAACTAATTAATCCAATATTCCAATAACCACAATCAGAGTAATAAGGACCAAAATAATCTCTTCGAACCTTGAAATGTTCAATCAATTTACCATAAAGATAATTTCCACCATTTTGAAGCCTTATTAATGTTTCCACAATCTATTAATTAGACCGATTATCTATTATCCAATTTCATTTAATCCAATGGTTAGGATTATATTTTTTGTTTGTTTGTTTATCGTTTCAATGATTAACCAAAAACAAATTGTATCCAAATATTAATCTAATTGAAACATAAAGTAACTTCAATTGTGATTAACTGTTTACATGTCTCGAAATGTGAAACTGACATTTTGATTGTTGATTATAAACACTGAGACTTAGAGTTAATCACAATGTTTGTGGAAATGATTTACTAATGAAAATTTAAACTGCAAAGCAAATGATTAAATCGTTTGCTTTATACAATATACAATATTTACTTTCGTAATTAAAACCAGAATTTTTCATTCCACAATCAATAATAATAGTAATTATAATAATCTACCAGATAGAGAGACATTTACCTGAGTATTTGATGATATTATTCAGGTGAGAAAAAGTTCTTGGAAACTGAATCGGCAATCTCAAAATTCTGGGTCTTTGATTTCCAGAAATTTACTCGTTCGATTGTCATTACAATCAAATGACCTGATGGTTAAATTAATCTGAGAGCTGACAATTTAACGGTTACTATTTTTATCTGAAGAAATTACTATTTATCAAAGAGATCAAGTTCATTATCGCCTCAGGCATAATTTCAAAATAATTTTCTCTCTCTGTTATTATTACATTTCTTTCACTTTGAAATCAAAGGGAAATTGATCAAGGTTAACTAATTGTAGCAATTAAACAAGATTATTTAAAGCCTGATGGTCAATCTTAACGTAATTGAATTGAATTGATTGTTGTTGTTGTTGTTGAACCTTTCATAGTGATTAACATGATTGATTTTTTAAATTGTCGATGAAATAATTAAATTGTTGAAGCAAATTTATTCCTAAATGATTATTATTACTATTATTTTTGTTATTAATTGTTATTAATTTGATTTAGTGTAACGATTTACAATTTTCTTGATGATTAAAATGTTGGCGAAGCAAAAAAAGCAAATTAAGATAATTAATTTTTCCTAAATTGTACAATCAATTTTCATCTGATTATTATTATATACACATAAATGAAACATAAATTTTTATATATAAATATGATTAGTTAATTGTTTGGGAGGAAGAAAATTTTTTTAATCATAATCATCAACATCTACAATGTAATAGATTTACAATTGTAGTTGATGAAATTGCATCAATCATCAATTAATTGTTGATTGTATTAGTGCGCCAGTTTATTCAATTAGTTAATTAATGTTTTGCAAATTAAGATGAGGCTTGAAAATAATTAATTCCTGAATGCCGATCAAGTTAATTGTTGCCATAGCTGGAATAGGACAATAAGGGGACACAAATTGATTAAGTACTGATCAGAATCAGTGATTAACTTAATCAAAAAATTTTCTTGTTTCATTCTTGATTCTTGCTTGTTGGTTGTGTGTATGAGTTTCATGATGAAATTTACAATCTGATGATGAGAAAACAATTGATTACAATCAGATAAGAATAGAGAGAATATTAATTGTCGCAATTAATTGTTATATTTTGGTTTCTTTTAAAAGAATAACAAATCAAAATAAAATCAATGTTGGCGAATTGAGGAAAAACAGAAAAGTTGTTAATTATATGTATTGATTGCAGGAAGAAATTGGTTGGAAAAAAAAGTTAATTACTATTAATAGAAATTAAAATTAATTGTTCTCTTTCCATGGAATGTGTTGATGGATGATAATTGTTCATTGTTAATATCTCAGTTAATCATCATGTCCGATCAACAATCGGAGTTTTAACCATGGATGCCGGTGGCTTATCGTTTAAATTGTTGTTGCTGTTGGCAGAGGAAGCAGATTCTGTTGAACAATTAAGATTATTAATAATATTGTTATTATTATTACTGGCGATGGTATTATTATTGTTGGTGTTATTGTTGGTGTTGTTGTTGTTGTTGTTGTTGTTGTTTGTTGCGTTCATATTGATACTGGTGTTGGTGCTGTTGTTGTTATTATTGTTAATCATTGGCTTGATTGCGTCTGATTGAATTTTCCCAGTGGATGGACTGATACAGTTTTTATTAATTGTATTCTCGTGGTGGTGGTGTGATTTGCCCACTGCCAGTTTTTTCATCTGATGAACCACCGCTGCAGCATTATAAGCTTGCTGAAAAAAAAACACCGAGAAATCAAAACAATTAGTTTAATTATAACTTAACAGATCAACGTATAAACAAGATCATCATCATCATTATTGTAACAATTTGATTGATTTTCTCAGGAGTAAACCGATTAAACTAAATTAAGATTGCACTCCAACCGTTCACATGATAATACAATTGCTTATTGTTTATTGTTGAGGTTTAAATTTAGTTAATTAATCATTTAATTGTTATAACTTACTTTCCATTTTGTTTTGTAAAAATTTTTCTTCAATTGTTCACTCACAGATCCATGGATATTTTTATCCGAAGCAGCGTTTCCACTAATCCTGATTATATGAGAAAATAAAAGTAAAAGATAATCACAATTTAGTTAATTGTCAAGGTTAACATATATTAATTTAATTGTAGTGAATAAATAACTATTTTTATCCAAGTAAAATAAGCATAAAATGACGTTGATTGTTAAAAACTGATATTACGTTGATAGATATTAATATTACAAGAAGAGGGTATTAGTAACCATGGAAAGTGTTAATATATAAATGCTATGATAATATGATATAATTATAGTTGTTACAATTGTCAGAAATACTAAATTGTCACCATCATGATAAGATGATTATGATAATTAGCGGAATCACTTGATTAGTGGATTTATTAATAACAGTTGATTTGATGAGTAGAAATGAAAAGAAAAGTGATTCTGATTGTAATTAGAAAGTTTCACAATTAAATCAAACTTGGGGATTAATTCATTTAATGAATTTGTTGACCTCAAGGTCACTTTTTGATTAACGGGTTTTGGGGGACTATAAGTTGATTGCGATTCTAATTAACTGAAGCCCTAACAAGAATCTATGTTATCTCAATGGGAACTAGAATTTTGTTTTGCTGTTTAATTTGTAATAGCAAATAATTTGATTGATGTCAAATGTTTCAATTGTTGTCGATGATTAACTTTATTGTAGTGATTTAAAAGCATTGGACGAGCTTCAAGATGACTGAGTAAATGTTAATCATTATCAAGATGATTACAATCAATTTGTAGACTAAATTAATTGAAAAAAAATTAGCTATTATTTATTTCTAATGCTTCATTCATTTATCATGGTGATAATTAAATTGACAATTTAATTCATTAGACAGTAATTAGATCAATTGATTGTTAGAGAGAAAAAGTTTTAAAGAAGACAAAAAAAAGAGTCCATTTAATTTAAGTTACTAATACAATTAGCTAATCACAATTCGAGTGACCCTGAATTAGGATTGATTAGCTTTGGAGTTGAAGGTTAATTTAATGAATAAAAGTAATAACAGTAATTCAGGAATCGATAATAATTAAAACGATAATCAATGACGAGGATTTGATTGATTGTTTCAACTCTTCCATTGATGATATTAGCAATTTACTATTACTGAAAATGAAAGTTGATCAACTAATTAGCATGATTATCAATGAGCGATTTTAATATAACTGTAACTATTAATAATTAAACCGAAAGTGAAATAATTAATAATCAAGTCGGTAAAACAAATTCAACGGAAATCAAGTGGGAAAAACAAAGTGAAACTGTTTCATGTTAAAATAAAGGAAACGGAAACATGACAATGATTCATGATAAAAGTGAGAAATTCAGTTGAATCAAAATGACTGAGAGTTTCAATAAATATAATTAACAGGGAAAAAGAGTTGACCAAATTAATAGTAATCATATTACCCAAGAATTGGGTTAGTTAATTGTGAATTTAGTGCAAGAGGATAAAATTGAATTGCAAGTGATGGTTAAATGTTGTAACTAAATTAAAATTAATAGTTGGTAAACTTTTCTTTGAGTGAAAAATATGATTAGATAAACAATTTCATTCCTTCAGTTCTGATATTACCCTGAAAATCTGATGAATCTGAGTATATAAGATTAATATGATTATCTAACTGATATAAGTTGAACAAAAGAATCAAAGTTGATTAAAATCAAGGACAGATTAACGATTAAATTAATGGATTAAGTGAAGAGGAAAATAAGCTTAATGATGATTAACATTACAACAATTGATCATGATTGAAATTATCATGATAATAATATTAATCTATTAGGGAAAATATTGGAAAACATGTTAACTAATTGTCACATTTTCCAGATTAATTAATAACCAATTGATTGTCTTTAATATATTAACTCTGAAATTAACATTGTCAACATTATTATTATGAATTTGCTAATCAAATATAAAAATAATTATGACAATTGTTGACTAAATAACGGTAAATGTTATGTAATCAGAAAACAATTTACTCTTGATAATTTTTACCAAATTGTGTTAATAAGAAATGATAATAATAATTTTGCTTCATTATTAATATAATAATAAAATTCTGGTAGATGATATAAACTTAATGATTACATTGTGAGTAAATTGTGTTCACATGAAAATGATTCAGAATAATTTACTAACCATGGGAGGAAAATAATAATAATAATAATATTTTCATTCATTTGGATTGAGGAAAAAAATGAAACATCAATTCAATGAGATGAACATAATTCATTGGGATCAAGTTTTTGATTCAATTGAATGTGAATCTTTTTCAATCAAATTGATTCATTGTTGATGTATAAACATGATTAGATAAAATAAGAATCTCAATTTCAGGTGAAAGTTCAGACTACAGAATTGAATATAATGTAGTTACATTTAGATAAATGTACATATATTTCTGTGTTTTCAGAGAAATAGGAACAATTATTTCATGATTCTTATTCTCAATCTCACCTTTCATGGGAATTGAGCTTCAATTGATCAAGATTTGTTTCCATGTAAAAGGAAAAAAAGGTTTTCAAGTTCTGGTGTCTCTCATGAGGTAATGGAAATTCACATGATAGATTCAAGGAAAATTCCTAAAATGGATAATGATAATTATTCAAGAATCTTGTCATCATATTGTTTAGTTGCTCAGAGAATTTGGAATACATGATAAAAGTTTCTATTCCTTTACTGATGATTGGCCCATGAAATCTTTGTACTAATATGAATACATGTGAATCGGTTGACAAAATGTCAATCGAGAATTGAATAATATCATGAGATAAAGGAAGAGAGATGATGATAAGAGATGATGACAGAATTGGGTTGAATCATGAAAATGATGATTGGAGAAACAAGATTTTCAATTCTTACAGAAAAATAATCCAAATTGAATGTTATTACTTGAATGGAAAAGATTTTCTCTCTCTCTCTCTCTTCCTATTGCTCTTAACAATCTAACATTTATCATGATGATGATAATGTTATCAAATAGGTGAGAAGATGAATTGATGAAGTTATCCTCATCTTCATCATTATTATCATCATGATTGTTGAGAGGTGTTAGTTTTCATTCATCATGATTGCTTTTCATGAGTAACAATCAAAGGATGAAGGGAAAAAATTTCTCAATTTTTCTCATACAATTTGTGGTTCCTATTTGTCAATCTCATCTTAATTATCCCCTATCATCATTATTATCATCATTATCATCAGCAATAACAAAACATTGATGATAAACAGCACACACAAATCATATCAAATAGTACAACCAATTAATTGATTGTCTTGAAGGCAAAGATAAACACACACAATGAGAAACAATGTAAACATAACTGAGAAAATAATATAAACTTAACAGAAAAGTTCATTCCCTCAATTCTGATCACCATGATATTTTCTTGTGAACAATATTTTTCATTATATTGCCAACGAAATTGGTTAAATTAACTGACAAGCAATCAATAATTAACAATCAGAGGGAAATTAAGATTAAACCAATTCAATTGACCAAGATTGAGACTTACAAGAATTGAAGTGAAAAAAGTAATCATCAAGCTAATTTAATGTTGGTTAATGATAATCATGATGATAATAAAGATTAATGGTCAAGCATTTTCAGCTTGTACATCATTTTGGTTAATGATATTTAACTGACCATCTACTTCAACTCCATGGAAATGAATAAAATGTTTCAAGGTGAAAATTTCATTCATTATTCAAGTTAGATTAAAGTTTATCGTATTTACCTGGTAACCTTTATGAATAGATGATGAAATTTTCAGGGTAAATAAAAATATTATTATCTTCATGTTTATCATGATAAAGATGATAAATAAATATACTCAATAGACATGTGATTATATGTAAAACTGCCCGAGGCAATGTAACTTTAATTAAGTTAATAAATGTAGATCTATGTAATACTATTAATAGTTATATTAAGATATCAGATTTTCATTAATTTTAAACAATTTAATTTACTCGTTTCAGTTTATGATCTTTAAATAATTGATTAGATTGAAAAAAAAACAAGCTGGTTAAGTTAATTGATTGCAGGTAATCAAATTGTTGTTAGTTTTACAAGTTGAATGTCCCTTTAAACTAAATCAATATCATTTAGCAATCAACTAAATCAACTTTCATTAGGTAAACAATCAAGAAAAACATGAAAAAACGAAAATAATTGGAAAGTTGTTTTTGAAACTTTTTTTTTTCGTTCATGATAAACATCATGATGGAATTGAGTTTTCTTTCAGATTTATAATCAACAGAATCAACTAATCATTATCACAAGTTTTTTGTTACTCATAATATATTAACCATGATCATGAATTTATATGTTATAAAATCCGATTAACTGATTAGCTTGAATTAGTAAATTGTTCAATATCAATCAATTGAACGCAGTTTTAAACTCAAAGTTTGTAAATAATTAATCATTTTCGTGTCAATATGATTCATTCAAAGTTAAATCAAACGGGAAAATTAATAAATCGCCTAAGTAATTAACCTAATTTGATGTTTAATTTCACTTTGGGTGAGCCTTTCAATCAATTAACTACAACCATTACCTGGTCTATTAGTATGGTAATCAATTAATCATCAAAATCAACAATAGTTTATCATCAATCTTTTATTAGTATTTATTAAACAACAACATCTTATAATGACAATCAATTGATTATCTCAACAATCAACGATTAGTTTTTAGAACATTTTAAAAGAAAATAATATAACTCAATTCGAAAATTTTTCCACTCGTTCTTACAAATGATCGAACAAGTTTAAAAGTTTTTCTCGACAAAAAAATCGAAAGGAACTAAGGTTGAGATAATTTTGATTTCCAAAGTTCTGATATCTCCTATTTCTCAGGAAAAGTTTTGAAATAATAAAAAAGAAAATGTTATAATGAAACAAATAACCATTGACCTAGAAAAGTGTATATTCAATGAGTAACAAAAGATGGAAATTATTTCAAGCGAACTGAATCTTGGAGAAAAAATTTTCATCTTCTTTTCAT